AAGCGCCTTCAAACGTGGAGAACCTCTTGGACATTGATTTTGACGGCTCTGCGCCCGCTTCAATGCAGAAGCAACCTACACACGGCTCATCGGGTCTTGAAGGACTGGCAGGAACCCCCCAACGTGTCGCCTCTCCTGCAGTAAACGCGCCTGTTCAACAACAATCAAACATGGACGATCTGCTAGACTTGTTTGGAGATGGAGGTGGTGGTGCCGCAGCACCTGCACAGGCTACGCAGATGAGCAACGACGATATTATGAATGGATTCGCAAGCATGAGCATGGAAACAAGCCAGCCCCCTCCACCAACACAGCAACTAGGCGGCGAGCCAAGCAAGAAGAGCAACCAGGACCTGTTGGACTTGTTCTAGGTAGCCGCCCTGGAGGGAAATGTGCGTTCAAGTGTTTTGTGTTAGCGAAACGTGTGTCTAGTGAGCATCTACTGGCGCTAGGGAACATGGCTTGATACGAGTGACATGTATACAAATCGAGGGCTGATAGTGGCTATACCGCTACGCAAGAACAGTACTCCTTCCGTGTTCCATGCTGAGTGTTGCTGAGTTCACTAATACAGCACTACAACTGATGCACGGTGTTGTCCATGATATTGGTTCATTAACCGTTTCCATTCCATTAAGCATTACACTAATAATAATATTCCCATTCCGAGGCGGTAGGCTCAAACCAGCCATTCATACCGCCCATAGTGATGGTGAGATCAATGCAGCATTTGGAACAAATGCATTGTCTTCCTTCAATTCATACCCTCAACATCGTCAAATCCCACTATTGCAGACATCCAGCCGCTCAAAAAAAGGAGAAAGGGGCGGCGGCCGGGCGCTGGAGCGAATGTATACAACATGACTGTAAAGTTTTTTACAGTGCCAATAAGCCAAAGTAAGCGACCGACTTGGGTATCAAAAAGGGGGTACAATAAACCGCGCACTGTGGCGCTAGAAGGGGATATCCACGAGAAGAATGGTGTGGTTCCCCGATGCATGCTGCAGCGTCTTCTGCCGACGCCAGTGATTCTATGCCGTCAAATCCATGATTATAGAATGGATCGCTGAAATGCTTCGCAAACAATAAAACTCCGCTCCAATGCATAGGTCGTAAAGGCCGTCACCTGAGGACGTGAGGTGATGTGCGTACGTAGGGATGAGTATAAGTTTGTGGCGAGAGATGTAGATGTAGATAGTCGTGGTCTTAGTCTTTGCGGAGGGTGTGTTCGGTATCGGATCCAACTGTGTCGCCTTCCCAGAGGCTTTGAGAGTCGTCGGTAGGGGATCGAGCGCCGATGGGGCTCCTGCCACCAGTAGAGTAAGATGAGGAAGAGCCGCTGGCCCAGTCGTCAGAGTCGGAGTGAGGCTGGAACTCCTCGTAGATGTCGAGCATGCTGTAGCCAGCACCGTCCTTGGGGTCGCCAATCTCGACGTAGTCGTAGTCCCATCGGAACTCCTTGTCGGATTGCGGGCGAGGGAGGAACTTGGCGCGACCAAAGAAGTAGCAGACACCAGCAACTAGGAAAGATTAGCCATGGTAGAGATGGGAGTAAAAACAGGAACTTACGCAGACTGCCAGCTACCAGGTCAACGGCGTAGTGGTGAGAGAAGTACATAGTTGACCACCAAAGCCACATGGTATAGAAAACGTATACGGGGAACAGCCTGGGGAAGACATGTCCCATAAACAGCGTCTCCAGGGTAGCCCATCCGGAGTGCAATGAGGGGAAAGCACCAAAGACCATGGGTGAGGCGAGGAAGGTGGAAGTGTAGATATCAATTCCAGTCAGCTTGTCGATTGCCTTGAGTCCCGCGGCGTCTCCAGGGATACTGTAGTTGGCGGGGGCCAATCCATATGAGTTCTCATACCAAGGAGGCGAGCATGGGAAGACGATCTGGATCAGAACAGCTGTGATGTTCATGTAGCCAAAAGCACGCGCCCAGATGGGTAGGGTGCCAGGGGGGCCCCAAATGAACATGCATCCACTGACAATAACAGGCGATACGTAGTGTACGACTCCATAGGGCAACCAGGCGAGGATGTCAAGGACTGTGTGCTTGTGTGCGGACAGAATGTTGCTCAGGTTGGCGCCGTAGAGGATATTCTCGAGAGCGGGGAGGACGCGGACCCAGATGGCAGGGCGGTAGTCGGCGGAGATGTATCTGGGGCGGAGGTTAGCTCGTTCTGCGAGTTTACGTGTTGGATAAGAAAGATGATACGTACTTGCAGCTCGAGAAGAGGAACAGCCAGGTAAGAGTAGGGAGCAATGGGAGGAGAAATTGTCGTGTAATGGGCAAACACAGGCCGGTCATGAGCAGCGTGGCTATGAATGTTTTGGCAAAGGGCCCAGGCGCCTCGCTCACGGAGAGGGAGAAGATGGCGACGATGGCGAGGAAGAGGTACTGGGCATCGTATATGGACCAGGAGTGGGTGCGCAGCGAACGCAGCGTGTCCGAGGGCGAGAAGGACGTCTCGAGGCCGGCGATGGATGACGTTGGGGCCTGGCGACTGCGTATGCGCGACTTGGTAGCCCTCCACTTCCTACGCACGCGATGGGGGATAAGACTGGGCAGGGCGGACAGGCCGGGGACCGAGGTGCGCGAAAGCATGTCGGACGCGGTGCTGTTGTCGAGGAATGCGAGGTAGCTCTTGTTGGTCATGGTGAAATGGTGGTGAGGTGACAAAGGACTCGGTCGCTCGGGGGGTGATGGTCTGTGGCGCAGTTACAGGGCAACAACAGACAGGCGACCAAAGGCGGGGGGAGTCGTCGGGTCTTGTCTTGTCTTTTGGAGCTGCGCAAGACGGTGGGCGGGCGAACAAGAGGGAAAGGAAAGCGGAAGAGGGCGGACTAAGGATTATGAAAGGCAGCCGTAACTTAGTGGAAGCTCCGGATGGCTGAGGCTTGCACAGTGCCGGGGGGTCAAATTAGGTCCGCGACGTGAGCGGCTACGACGGAGCTGGTTAGGGCCCAAGTGCTCTCAATTTCGTTTACAACGCGACGACGCTGTGTCTTTGCGCCAGGATTCGCATCAATGTTTCGACCCGCTGCCCGTCACGGCCGAGCCAAGCAGTCTGCGTAGCCGTGGTTGAACTCTGTGATGCACACACACACACATGGCATCGTGGCCGTGGAGACACGACCCTTCACCTCGACCATGGTTGCTGACATGCGACAGGCAGGCAGCCTACTCCAGGGCTGTATCTGCATGCATGTGACCCTTGCAGCACTCATCGCTATCACGTTTCTCGGTCTTCCGTCACGCATGGCTTTGTCATCGCCTACAGGGCCCGTCTCTGCAAAACTGCTGCTGGACTGGCGCCAGAGCGATGCGGCGGTGCGTTAGACGCTTGGTGAGCCTGTCATGACATCAACATACAGGTGACGGCATCGTGCCGTCAAGCACATCGTGAAGGAACTGGACCCAATCGACGACCATCGACCTGTACATCCCTGTCGTCTTGTTTACGAGATACGGGCATCTGCTGGTAAGCCTTGCTGCGCTGTCGCAGTCATCATCGTCTCACAAGGCCACCACCCCCAGCCTTAAAGGAACACGAAACATGCGCTGCACCTTCACCACCTGTCCGCCCCGGGCTCCACTGCATTGCTAAACTTTCTCACCTCTTGCACGCTACTTACCAATCACACCCCTCCACCTTGACCTGCACGAAAAAGCCACCGCTGACTGTACTCTGCCGTACCCTCGCGACGTCGTCTGAATAGGCGCCCTCGGCATCTCGTAAGATCCGCAAGCCGTGCTACCCTTCACCCTCTTGGCTGCACACACATGCAAAGTCCTAGGGCCCTTTTTTCCATTGCCATGGTTCCACCCGCACGCCTCTAAACGGCCCTCTGCTCATGCCATGCGCAATTTCTTTTTTCCTGTCCGATCCGCCCGCTGCCCAATCGCCGATGCATCTCGCCATCTCGGACCTAAGCAGGGCGGAGGCTCGGACGAACACAACCTCCATGCCAACCCTTCACGACATTCGCCTTCCCCAAGCTAGTCAGCGGTCAAGAAAAAAACCTCTTAGCGAGTCAAAGAAAACTCAATCCAATAAAATTCGATTAAACAGAAAACGTTCCATTTCAAGGCCAAGTCACAAAAGAAGAGTCGAGATCGCGACCATCGCAATTTCCCTCCTGCCTTTGTCTGACTCTCCACGTCCCTTCTCCAACAATGCCATGTACATCATCCCCTTTTACACTGACAATGCCATAACATGCCATGCCCGTGCATTGACTCAGTTTGCCCCAACAACGACAATGTGCGAAACAAACCACCCGCCCGCAGTCTCTCCGCCCGTTTGATGCGGAAGAACAAAACACGGCGTCAACGAGTGTTTCACTAAAAAGAATCCAAGAACGGTCTTGCACGCGAGGAACAACATGCGCGAAAATGTCGCGCAGAACCCAGTAGGCTCGTATTCAACGTATCCAGTCTTTTGATTTCTTCTTTTCCCGCTTCACCTCTCGTACGCGGTCTCGGACCCCGTCAAGGCCCGAGCGCACATAAACTGTCGCGCTCTGCAAAGGCGGGAGTCGGGTAATTTTCCTTCCCCTTGCACATCGCTTTCTTGCCGTCTCGCTGCCGTTCGGCACGCGAGCTTAGGTTGTCGCTGATCGCCATGAACACTGCAATGCTGATCTCGGAAGTCTCGGAAGAGTCAATAGGGAGGCACGGAGGAGACTCCATTAAAGAACCATGTAAGGATGATATTCAGGTACCGCATTGCACGGAGCAATGCCGTTTGTACCGTTTTGTACCCTTTGGCCAGGACGCGCCGTGAAGTTGTCTGTAGTCGTCCAATGAACGGAAAGTGCCCTCTGTCACAAAATCCACTCCGTATATAATTAAAGAAAATCTGAACTTCTACATCCATCAGACGCGCTGAGAATGCTACATAATGAAAACGCCGATACTTTCACAGAAAGATGCAATACAAAACTCGCTCTACAAACCAAGCCGAAGCTGTCCATGACCGTTTGAGAAAAAACCCAGTCAAGCCGACATGCAAACGCCATGCTCGTTCGTATATCGTATCGCGTGCTAACATCCACAAAACGCATCCTCCATCAAAACATCAAGTCACGTATGTCCATCACTATCCTAGGGTGTGTCGATAAGGTCCTCCAAGAACTCATCGAGTTCGATAATCGTGAACTGTTCCGCCCACTTGGACCTGAACTGGCGCTTCCGGTATCCACTGTTGATCTGCTGTCCCCAGCTAATCAACTCCACCTTCCAGCCTCTCTTCAGGGCCCGTTCAACGTGGGCAAGAAAGCCGTCCGACATCTCTGCAACAGCCCCATCTCCAGTCGCGAGAACCATGGTGCTCGGCACTTCGGTATCAATGATGCTCTGACACATCTTCAAGTGAAGAATCTCGTCGACACCCTGCTCAACCCATTTCGGGGCTGAAGGTGTCTTGGGAGCCGGCGGACCCGTTTCAGAGTCGCTGCCGCTCTCAGCACGCATTTGAGTAGCCTTGTGCCAGCCCATCTTCTTGACATCGTTGAAGAATTTCTTCTTGTCCGAGTCTTCGCGTACAATGAGTACCTGCTCTTGCATGATGCTGTCGTAACCGACGGCCTTGGATGTCTCAACCAACTTGGCCACATGTGGCAGAGGATTGGCTTCACGGTGCGACCCAGCAAAGAAACGCTTTGCGACAGGCCGGCGACGCTCCATCAGAAGCGCAAGACTGTCGAATGACATGTCGTACGCATCATGTCGCAATCCGTGGTTTCGGAGCATGTCCTTCAGCCCTATCATGATGTTCGAGGCATCAACAAAGACATGCAATCCATGCGCCGACTCTCGCTCACTGAGAAGTTGCATAGGCGATACTAGCCACTTTCGGTCTTCGGGGAAGGTGTTCAACAATTTGTTAAACAAATGGTAATGACGCTCTACTTGCGATCTAATCGCGAGCGATGGTCGCCGTCCACTGAGTGAGGCAACATTTGGCGTTGGGGTAGTGGGTGGCTGTTGAGCAACAGCAGGTTGGGAGCAAGTTCGTGGTAGAGTGACAGGTCGAACAGTGCGGGGAACAAGACCATGATGTACTGGTGTGATGGCACGGGGCAGTTGTTGAGCCTCGGCCAAAGTGTCCTGGCTTGGTGCAGGTGTGCCAAATGGCTTGTATTGGATCTGGGCGGGTGCGGGTGCAGTGGAAGGAACTACGACCGGCACTTGTTGAAGGGGTCGAGGGGTTGCTGGCTGGGCCACAGAAGGCCGCTTGAGTATGCTGGGGCGGGACTTGGGGGTCCTGGGCTGCTTTTGTTGCGTTTGAGGGGCTTCGGATGTATCCTGTGCTGCTACCGGGGTAGGAGTCGCAGGCCTGATCTTAGCGCCCACGTTGGATCGCGAGTGTGTTCGGGAGGTCTTGGATGGCGTTTCGGGCACATCAACGACCTTGGTATTAATGTCGGTATTATCGTTCAATTGCTTCCGCAATAACGCTTGTTGTGCTTGCTGCTTTCTTTGCTCGCGCTCCTCTGCAAGCTGAGCCAAGGTGTCTTGAACAGCCTGTTGACGATTTCGCTCTTCTTCCAGTTCCTTCTCGGCACGTCTGCGAGCCTTCTTCCGTTGGGTCTTGGTCAAACCCGTATTCTCTATGGGCTCCTCGTCTGGACTCTCGATATGATTGGCAGGCGTCTTGGTGGACTCTAAAGTGGGGGATGGTAGTAACGCCTCATCAGAGTTGCTCAGTTCGGACTCAGGATCGAGTGGCGGCAGTGGCGCGGCGTCGGTATCGGCAAAGCCTAAGCTTTCGAATAGCTTGGAGAAGCTTCCTAGGCGTATTCCTCCATCTTTCAGCCCAGAAGCTTTGGGTGGCGCCGCAGGCCGAAGCGTTGGGCTGCTAACGTCTTGGGCTCCCGAGTCTATCAAGTTGATAACGGAGCTGAAGTCCCAGCCGGAGTCGGGCGGTTGTGAAGGCATTTGATCGTTTTCGGCGAGTGAAATGGGGTTTAGCTTTCGTGCGTGTTCGTCGTACGGACTTGGGTGCTATTGTGCAGATGACACTGGGCCATTATTAGTTATGTGGACGACGAACCATGGTTAGGGCGCTCAAGGCTACCACCCGCACCAGCGTATGGTACAGCCTGATAGAACCTCGACGAGCCAAGTACGGGCGCGCCTTCTGTATCGTAATAAATGCCAAACATACCGTGTAACTGATCTCGAAACAATGGCCTCAGTCGCACGCTCATGGTCTATCGCGACAGGTTAAAGACAGGAGTGTCGCCAGGCTGAACCGAGGGCTCCAGACACGAGTGAAGAGGAAGGAATAAGTAGTGACTGAACAATGAGAGTGGCGCGAGGGTAGAGGTAAGTAAGTGAGCTCTGGGTGGCGGCGGGGTGAGGGTGATCGGCACGTAGTCACTTGTGTCTCAGCCTCATAAGGTCAGTGCTCATGAATCATTCGGGTCGGGTCGACATGCCAACGCCACCACGAATGACACATACAAACCGAGTGCAGCTTATTGGGCTTCTTGCACGCCAATCTAGATCGTGCCACAAACCAGCCTGTACATCGAGTTTAATCATCGGAAAGACAGCAGGATGTCATGGTGTTCTTCACTTGTTGCTTATTCGTTGGTGCTGTCGAGCGCACGAACGACGTCAAGCGTCCCGTGAGAAACTGGATGGATCGCCAAGAAAGTAAACATGATCTATGCAATCTACGATGCAGGGTACTCAGATTTATGTTTCCAGAATTACACTACAAGTACCCTCGATGGAACCCGGACCCAAATCAGCCTCTAATCCAAGGTAGTTCGTTGTCCATCAACATGCATAACAATGGATTGAGATGCCTAGGTAAAGAGCGTTCCTGGATACCCGCCGTATGCGAGACGTCAATTACGAAGTTAGTAGCAATCAGAACAATTGCCAATTATACGCTATGTGCGCATCTTCAAGGCATCTGTTTACTATGACAATCTCTCTTACGATATGCCTCGGCATCCAAACCTCGTGCCCCACAACCCGCATCTCTCCAGCAACCCTTCCCCAAGTACCCCTCCAATCTGTCTCCTTCACAGCCCTTTGAAGAAAACCATGTCGGCGGATTTTTGGGCGGGCTACGTATCCGGCGCAGCAGGCATAATTATTGGCAACCCTCTTGACCTAATAAAGACGCGTCTGCAAGCTGGTAAATCAGCGCAAAATGTCGAAGCTACAATGGCGACAGGTGCGGTGACAGCATCGCAGGGGTACAAGGGACAATTTGAAAATGCCGGGACTCTCGTAAGAGGTGAGTGAATATATCAAGCAAACAACCCCAAGATCACTAGGCTGACTTGACTTGTCCAGTATAGGCGCAACAGCACCCATTCTGACTTACGGCGCGCTCAACGCCCTTTTATTCATGACATACAATCGCACTCTCTCGCTCCTTAACGACTCTCCTGCCTCTCCTCAAAACTTCTCCAAAGTCTTTTTAGCAGGTGCAACAGGCGGCCTCGCATCCTTCGTGGTCAGCGCACCCACTGAACTCGTCAAGTGCCGTGCACAAGTTGCCACGAGCGCGACAACGACGTCATGGAGTGTAGCGAGAGATGTGTGGAAGGCGGAAGGCATCAGGGGCTTGTACTACGGGGGCGGAATTACTAGTGTGAGAGATGCAGTGGGATATGGTTTCTAGTCAGTATTTACCTGTTATTGCGATCGAACAACGACAAAGAACATTGACTGACCAATTACTTAGTTTCTGGTCTTACGAACTCTCGAAACAAGCCTGGAGCTCACCAGACGATTCAGATAGGGAAACGGCTATGAAAGTGCTGCTGTGTGGAGGTCTGGCTGGAGTGATAACATGGGCATCCATATTTCCGCTGGATGTTATCAAGACTAGGGTACAAACGCAGGTACTACATGCACCCGTACAACACGGTGAACAGAGCTCGCTATTAGGAGCAGAAACACCTAGGACGCGTTTGAGCTCTGTCGAGATTGCCAGGCAGGCCTACCGGACAGAAGGCGCAGGCGTTTTCTTCCGCGGCCTTGGGATATGTAGTATACGGGCGTTCGTGGTTAATGCCGTTCAGTGGGCTGTTTACGAGTGGATGATGAAGATGCTACAGCAATAACAAATAGCTTGGCCTACTGTTGCCAGATTCAAGAAAATGAGTGCATAGTGACAAATTGTGATTGCTGAAGGCCAGGGCTATGAAACCATTAGGTGACTATTCCATTTCGACACCGAGCCTTTTTGAGTAATAAGGAAATTTTGGTCCGCTACAAAAACATGCCCATGACCAAGACCAGGTAGCATAATCCCTTCAAAGCTCCGTCATGTGTGTACATGTGAGACTTGAGAGAAAAGTAGTTCCTAACATGACGATGCTCCTAACAAGAGCAGATAGGAATCCGTGTGCATCGAACCTCTGATGCTTGCGCTTTGAAGAAATACCGTACAAGACTGATCCCATTACATAATCTGATCCTGGGTCAATCCACCAGTATGCTCGGTACCCTCCATGGCATCGCCGTTACCCACGTTAGTGTACTTGACATAGGCCAAGCCAAGAGGCCTACCACCGTACTGGTATCCAGTGAATTTGGCTACATATGTGTTAGTGAGTAAAAAGCAATGAGCGTCAATGAGCTTACCAATAGAGGTCTCGGCATCTGCAGCTTGGGCAAACTCGACGACACCGGTTCCCCGGGAGCGACCATTGGGCTCGTACTGGATCTCAGCACGTTCGACCTTGCCAATTGTAGTGAAGAGCTCGACGAGGTCCTCGTTGCTGGTTGACCAGGGTAGGTTGCGGACGTAAATGGTGTTGCTGGGCTCTCCGCCTGCAGTAGCGTAGTCTGTGAATGGGTTTGGCGCGGGGGGAGCAGCGTTGGGGTCGAAGGCAGGGCCACCAGGAGCACCGCCGCCAAAGCCGCCACCGCCGTAGCCTCCACGACCTCCGAAGCCACCGCCAAAACCGCCACGGCCGCCAAATCCTCCACGGCCACCGAAGCCACCACCAAATCCACCACGGGCGCCGAATCCGCCACGACCACCAAAGCCACCAGGAGCGCCAGCAAAGCGATCCTCACGAACCTCTAGGTTTCGGCCCTGCCAATCGTAGCCATTGAACTGAGTAATGGCGTTACGGGCATCCTCAGGTGTCTCAAAAGCGACAATACCGGAACCCTTGGGGCGGCCATCAGGTGCAATATGGACGTCAGCACGAAGCACTTGACCGTTGTTAGCGGCCTGGCGGAAGAGGTCCTTGAGGTCCTGCCATCCTACGTTATAGGGAAGCTAGATGGTAGGGTCAGTACAGGCTGTCGACGTAAGCATTGGGAGTATAAAAGGGGTACAAACATTGGCGACGTAGACCTGTCGTCCGGCACCGCCTCCAGCAGCTGGGCCGCCGAAGCCACCTCCATAGCCGCCGCGTCCGCCCATTCCGCCGCCAAAGTCTCCGCGTCCGCCGCCGCCGGGGGCGCTGAATCGAGGCTCGGCCTCTCGGTCTTCGCGAACGTATACGAGTCGGCCCATAAGGTTTTGGTTGCTGAGCGATGCAACAGCGTTCTGCGCCTGCTCCCGGGTGGCATATTCCACGATGCCACAGCCCTACACCCAAGCAAAAGCCAGTCAACCTCCATCCTTCTCACGATCAAGACAAGCCATCATCCATTACCTTTGACATTCCGTTCGGCAGCAGCAACACGTCTGCAAAGAGTACCTCTCCAGCTATTTCCGCATTAGTCCAGCTCTTGACGCGGCGCAACACATCCCGTACCTTGGCGCATGAAGTCCTTCAGGTGGTGCCACTTGACATCGTAGGACAGGTTGCCGACGTAGACACGGCGGTCTTGTTGCGAAGAATCCCTAATACTCTGCATCATTTCCTTGTTTTCGACGGGTCGCGATGAAGCTCCTCGACCAGCACCGTAAGATTGATAACCTCCAGCACCTTGCGCACCACTGTTGGGGGACCGCGAGCGGCGTTCAGTGCGACGATAGTCCTCTCGGCTGCGCGAGCGGCTACGGGGGGAGTAGGAGCGTCTGGAGCGTCGCGGTGAGCGAGATCGTCGACGAGGTGAGCGGTCGCGCTGCTCATAGTTGTCAGTTTCGTACGACATGATTGCAAAATTGACGCAATGTGTCGAGGTGGGAGCGAGGTTGTTAAAGGTTAGGCGATGGCGAGCAGTTGCGGGCTCGCGTGGTTGATGGGGTTGAGGAGAGGTTGCGCGAGCAGGTGAGGGCTGGCAGCTCGGAGCTTGGTCAACGACAGGCCGCCCGGCGGCAGTTGCCAAAAGCGTCAATCACGTGACGGTCACGTGACAGCGATGGGCGATGGATTGAAAGGTGACGACTGCCTCGGAAAGGCTCAGAGGTAGGCATCATCAATGTCGTGATCGTCGCTCCCGCCTACTACGCCGCGCAATGCGGCAGCCTTGCTATCCACCTGACCTGTGCCTGGAGGCAGGAAACGGAGATAAAGGGACTTGGGTACTTACTCGGTCGCTTGGACGATAGTTGTCTCCTGCAGAGTCTGGTAGGCAGAAGTCAGCAGGCAAAGTGTCAAGTTGTAAGAGGAAGCAGAACCGTGATGGCGCGGGAGATGGCAAAAGCGTTGAAAGGCCGCCAGGGAGGGGAAGTTACGGATGCGTATATAAGAGGGGCCCACTTACCCATCCTGTGTATGAGAAGTAGCTACCGGTGACACTTGCTTAAGGCCGGCTTCCCTGCCAGCTGAACGGCCAAGTGGTGCAGATATCACGCTGCAGAGAAATTGCCCTTCTTCCGTCCACGCCTCAACGATGACGCTGTATGGGTCCTCGACGGTACAAGTCTCCCCACGGCACGGCACCCAGCCAGCCAATCGCAATCCAGAAGCACCCACCGCGAGCCTGAGGGACGTCCCAGCAGTCTGGGTTGGTTGACGGAGGTTGAGGTTGCAAGACCGATCGGGAGCGTGTCGGTAAGCCTTGGATGTAGCTGAACCTGTCGTGAACTCACGGTTGGCGTCTACACGATGATTATTTCCGTAGTTGAGTATTTTCTCTTCCTTTTTCCGAGAGTCGTGCGGACGGCCAGCTTCCAGGCAAACACCCTGATGGTTGGTCGGACTGTGATGGAGGGCTGCGTGTGGGTCTGTGGAGTCGTTCGGTCGTTGTGCCTTCCCCCACCATTCTGGAGGCCGTGCGCCTTCTGCGGGAACGGGTTCCTTAGCCGCGGCTTCTGTCTGTCCACTATTTACTCCGCATGGCTTCTTTATTCAAACACTCAAGAACTCGGCATCACAGTCGTCAATTCAAATACAGGGCCGGTCTTGAGTCGCTGCGTGTGTGGGATCCTAGCAAACACTGTCAAGCTGCCATAGTCTGGACCCTTATCCATGTGCACTGTTACATCGTCAGATCTCATCGTCGATTTAGCTAAAGTCGTAACACCAACACACACCCGTACTTGTATCACCAGTTCACCCAGTCTGTCCCTCCAGGCCTAGCCGCGCAACTATGGTCTAGACCTGAATCTTAACGGATATATTGCTTCTCGGTTGCTCGCATGCTCTAGATGTACCGAACTAAACATGTAAGCCGTTCGGTGCACTTTGTGCTATCAGGCGCTTGCTTGCTTCCGGAGACAGCAGTGCGTTTGTCATCGCAAAACCGTTCCCATGACGTTCTTAGACCAAAGGTCAACTGAAGCAACCGATTGCTTTAGAACGAGCTGGTTGCTGCTCGTAGATAGGTGCAGCAAACTTTTGCCTTCTACTTTTTAGCACCGATGAAGATGGTCGCGTCCTTTGACTATCTGATATTTTGCATACACTGACTCAAAGAGTTTGCCTGATAGTCCCGACAAATGTTCCAGAGGCTTCAATCTACAATCCACGTATCTTGAGAAGCCCAGAGCCGAATGCGTGGCTGGAACGTAAGATGTGAGTTGCTCACTCTTGTAACGGACTGCAAGGTCAATAAGTTAAGAAATCACAGCTCCATGGCTTCCAAGTGCTACAACTACACAATGGCGCTGTAAAAATGTTGTTGCCTCGAACCGCTCCAGTTTTCGTTAAGGGAGTTGAATATCGCCAGAGGCAGTATAGATGTTGCAATGCGATTCGGCAATAGGGCCAAAGGGTAGACGACGTCATGAGGCTCAAAGCCGAGGTTCCCCACAACCAAACGTCTCCATGCATCTCTAGTTCGCCGATAGACTAATATGCATGTTTACTCTACATCGCTATATGCGAAATCCTATAGCTGTCTGAAAACTATCTTCCAGACGCAACCGTGTGCCTGTTACTCCTTTCTGCTGTCGAGTCCAAGATGCCTACCAAGTCGCCTTTTCCGGATGTAAAGATCCCGAGTGTCGACCTCTGGGGTCTGATGTTCGATCGCAAAGACCGCGACTTCTCCGACGACAAAGTCATATATCGCGCCATCAACTCTGACCGACGATACACGTTTGCTGATGTAAAGAGCCATGCGACATTGTTTGGTGAAGGCCTGAGGAATCTCTGGGACTGGCAGAAAAACGACGTCCTCGCATTATATGCACCCAACGATGTCGATATACCGTCCGTCATCTATGGAACGTTCTTTGCCGGTGGCATCGTCACGCCTGCCAACCCAGGGTACTCCAAAGATGAGCTGGCTTACCAATTGGAGAACTCTGGAGCTAAGGCACTTGTCACAACCAAGGCCTTCTTGGATACCGCGTTGAAGGCCGCAGAGAAGGTTGGAATTCCAAGTGACAGAGTAATCTTATTGGGTACCGAGAAGGATGAGACACATCGATGCAAGCATTGGACTAGCATCCGAAAAACATCAGGTGCACTGCGCTATCGCAGGAGGAGGGCAGACCCTGAAGATTTGGCATTCCTTGCTTACAGTTCTGGAACCACGGGACTACCAAAGGGTGTTATGCTTAGCCATCGAAATATCGTCGCAGATCTACTCCTGGCACAGGGAGCAGTCGGAAACTGGTATTCGTCAGCAAACGACAAGTTTCTCGGAGTACTCCCGTTCTTCCACATATACGGTATGTTGCAAGTGCTTTCCGAAGTAGAATCTAACAAAGATAGGTCTTACCGGCTTGGTGCACCAAACATTACATCGCGGTATCGAGCTTGTAGTAATGCCTGCTTTTGACATGGAAATCTTTCTGCGAACGATACAAGAGCACAAAATCACGTTTATTTACGTTGCACCCCCAGTCATCGTGCGTTTATCTAGAGATAAGATGGTAGACAAGTACGACCTCTCGTCAGTCAAGATGATAACGAGCGGCGCGGCTCCACTGACCAAAGAGCTGGTCGACGCTGTGCACAAAAGGCTGAAGCTTAAGATCAACCAAGCTTATGGTCTGAGTGAAACAAGTCCAATGACACATACCCAGGTACGTTTGTCTTTGTATCGGAGAAGGGTAAACCGCTAATACCCAGCCAAAGCCATGGGATGAGTGGTACAGTTCTGTGGGAAGCGTAGGAAAGATGTTCCCAAACATGCAAGCAAAGTATATTTCAGCCGACGGCAAAGAACTCGGTCCCGGCGAAGCAGGCGAACTCTGGCTCAGCGGCCCCAACATCTTCAAAGGATATTGGAAGAACGAGTCGGCGACCAAAGAGGCTATCACATCTGATGGATTCTTCAAAACGGGTGACATCGGCTTTCAGGACGAACAGCATAATTTCTACATCACTGATCGAGTCAAAGAGTTGATCAAATACAAGGGCTTCCAAGTGCCACCCGCTGAACTCGAAGGAAAGCTTATGGAGAGCGAACTTGTAGATGACGCAGCGGTTATTGGGGTCAACGACGAGCAACAGCATACAGAAGTTCCCAGGGCGTATATCGTGGCCTCGCAGGCTAGCCACGCTGGTGCTGGAGAGGCCGAAGCTAGGGCTATAGTGGACTGGATGGACAAGAAGGTAGCGAACCACAAGCGACTAAGAGGTGGTATTGTGTTTATCCAAGAGATACCGAAGAGTGCGAGTGGGAAGATTTTGAGACGAGTACTCAAGGAGAGAAGCAAAGATGATGTACCCTTGGGTGTAGTCTCCAAGCCGAAGCTGTGAGATAGATGGACTTTCAGTAGAATTTTTTATACCCTTCTCCCAAGACAGAATCATTTAAACCTAGGATATTGGTCTTCAAGGCAGGTGTTCACTCCCCTCGGCACAGAGCCCTCTACAGATTCGTTTTAAAACGGATGAAGTCCTTTGATGGACTCCTGCGCACGTGCATGGCAGTAATCACAGTAGTTCCCACAAAATCCGTGAGTAAGAAATATCTAAATAGACGACCTATGAATCCACAATATTATTCGTCTTTGTAAGTCTCTTAATTAGATTCTAATGTAGGCTGCACATCAGGATCTAAGAAAAACCGGACAAATCCATCATACGTGGTATTGCACACATCTATTCATCAGTAGTCCTCTTATAAGGTATCAAGTATATATACATTTATCTAAGCTACCCATGCTGATTCATATCCGTCGTAAATACTCGTGCTCAGTAAACCTTGTCCACCACATTACCAGTAGAAGACCTGCGACCAGAAATTGTTGCAGTCTTACTGAACTCCGTTGTTCATGAAGACCATTTGAGAAAAAGAATACTCCAGTGAAAAGAAAAGTGGGGACGAGATGACACCCGTCATGTGTTACGCCAGCCATGTCCGCTCGACAGTGTTAAGCCAAAGCTAAGAGACTTTTTGTATATGCCGTGGAATATAGAGGGAGGGAGGAATCTGTGTGAAGGGGAACACACTCCGTATGCAAGTCGCCAGAAACGCTGAAAGTTTTCCAACCTTTTTTTTGTAGAAATAGGAAAGAATGCCTTGGTATAGGTGTCGTGAACATGTCGCTAAAAGAGCGAGCCGAGGGTTGAAATTAGGCAGATTCATCTTTGCCACATACTTGATGCGTCGACTCAAGCATTGCTACCCCAGGGTCCCGTTTCTTTTCCGAGTCCAGATGAGCCAGTAGTGCGATGGCCGCCGACAGGTGCAAGGTTCGGGCTGCCCTTGCCGCCACTGCCCCAGGATAGACCACTCAAACGTTTGTTGCTCGTACTGGAGGTAGTAGAGGCACCATCCCTGCTCTTGTTGAGGTCGTCCTCTTCTTCCATACTGAAAAGACCTTGCTCCTCCTCGATCCTCTCGCGGTTAATGCTGCTGCTGCTTACAGCACGATCGATACCAAGACGCCCACTGGAGCTACCAATGCTGGATGCCGAGGTAACGCGGTTGATTCCGGGATGGACGGGGTTGCTGGTGATGCCAGTCTCTTCACGAGATGATAGTCGAGTTCGCTGCAGTTGTTGGCTAATCATGCTCATGGAAGCTTGACGGGGAGGCGAAGCTAGGTAAGGGCTCATATCACCAGTAGTCGGTCGATTCATAGCGCGCAATGAAGGGCTGGCTCCCGGGTGGAGGCTTGAGTTGCGTAGTGGTGAGCCGACGTGTCCGAAAGCTGACTGACCTGGGAGGGAACCTGATTCAAACCCTTGCTCGTAGGTCGGTCCTCTCGGCTTGGCCCACATGGACTGGAAGCGCGAGGGTGAGGCGGTTGCGGCCGATGGGGATCCATATTTAAGGTCCGATGCTGTTGGCGATACACCAAACCTGGATTGTGAGGTGCGGTTATCGCTCTCGCCCTGGTCACGGGAGAAGCGGCGCATCTTTTCCTGGGGTGTGAGAAGATCGCTGAGCGAGTTTGGCAGTAGGTCTTCCTCGAATTTGCCAATCATGTCCGTCTCATCCCATTCTTCGTCCTTGTACGTCGGACGCGCGCCCACACTTGAAGACATGATACCCCGAGACCGATTAGCAGCAAGCTCGGAATGTAGCATCCTCCGCCCCACTGGCTGCTCGACGGATTCTGGCGGGGATGATCCCAATCCCGCAATGCCTCTCCGCAGACCATCTCCAAATGCAGAGTCGTGTAGGTTTCGGAGAGCAGGCGAGTCGGCTTGGTATGATGATGGCGGAGAGTTTGCAAGGAACTTGGCGGGTACAGAGGAGGCGATGGGGCCATATCGTGCCATGGTGGAGACACCCTGGCTGTCGAACGAGGCTGGGAGTCCTACATCCATGACACTCAAGCCCTTTTGGGTTGGCGATATTGGAAGTCGGCCGTTCTCGTTTGGCGGCGAGCCGTAGTTGGAACCTGGGTGGGAAGAGAAAGTGGTGTCAATGGTCGGAATCATGTCGTACTGGTTCTTCTGGTTCGCGTATTCGTCGGGCATGGCGTAAGGATAGCCGGGCTGCATACCGCCCATGTGCGCCTGCATGGTAAGCAGCGAGCTGTTCATAGGTAGCTCCTGGTGGTGTGGAATGTTCATGCGGCTGAAGTGGCCGCCGGCATTTCCGCGGTTCACGACATGGCCGTTGGGGAGGATGTGGGCGAGAGCACATTTCTGGCCGAACTTGCAGTTTCCCTGTTTGGGCAATCAGTAACAATCCATCGTCTCTTGCAATTGTCCCACCTTTGTGAAATACTTGCAGGGCGCTCGCTCTGTCAGCGGCTCATCGGAGTGCAAGAACGGACACGCCTTCCCAGCCTGACATGCGCCTTGCCGGTAGAACTTGCAGGGCACGTGTGAGGTATCTGCCCTTGTCAGCCGCTGTGTGCACACATTGGGCGTTGCCGCGACCTACTCTTGTTGTTTGGCGGACTGCGCGGGCCAGCAAAGCCCATGTCGCGCAAGTTTGCTCGATGCTCTTGGCCGTTGATGCGCCCGCCAGGCACTGCCATGGGTCCATGACCGTTTGCGCCCGCCATTGCGCCGTTGGAATGCTGGGGCCGGAGGTCGCGTGAAGCTCGTCGTGATATCTGCGGTGGATTCGACGTGTATGGCGCGGTTGGCGGGTTGAGTTGATGGGAGAAGGGTCCGTGTTGGAGATGCTGTGGTGGGGGCTCCTGGTGGGGTTTCTCGCCGACGTCTGAGGGAAAATTGGTAGGCGCAAAGGTAGCCATAGCTCTGAAAAATGGTAGCGGGCCTCGGGCCTGAATCGGCGGTCTACCTTCGGCGACAGTGAGAGATTTCTCCCAGAGACAAGGAAACCCGAGAAAGAGACTGCTATCACCCGTGAAGAGGGCAAGCTTGTCGGGCAAACGCTAGTATCTACGCGGTAAAGGCTGCAGAGCGGCAGGTCGCTTGTGGCGGACTACTGGAACGAGGACATGCGACAATCCCGCGCCAGCCACGGTGCAGTTGGGGACACTGGGGCCTGGGGACAAGACGAATAAGAGGTGCAGCAAGAAGTGGGAAAAGAGGAAACGCAAATGCAAGCAATGCTGGAGAATGATACGCCGGCTATATCGAATGCCCGTGGTGCTGCCGCCTCAGCGGTTCGCGCGTGATATGTTAATCGTCGCGGCCGCGTGACGCCATAAGAGGACCCTGGACGTGTGCATGGGGGACCTCGGAAGTCGCCATGGCATGCTTGCACCCACCCTACGCGTCGTTCCTGCCCTCCGCCCTCCGGAGTTGGCTGCCGACGCGTAGTTGACTCCCCTTCAGCTCACATGGCAGTTCCCGCCTGAAACACATCTCGGACGACCATTGCCGTGGAATATGTCGCCGCCCAATCGAGCCTCTACGCCTCACTGCAACTCTCGCACCTAGCCGTCACCTGAGGCTGCCATCACGGTCATCTGCAGCAAGAGCGGCGCATTCGTTGCAGACCCATTTTTTCAATTCAGGTCTAGACACATCTCCTCCAAAAAATGCTATGCTAGTCTTGTTATCATCCTATCCTTCTTGAAATCTTCCAACAGTATAACACATATCCAATGAGATAGTACGACTCCTCGCCACTCCATTGACACCCTAGACCAATACGCTAGCTATGTCCGATGCGTAGTATACCAGCCGAACAGGTGTTGTTATACCACTCCATCTGCAGATCGTCCACCATGTGCACTTGCGGTATGCCCAACAGGTATGTGTAGGCATTGAACTGGATCCCGGAAAGCGCCCGGAACTGGTCGTTGAAGAAGATCTGAGTAAGGTGGCAGTCGATGTACCCCCAGCATGCTGGAATCGTCGCATTCTGTTCTGCAACGAGCACCTCTTCTTTGAGGACAGGGTCATAGCGATAGCCAGACACCCGCAGTGTACAGGGCTCGAGACCGCTGAGAGCGCAACCAAAGTAGGCAGAGTACGCGTTGAACCAGTAGGCATCGACCGAAGCCCGTGGTCCGGCACCAAGCTCATCGGGAAGCATCATGCCCGCAAATGGCGTGTTGGGAAGGAGGCGTCCGGTCAGAGGCAGGAACATTGCGATGTTTGGCTGCGAGATGGCGGGGTATGGCTCCCACATGTCAGGTATATATGTATATCCGTTGGCATAGAAGAGGTGGTGGTACGGGTTCGTCATGCCATTGGCAACAAGCAGTATGCTGTTGTCATCACCGACGACTGTGTCATCGAAGGTCAGTGTGAAGTTGCCCGACTCGCCGCACGACGACGGTCCTGGGAGATCCGGAAGCGCCACGGTTGTCGTTGCAAGCATGCTTGTCTCCAAAGTTTGGGTAGGCTCGACCTCTGTGGTGGGAATGTCCTGACGCCTCGCCAATGTTGCCGTTCCTTCATCGCCTTCTTCGAATATCGTCGTCACCACTGTTTTGGAGCGCCTCGACCTGGATGAAAACACTTCAAAGGAAGGGAGAGCTGAGAGCGGTGTCTGCCGCTCAGTCCGTGTGGTCAACGGCATGGTTTGCAAGTCCGATGGCAGCGGCCCAGTTACTGTGGGGTACAGTCCTGTCCAGTATGACATTGTTGTCGTGATGTTGGGTGATGGGAAAACGAAGCTTACTGCAGCATCTCCGAACGAAATCACCTTGGTCACGGCCCGGAAGAGAGACGAGGACGTTGCGTTTAGACCAGAAGGAGAAGGTGGAGTTACTACTGGAGAGATATTTGTCGTCGACGTCAACGTTGAAGTGAGGGTGCTTGGCGAGACAACACCGGAGCTCGCAAGAGACATCGATGCAGTAGTGTCGGTCTGGATGCTCATAGTGCCATCAAGCGAGGTTGAGCTGGGATTGGAGCTCGTTATGGTATCCGACACCAACAGTGCAGAGGAAGACGTTGAGTTTCTGACGATTGAAGACGAAGAGTTTGTACTAGGAAATAGAGTGGGAAATCCAGTCGAGGTATCTGAGACCAGCGTGCTGGTTAAAGGCGTACTCAAGGACTGCAATGATGAAGTAGAGCTCTGTGTAAGAATTGAGTTGAGTGAAGAAGCAGACAGTGTAGAAAGTGACAACGTAGATCCTGTCGGTAGTGTGATCGAGATGCTGTTTGCATTGCTGATCTGTGTTGGAGTTGAACTGATTGGAACCGAGTTACCCGATGTGATACCGGAGTTTGTACCTAGCAATGAGGTAAGAGTCCTTGATGATGTGCTTGAGGAACTCCCAGTACTGCTGGCCAGGCTAGGACTTGGATTAGGTAGGTTCGAGGTGCTTGAAGACGGGCCTGCAGGAGAAGATGTTTCCGAGGAAGGTCTTGGAAGAGACACAGTGAAGCCATCGCTCCGCGTGTAAGATGACACAGAGGACTCCAAAGAAGTCGTTATGCTAGTGGTAAGTGAAGTCAATTTACTTGATAGAACTGATGTCCATGTTGTAAGAACACTCGAAGTCAGCGGTAGACTGAGCCCTGATGTAGGCTGCGAAGACATGCCACTAAACGTGCTCGAAGGTAGGTTTGGATTCAGACCAGGCAGGCTGCTCGACGGGATGACGGATGGGAGACTAGAAATCGAGGGTGTGGAGAAGGTGGATGGCAAGACAAGTGTAGATAGCGTAGTGACGACAGTGGAGAGTCTGCTGCTGGTAGTGATAACGGTGGCAGATGTAGAAAACGACGGATATGGTCTCTGTGGTTGGTTGATCGGTCGAGTTAAGTCCGACGTCTCAGATGATGTTGGGCCCAACGGGGACAAACTCACAGACGATAAAGCCAACGAAGAAGTTAAGGGACTGCTTCCAAAGATACTAGTACCGACTGACGATCCAAATGTAAATTCAGAGGTCAATGATGACGTAAACGTTGCGCCTGATTCTGGGGTAGAAGGGTTGAATATGGACAGCGCAGATGTAGTCGCCGTCTGCGTTGATGATGCGGTGGCAGCACCGGAGGAAGATGTTCCTATTGTCGACAACGACGAAACGATAGGTGTAATATCCGCAGTTCGGGTAACAAGGGTACTGAAACGACTGGGCGGCGAGATACTGTTAAGCCACTCTGTTGTGCCGTTGATGACGGAAAAGTAGTATGTACCTCTTGCAGGATTTGTAGGCGACGCACCGATGAGCGAAACCGTGATGATCGGCCCAGGCACAGTGACATAGACGACGCTGCAGTTTCCATCCAAGCCTTGAGCGGCGACTCCAGGCAGAGCTCTGAGCAGAAAATCCAGTACGACGTAGAAGCCAGCGATAGTCAAGCCAACCAGAACTAATGTCAGGACAAGATCCTGGAGGGTTTGTCGATCGGTCCAGTGTATCCGAACCAAGGCCAGGAAAAATTGGTATGTCCACTTCAGGGCACGGCATGGCCACCAGCCACCAGGCTTGAATCCCCACAAGGGCTGCTTCGGAGACTTCGTCTTGGGTTGGGAGTGCTGCTTTGGACCTTCCCATGTACTTGAGATGACCGAATCTCGTTTTTCTTGAGCACCCTTGATACGCGACATAGGAGCAGCAGGCGAGGTGCTGTTGGAAGTTTTGGATGTGGTTGGGTCCTTGAGTGAGGCGGTGGTTGGCGTGCTGAGCTTACTTTGAATAGGGTCTGCTAGTAGGTGCCGCCGATTAACTGTACTGCTTGTGGATCTGGTTTTGACGTTTTCGTTCACAGATGTCGAAGTTGAGGGGATGTTGGAGCCACTGATGCTGCTGGTAGATGTATTTTCCTTCCTCGCTCTGTTTTTATTGCGGACTTTGTTCTTACCCATGATGAGAGAGGAAATGCTGTTGCTATGATACACCTGCGAAGATGATGCTGATATGCTGTTGTGCAAAGATTGTATTGCGCAAGGTATTCAAAAGTGCTGTTGTGGTGATGAAGGACAGCAGTAACAGACTGATGCTTTAAAGCCCAGCGCATCGAGAGCGTGCCTGCCATGAGTGCGTTAATAACAAAGTGAGCAAAGACGATGGATTGATAGAGTGAGAACGACGCGAGATGTTTGCAGGGCGTGTGGAAGGCAAGAAACGTAGTGGTTGATCGCTCTTGTCTCGGGATGTCGCAGCACCCGACGATTTGACATGTAAGAATCCGTGCTTAATTAATCCTTGCAAATGTAGCTTGCCTATCGCCATAGTCACCATCATTTGCTCTACGCCTTCAAACAGCACAGGTCCTTTTTCTCCACTGCATGCTCTTAACATACATCACTAGACGATCAAGTTTGTTAGAGTAGTAGCGACTGGGCAGCTTCTGATTGTATCAACTCTCCGATTACGCTCTTATCTCCCACATCCTGATATGTCCAGCTTCATTGGCAACTGCTAGTTGCGCAAGGCTGCCTTCTTTCTCCTCCTCTTCGGTCGGCCTTCCCCACGCGACCGCCGTGATTCTGCCAAGTGGCGTCTTCTCTGTAGGCCAGTTCTTGAAAACAGTAGCTGATGGCAGATGCACAAGCCTCATGGCATTGTTCTTCCAGCGACTCGCCATGGCAAGGACTTGGCCGTCCGCTGTGAAGGCAAGATGCGAGATCGGCGTCGTCAGATTCTGCAAATCGCGCAACGGCTTCGGTGCCTTTGGGATACCACCATTTGAGTCGGCTTTCGTGCTGTCGACTGACGGGTCCTTCTCGCTCCATGCTCGCCGGTCGTAGACATTGACCACGCCACTTGAGCTTCCAATGGCCACCCATCGATCACCACCCAGCCAGCTTTCACGCCCGCTCTTACCGCCAAGTGCGATGGTTGTAGTACCCACGGCGCCCTCGTCGTTCCATCGTCCAACGACACCCTCTTGGACGCTCCACTCAGTCACCTCTCCGTTCTTTCCCGCAATGCTCATACCGCTGCCATCACCCCACCACGCGAAGTCTGCAATTCCGCCTCTTGACTCGATGCGCACCTGTGTCGCCCATTGAAGAGTTCTTGCATCTAGAATGTTGACAACACCACCGCCCTTTCTTGAAGAGCCTCTGAGAGCCATGTATTTGCCGTTGGGTGACAGGGAGAAAAACTCCATTGTTCGCTGTTCGTGCTGATGGCCATAGACACGCGACACCTTCTCAACTCTGCCCGTTGCGATGTTCCAGACATGGAAGTAACGGCGTCGTGCGCTAAGGAAGATGCGCGAGTCCGAAGGGGAGGGGTGGAATGCTGTTGTTGCCAGTGGGGTGCGCTTGATGTGCAGAGATGTAAGAAGAGGGTTCGGGTTCGGCGGGTTGGGGTTGACGTGGTGAAGGTAGAGCGTTGAGCTAGGGCCGGATGAGAGAAGGAGTGGATACGCAGGATGGAAGGAGAGGGAGGTGACGGCTGACTAGAGAAATGGTCAGTAAGATGTTGGCGTACGATAGTATTGCGCTACTCACCGGCCCGGCCTTCGCGACATCTTTCAATCGCTGAATGTCGATGGTGCCTGCTTGCAACTTCCTTCGCTTCGCCATGCTCCTTGAAGTGCGTGAGAGAATATCCGCATCCTTGAGCAGCAGAGCAAGCGGCTGCGTAGTGAGATCGTCTTCATCCACGTCCATGTCGCTGGCAGACTCCTCGCCGCTCTCGTCGTCATCCATGGTCCGTCGCCGCTTCTTGTTGGCCTTGCCTGTCGCGTGTGCCGCCCAGTCTGGGGTGGGGTAAAGCCTCTCGTACTGCTTCCGTAACCGCCGCGCGTATTCCTTGCCATTGACCATGTCGTCGTCTGCCGTTTCTCGCAACTTCCTCAATTGCGGCACCGAAGCCAGACTAACAACCAGTCTTTCGTCGTCGCTGTCTTCCCAGGCGGGTTTGCCGTCATCCTCGTCCGACTCGGTTACCTTTGCGGCTACCGAGCCTGCTGGCGCAGGAACTGGACCAGCATCGAAGAAGAATAGATCTTGGTCTGCCACATTGTCCAGGTCGGCCGCCTCTGCTCCAGAATCGTCTGATGAATCTCCGTATGCGCCGGCGGTAGGATCGAGAGAGAAATTCTCCAGACCTTGACGGAAACCTTCCGAATCGCCGAAAATCATGCGCTCCAGCTCCTCTTCCTCAGCGTCTTTGGGCAAGACAGGCTTTTCCCGCTTTGACTCCGTCTGGATATCTATGCTCTCCGCATCGCTGTCTTCGTCTTGAGCGCCATCTTCCTCGGACTCCTCCTCTGTGCCGAAGCCTTCGAAGTCGTCTTCTTGTGGTTCCTTCACCGGTTGCAGTGCGCCTGCATTTGCATCGTCGCTGCCTTCGAGTTCGGGTTGGAAGCGCGCAGGGTTCTTTGACTTCTCGGGTACGTAGCGCTGGTGACCACCGGATTTGTGTGGAGTTGTCTTTACGGGCGCCATTGCGAGTTCTCGTGAATGTGCAGAGAGAGCTGCTGGCGCGCCATCGCAAAACTGAGGGAGAAATTGTTGCAGGGATAGCCCTGTTACGCGGCAAAGATAGGCGAAGCTCCGCAGCCAGCACCTCTGACCCACAACCACGCAAGAGTTGAGATGCACCATGTCCCAGCGACGAGCATGTCCTCCAAGATTAAGCACCTTCGGATAGGGAGACAACGGTATTTTGTTGATTAACATCGACACCAGGGCCATGTCCAATAGGTCTGCCTTTTGCAGGCTATTACCCAACCCCGCCGTTTTAACACGCTTCAACTGTAGGAAAGCATTGTCTGTTAGGCCTACACAGTATGCAATCTGGAGCAAACAACTCCATCCTTTCACATCAAGTACGCGGAACGGAAATTACAACACCCTGAACTGTGAGTGAAGAGAATCGTATATACTCTTACGCAACATGCTTCGGACTGCCATTGGCTGACTATTCCGACTCCGACGCGCATCTTAGGCGATACTTAACCGGGCAAGGCTTGTATGACTCTTGTCCAGGCAGATAGATGGGTATATAAGCACATTTCAGGCCTTGATATATCTCTAGTGTTGTCACATGTCTCATAGTCAAGTCCCATATTTATAGTCGTTACTCTTCTCTCTCACCCCAGACCTCTAAACCTCTCCATTTCCAGGCAACCGACAACATGCCAGATTCAAGCCTCGCCGTTTCACTTCTCAAACCCGAGGAAGCAGAACAATATATGCGTATACGGCATGCGGTCTTTCGCAACACCATCAACAACATCCTCTACTCTCGGGGCGAGCCATCTCAGAAAACGCTCGACAGAGTCACAGAAGATATACGTGATGGCGTAATCAACAAGGGCATCCTCTACCTCAAGTGTGTCGATACCTCGACCGGTGAGATGGTCGCAGGCGCACGTTGGCGCTACGTCAAGCCAAAAGAAGAAGGCGCGAAGGAACGTACCTGGGAAGAGGTAGATGCTGGTTTCACCATCCCAGAACCGTACGACGAGAGTGACCCAGAGCTCTTCAAAAGTCTCTACACTCTGTTCAACTCGAACAAGCGGGAGATTCTTGGCAACAGACCCTACTACGTATTGGATACATTAGCCACACTCCAAGCCCACGAGAGAAGAGGAGCCGGAAGCATGCTGGTAAGATGGGGCTGTGCAAGGGCGGACGAGGTCGGTGTCGAAGCCTTTCTCGAAGCCAGTCCCATGGGGGCGCCAATGTATGCGCGGCATGGTTTCCAGCCAGTCAAAGAGGTGAGTATCGATCTGAGACAGTGGGGTGGAAAAGAGTTGATGAACTTTATCGTAAGTCCCTCTTCGAGTCCCAATCTACTTTGCAATATGTCTAACGCCATCGTAGCTTATGTTACGACCTGAAAAGCAGTCGTAGTCATCAAGAAAGAATGCAAAAGAGGCCAGTTTCATTATCTCTCTTTATTTGCGTTATTTGCAGGCTATCCTAGTATCAACATAAGTGGTATGCTAATGTCACGTATGATGGATGTTGCAAACATGGGCATTTTACTAGGGTTCCTTTTCTCCTACGGTTCACACAGCAGATTCAGACATGAATCGATGTGGTTTCATATATTTACTGTCTGTTGCGTATGTCAGGAGTTTAGATACGCTGAAATTTGAATCCATTGGCGAGGATTTGAGTGCAATGGTAAAAAGATTCGATTCCAGCATCTTCGAGGAGTAGTATCTCAAATCTTAATGTTTATAGTAAAAATGTGGCCCGACAGAAGCCATTCATGGTCCGAATGACTTTATGTATTTTTCGTATATGCCACATTCAATTTGAGGCACCATCGGGAAAGCGTTTACTCCGGAGTCCACACCCCGGCGGGTTTAAGGCCCCCAAAATTGGCGACACCGTTTAGCGCATTAATGAGTAAGCCCTAGGGTCGTTCAACTTCGCGCATACCGTCTTCGTCGCATCTGACTGTACTTCGGTATAGTGACTGCATACTGTATGAGCACGTGGAGCCATACGACATCGTTGTCCGTCAAGATGGTCTCAGCGCCTTCAGATGCCCCTTTGGATGCATCTCATCCCACCAATACTACGGCCCAGGAGCCACCAGCACCTAAGAGCTTCTCGTGTGTACTATGTGCTCAACGAAAAGTCAAGTGCGATAAGCGGCCGGATGGTTGTGCGAACTGCACCAAGATCCGGGTTCGATGTGTTTACAAGGCCCCACCTCCAGCCCGACGAAGAAAGAAGGGCGTGCGCGAAATCGACGTAGCTACCAGGTTACGCGTGTACGAAGACGCGCTCCGCCAACTCGGAGTGGAGCCAGAAGATTTGGTCAAGCAACATTATGCGAAGGCTACACGTGGTGAAGAGCTGGTGACTGGGTTCAATGGTTTCCTGGAACCACATGGGCCTAGTCGAGCGCGAAAAGCACACGTAGCATCCGAAGTTGGTGTCCTTGTGTTGGAAGAGGGTAAATCGCGATACTTGGAGAACGGATTGTGGACAAGCTTGCACGCTGAGTTTCGTGAACCCAAGGACATCCTCGATGAGTCTTCAGATGAAGAGGTGTCCAGAGGCAGCTACGATGTCCCACTATCTCCGTCAGCCACGGATGGCGCCGCACTGGTCATGGGCGTGCACTCAACGTCGAGCAATCTTCTGTCTCTACACCCGAACCCGGTCCAGATCTTCAAATTATGGCAAAGCTATCTCAGAAACATTCACCCGCTGGTCAAGATTTGCCATGCTCCAACGACTCAGCAGCTCATTTTAGATGCAAGTGATAATCTTCATGCTCTTCCCCGAGATACCGAAGCCCTTCTATTTGCTATCTACTGTATAACTGTAGAGTCGTTAGAAGATGTTGAGTGCCTGCTGATACTGGGAGAGCCGAAAGGCATAGCGACTCAACGATTCCGGCAAGGTGCTCAGCATGCATTGGCCAATGCAAACTTCTTAAGAAGTTCCAGTGTCATGCTGTTACAATCGTTCACCCTGTTCGTTGTAAGTTTTTGGATAGTGATCTTGATATTCAAGTCCGAACGCTAATGCACGACAGCTGTCTCTACAGGACTTCGACGCCAGAGTGATCTGGATCTTTTCCGGTATCGCACAAAGGATTGGCCAACGCATCGGTCTTCATCGTGATGGCGACACTCTGAAACTACCGCCATTCGAAGCAGAGATTCGTAGGCGCCTCTGGTGGCAGATCATGGTGCTCGAAGGCTCTTCCCAGAAGCTCGCTGGAACTGGCACATCTGGTATGATCCTTCGAGGCGATGTGGGAATGCCATCCAACATCAATGACAGCGACTTATTCCCAGGAATGAGAGAGATGCCAAAGGAACACGACGGCGCCACCGAGATGATGTTTTTCCTCATTCGATGCCACGTTGGAGATTTTCTCAAGCGATCAGCGGAAGACCATACTACTTTTGATGGCCTTTGGCACCGACTCAGTACAAGCGCGGTACAAGTGGCTACCAAAGACAAAGCCATCAATGAACTTGAAAATCTTTTCCAGCGGAAATTCCTATGTTATTGCGACCTATCTATACCTTGGCACCTACTATGTATGCATCTCGCCAAGTCTGTCCTCTTCATGATGAGGTTCATGGCTCACAGCACCGACTCTTACAACGTTGATATCTCTCCCAAGGAAAAAGACATGTTGTTTGATCTGGCTCTCCAGGTCGCAACTTCGCAGAACCTGGCATACACTACGAAGGAGCTGCGTGGCTTTAGGTGGCATGTCAACCTAAATTTCCAGTGGAAGGCTTTCATATACCTTATCTCTGAGCTCTGTCATCGGACTGGAGGAGAGAAGGTAGATAATGCTTGGGCAGAAATTGAAAAGAGCTACACTTTCCACCCTAGTTTCGATAGGGATCTCTCGAAGCGAGCGCTTCCTATAGCCGTTGACAACCTCACGATTAAAGCCTGGGGCGCCTACAAAGCAGCGCAGGGCGCGCCATGTACTTCTGAGCCTCATTTTATTGAGCTTATACGTCAGCGTCACCGACAACGCCGTCGTCCAAATCTGACCAACTCTACTATCACCAACGCAGCCCTGCCGGCAATGAGTTGGAGCAACGAGGAAAGCACTATCGAGGATCACATTCAAGAGATGTCTAACGCAGATGATGCGAACTCTTTCGACTGGGCCGAGTTCAATGCTAGTCTAGGTCCACCCGATGATGTAACGGACCTGGCGTCTTTCGAGTTTCCAGAGCCGATGAACTGGTCAACTCTGGATGATTTTTTGGTTGACTTGCGCAATAATGGTGACGTAGATGCTAGTTTTGTGACTTCCGGAAACAGCAAGATGTGAACTTGTCACAATATCAGGGTCTGTAGTCAACGGGAGCAAAGCGATCCGTACTTGCACTCACCTTCACTTTCGACTTGGACAGAAAGCTTGCCTTGTGCGCTCAACATCCCACAGACACTCGATCCCGTACTCCACTACGAATATGTCGTCACCTCCACGGTCGAGTACGTCGCCACCTCCATGGCCGAACACGTCGTCACCTCCACGCTCAAATAGGTCGTCACCTCCACTCTCAAAAATGGTGAGAGCTTCACGTCTTCAGGTTGTAGATGCAGTCGAGAGGCAAGCCTCCAAAATCTTGCGGCACCAGCGAAAGAGCTGACCTCTCTCACAGCTGTCTCACTTCGGGTGAATATTCAGATCTGACTATCCAATGCGGCGATGACGTCTACAAAGTCCACAAAGTTGTGGTGTGCACACGGGCAGGTTTCTTCGCTCGAGCTATCAAATTCGGTGGCAAGGTAACGAAGTTTTTTTTCATTTATGTTATAAAACTTGACAACAAGTAGGAGGCTCAAGAGAACGTCATCAATCTCCCTAAGGACGAACCCACAACTATCGCTTCTCTCGTGAAATACTTATACTCAGGCACATACAGTGAAGACCTCTTGGGAAACCTGGACCCTGAGCATACGGAACTACACGACGCGTCGAACATCGTTATTAGGCGAACCCCGTTTTGGTTTTATGAAAACCGTCGCCGCTATACATACGATTTTCCTCATACCTGTTCAGATGATGGATGTAACGATTGGTGCTTGTGCGCACACCACTTCTGCACTATCAATTGCGATTCCACATGCCAAGCCTTTGTCTGCAATGAATGCTGTTCATTGCGAGTTCCCGGATCACCTTCACGGCTCCTCAGTCATTCGAAGATGTACGAAATTGCCGACAAATATGAAGTCACTGGGCTCAAGGAGCTGGCATGCAAAAACCTCGCGCTTGCTTGCTTAGCTTTCTGGGACGACGAGGTATTTCCCATTGCCATCAAACATGCCTTCTCTACGACCATAGCCGAGGATAGAGGCTTGCGAGACGTCATCATCAAGATCGTCTCTGGCCACGACTCACTCGTACGCAAGGCGGAGATTCAGGCTGTAATGCTAGAGCACAGTGACTTGGCTGTAGGCGTTCTACTGAAGAAGGCGGGCTAGGATGATGTGGGATGATGATCAAGGGCGATCAGCAATGCCAAACCACCAAGAGATGAGAGATGCGCTTTAAAGACAATGTGCTATCGGCTCACCATAGTCTCCACTTATAGGATTCAGTCTACATACACAGATCTTTCATTCAACCGAATACTAGCTCCGCGTATTGCTTAGTGTACCGTATTTCAGAGCACCATAGTATGCGGTAGAAATTAACCGAGTTCGACATACTCATAACCTGGTCTAATTGGTGTTCATGTATCTCTTCCAAAACTACTTCGAGATTACGTCTTCGTCTGTCACATATGGTCATGTTGGAAGAGAAAGGGCAACAGGCAGTGGTCCCAGGATGATAAGACACAACAAGTCAATCTAGTAGAAGCTGTGTGTATTGGTTTGGACTCAACAACGTCTTCATTATACGCTTGAATTGCTAAATCTATATTCTAAAAGCCATTACATGAACCCTGATATGCATATTACATTAGATCTATCGTCTTCTTCTCATAATTCATAAACCAAAGGCCTCTAGTTGTAAGTGTACACAGGCGAGGCGGGAAGAGTACCGAAGTCACCAGAGCCGAAGGGGCTGCTAGGAGAAACCTTTCCGCCATTGATGTCTGACACACCGAACCAAGCAAGCTCAGCACCCTTGTTGACTGTGATGACAGCGAAAGCAGGAGCGGGCTGCGCAACGTATCCCCAAGAGATGGTCAAGTCGGATCCAGTGGTGCATGGCTGGTTGGCCCAGCTTTCGCTAGCAGCGTTGGAACCCGGCATGCGGATAACAGTGCAGCGCTCGGTCTTGCCGTCTGCTGTAACAGCGAAGTTGTAGTCGCAGCCGGAGTTGCCCTCAATGCAGTAACGGGTTAGGTCCGAAATGGTCCAGGTCTTGCCCTCCACAAGCTTGGGGTTGGAGCCCGGTGCTGCTGTTGCAACAGGGGAAGCGACGGCGGATGGTGTAGGGCACGATCCAGGGTGGGCAGGGTTGCAACCTCCTGGAATGCCAGGGATGGATGTGAAGGTCGCGGCGGGGGACTTGGTGGTTGTGTCAAAGTAAGAAGAAGGGCACGAGCCAGGATGAGCGGGGTTGCAGCCACCAGGGATACCAGAGATGGATGTAAAGGTAGCGGCAGGAGCCGCAGTAGTGGTATCGAAGTATGAGGAGGGGCATGAGCCTGGGTGAGCAGGGTTGCAACCACCGGGGATGCCGGAGATGGATGTGAAAGTTGCAGCTGGAGCAGCGGTGGTGGTATCAAAGTACGAAGATGGGCATGAACCTGGATGAGCCGGGTTGCAGCCACCAGGAATGCTTGAAGCGACTGGAGTAGCAGCTGAAGTCGACTTGGGCAGAGCAGCAATCTGGGAGGAGCACCATTCGCGGATGCGAGCAGCGTCTTCACCGTAACAAGCGGTCCGATCGCATGAGCATATGACTTCAGCAGTGCCCGCAGCGACGCACGCGTCGTAGGCAGTCACGCATTTGTCGTCCTGGCGCGCGCGGAAAGTAGGAGATGCGGTCGCAGCCGACAGCATCAACGCAATAGCGGCGACTTTGGAGAGCATGTTGGTAATTGTTCGTATGAGCTTCGTGTGAAAAGGGTGTTTGTAGGATGTGTTGAGGAATTGATGGTAGTTGTGCTTGACTGTCGATGGAAGAAGCGGATGAAGACAGTCGACGATGCGATGGCTGGATTATATAACTTTCGTGAACATAGCCGTGAGGATATCATTCTCAATTGATGGCATAGCCCGAGTGTGACCGGATGTTCGGAGAAAGCACAACTCAGCACGACCTTGCTTAGCTCTCGAACCATGCTGTGGCAACCATGAGGCTCCCGGAGCGGCGATTTGACGCTCATTGGCTGAAGAGCTGGAATTTTACGATATTCGGCTCTTCTTGCGCCGCAATACGAGGCACAGTCGTATGAGCGACTATCATGACGATACTGCGCTTGACACGAGGGGTGTCCCGTGGTTCGAGGGTCTTTTTCGATAGTTCGGAAGCATTCCGGCGAGGCTTCATGGGCAGCTATCGGCTAGTTGCTCCATAATTAGGACCACGCTAACGGCTAACAGATGACAGTTGAGCTTGATGAAAGCTTGAAAGGTGATCGCCTCGCCTGTAACCCGAGCAGCGGTGACAGAATAGGCAGGGTGGCTGGTAAACGTACGAATGGAATGGACATCGGGTTGGTGAAAGTCCGAATACGACTTCACTAGAAGCCTGTGGGTAGTGACGTGGTAATCGTCTGGCGGGCGGTTCTCCACAGGAAAATAGGTCAACGGCAGAGGCCACTCCGCTGCGCTCGAAGTCCATCGCCGAGCAGCTTTGCTGAAGGAACACGGTGTACGGTCACCATGGTACGGTCACCATGTGCATCGATGGCCGCAACGTGGAACATCCTCAGGTGTAGGACCATGGACCGGCAGTCGATGCGTGGTAGATCCCCGTGGGCAAAAAGCAGATTATGTCGAGCATTACGAGAAGAGTCAGGCTCAGGACATCGTTTGACGACATCAATTCCTACTATCTCTCATTCCTTAACTTCCTCTCGTTTTCTCTATTTCGATCTAGGAAAGCAGCTATCCACTGCCATAGCGGAGAAGGCGTTCATGAAGCGGCGGTGCAAGCAGACTGGCGCTTGCTGTACACGTACGACGAAGCCATTCAATTAGAAGCTCTTCTATTCTCCAGCTGGAACGAATATGCGACACAGTAGTATGAGACAAATTTGACGAACTTCGAAGGCTGAGAAAGTGGCTTTGGCTGCGCTGGGCGACCGGGCGATGGCGCTACATCACATCCACGCTAGCCTAGCCGTTAGCGCAAAGCCACGCCGCTCGTTTCCCTGTAATCGTCATCGTCAACAGCAAGAGGTTGGAACAGCTGGCCAACAAAGCTTTACCAAACACCACAGACTCCCGACCGAGACCCACTATCAGTAGCTGAGCTATACAATATGGTTCCTTCCACTGCCGACACTCCCAATGTCGATAGCCCACGTAAATTGCCTACAGCCGAGGAGTTGTCGGAAGCGCTCAAGATTGATGTATACGACCGAAAGGGCAAGACCAAGGCGCTAGGTGACCTTGTCAAAGGGCAGAGGACTGTGTTAGTGTTTATTCGGCATTTCTGTAAGTGTTGGGTAATGTGACTAATGACAGCCCTGGGCCCACATCATTTGTAAGGGCCGTCAACCACTGGAAATTACCAAAGCGACTAAGACCGGGATACAAGAGGATGGAGCACTGACATCTGCAGGGTGTCTGAACTGTCAAGCGTACGTTCGCTGTATCAGTGAATCTATACCACCATCAAACCTGCCTGCTAATACTCAAAGTACGCATTACCAATGAAAAATTAAGATAGTTTCAACTAACGTATAGCACCCAGTCCTTGTTGTAGGATGTGGCTCCCACCAGCCCATTGACACCTATGCTACGAACTCATCCTCAAAGTACCCCATTTACACTGACCCAACACTCCGCCTACACAAGCTCTTCAAGTTCAAGTCGAACCTAGCTGAAGGGAAAGCTGGCGATGAACAGCGAGATTACATGCGCAATGCGGGTAGTACGATGTCCAGGATCTTTGGTGGCATCAAGGGTGCATTGGGGAATCTACAGCATGTGAACTCTGTAGGACCAAAAGCCTTGAATGGTGGTGAGGTGGTTTTGTCTGCCGGTAAGTATCACTTGATGCTAGCTATGTTGTAACTTCTCAACTATGGTACTAATAGCGATGGTGTACAGATGGCGAATGCGAGTACATGTACCGCATGCAGAATACGGTCGATCATACCAACATAGCGGAGCTGGCAAAGATGATTGGAGCCGAATACATACCCGTAGATGGCGAAGAGAAGAAAGCGCAGACTTGCAATGAACCGGCTACGTGAGCGTTTGGAATTGCATCCTACCACGAGAACCGCCCACAGCAGACACAGATTGCTGAATAGGTTTGAGGACGTCTCCAGCTTTCTTCGTATCTGTATGTTGTGATGCTGTAGCATCAGACTGCATAGGGGATATGGCCACCTTTGATGAGAAAGAGAAGGCGAGTGTCCAGCTGCGACACCCATATTCCAGACCTTTTATTGACATGATGCTCTTTGAAGTTGTTTCTCATGTGAATGTTGTTTCAAACGCATAATCTCAATATCCGAGGATTCTACTACAACACATTATCAATCGGTTTTATTTGCTTTGAGAATATGCATGAGAAGGTGGTCGAGGTCTCAAGATGCAGACAATTCACGGGAGATAAAAAGGATATCAAAATTGTTAAAACAAAATACATTGGCAAATTCATGGGTATATCTAACATGTCGGTGATCTAGTAAAGTCATTACGCAAGTCCCAAATCTATATTTCCTGTCCAGCGGCAGCGATGTCTTTCGCTTCATCTCTCATTCTCGCAACTTCTTCATGTTCCCTCTTCAACGCTCTCCAATCGAACTTTTCAAACGCAAAACTCCACGTCTTCTCGGCCACACTCAACATCCACTTGCTCATGGGGCCAATATCGTTGCCGTGGAAGCTCTTCCTTCCCACGTGCTGAACTAGGGGAGGGGTGATTGCGTATCTCAGCTCTCCTCTTTCGTTGGCGAAATCCTCCGTGATGACGTCCATGTAGCCGAGATGGCGCTCTTTGAAGTAATCAACGAGTTCGCCAGCTTTGACGGTAGGAAAGACGAAGGCTTGGCTGCAGCAGGCGAAACGAGGCATTTCGTGGACGCCGACAGCCATGGGTTGGACGGTAATGCGACCGAGACCGAAATACGTAAGAATCAATATGCCAAGTATGGTGTACATTGCCAGGAAGCTGCGGGGTGTCACAAGGGCGAGGGTGAGTTTCGTAGTCGGCTGTGCGAACCGAAAGAAGAGAATAACGATGGTTGGCACCATGGCCACGTATGCCGAGTTTTTCAGGTATGTTCTCCACTCCTCAGCATTCCAGCCCAGGAACTCCTCGGTGTAGAAGAGGCGCAGATAGAGGAAGTCGGGTTTCGCCCGCTGCAACGCTGCCTGTTGCTCTGCCTCCTGAATGGCAGAGAGAGTACGGTGGTACCAACCATCCACGGCTACGGTATCGTCTTCGAATAGAGCCACATAAGGCGTAAATTTCTCTGTACACTTGTCCAACAGATATTGGTAGTCAAATAGACCCTTCTCCAAAAAGTTGTTTCGTGCTTCCATGATACGAATGTACTGCATGCGGTCGAAGCCATATCCGTAGGTCAGTACTTCATCGGCAAGACCGGCCAACCACTCCTCGTTATGTGCAGGATGCGCCTCGGGGTTCGAGTGCGGTATGAAGACGATCAGGTATATCTCCTGCCGCTCTTCGGGCGTAAGACCGTCCAGCAACGAGCCCACGGCGTCTGGCAGGTATTGAGCGCCGTCCCGCTGGTATGAAGGTATGCCCACGCATAGTTTTCGCTGCTTCTCACCACCAGCCTTGGTCACGTTGGCGGGGTTGTAGGACGAAATGAAGGACTCGGCTTGCTGTCGTCTGATGGCGGAGTAGCGGGGGGCATAGCCTTTTCGTGGGTTGAAGAAGACGGATGTAGGGTCGCGTGCTGATATCGAGTTTATTGTGTAGAAGAAGCTCACGGCAACAAAGACGGCGATGCCTATGACAAGGCGTGAGGGCGAGAAATGCATGATGTGCGGGTAGTGAACGAGAGTGATGATGGGGCCAGGGTATTATCGCATCGCTAATCGAAAAGTGAAAGTGGAAACGAAAGTAAGGCCGGGGGGCAGGTCATGTCATCGTCAGTGTTGGTGGTGGACAAACAGAAGGAGAGATGGGAAAAAAAAGACAGGAGCGACGCGCGCTCAAGATGAGGCGGCTTGAGTGGCCGGAGCTGAGGGTCCACCAAAACGGCGGATCTTGCCTTACGAGGATCTGCCGTGGCTGACGAAGGATAAAATTAGCAGGCCAGCATGTGCGTGGGTCGATGCTTGCAACTGCTGCTGGAGCTGGTGGCGGTGACGGCAACTAAGACGACGCGCAAGATTGCCATGGCTGCCGCTGAGGACGCAATAAATGGAGGCCATCAATGCCGAGTCAATAGGGGAAACAAGTAAACAGTGACATGGCAGACTCGGTGCCACTCGGTCATGTCGGCGGTACTCGCACGTAGGTGCCATGGTGGTCAGTCATGTCATTGCTCTTCATTTTAAAGGATCGATAGGAGAATTCTAGGGACGAGGCACGACGGGTTGAACCGATGGATTTGGCTCCTGGCGCCTCTCTAGCGTGACAGTGACAGACGGCTGCGACTCCGCTTCATCCTTCGGTAATTGGCAGACGTTTGGCAACACCATATTGTTTGTTTCATGATAAGATTGCCGAGTCTACAGGACTGCTTGGTGTCTTGCGCGCTTTCCTGCACCCAAGACCACAACCGCCTCTCACCACATTCATGTCAAGATGCGATAGTCGCTGTAACACGTGCGCACGCATGTTGGCGCGCCACAGCCGAAGTGGCGCGATGACGAACATGGTGAAGTCGACATCTCATGCCCGCTGCACTGCGCATGCATCGCACTGAGTCACACAACTCCATCGTCGCTGCTTTGTAAACATCCTCCCAGGGCCTGTAGCATTGGGGCGTCTTCTTTGATCCAGTCATAGCCGTTTGACTCACCAGCCTTTGATCCCCCGCTCACCTTGGAATCACTCATATAGCGTACCAGACAGCTTCCGCCTCGACGCGCACAACCTTGGAAGCAGCAACCCTCGCTCGGTGCCATGCCCAAGAAGCACACCCCCTCGTACACGACTGCCAAACCCTCCTACGTCCACCCGTCGCTGCAGAGTTCGCGCTCCCCCGCTTCCTCTTCGTCGTCGTCTGAGCCTCAAACCGTCAACCAGCGCATACAACAGCTGCGTCGCGAACAAGCTCCCAGAGCAACGCCCGAACAGCGAGATGAGCTCACATCGGTAGTAAGCAGTCGTACTGTCCCGCCGGAGCTGCGGCGCATATTGCACATACCCGAAGTTAATGCTCCTAAACCAAAGGCCAACACACGGGCGCGAAGGGTCATGGGCGGCGTGAGACCGCCCCCAGGTCCTGCCGCACCTACGAGCTGGTTGCAGACAAGTCGCCATGCACCATCTTATACGAGAAAGAGGAAAGCTGAGGCAGACAAAGGGGCCGTGAGGTTTGGAACGCTGGCCACAGTGACCAATCAAGAATACAAGGTACGGCGCTCCCCAAAACGTGGCTAGCATATGAGGGAGCTCGTTCCTTCTAGCTTGTACCCACCCAAAACATACCCTGAAGGCATACGTACTGTACTGCGTTAGCACCCAATGGGAGAGTAGCAGAGTATGCCTTTGGGGCAAGTTTTGGTGTCCAGGGAACTACTCATGAAAACGAGCTCCTTCGTACTGGGTCTTCAAGGCTTAATCGTCCAATGCAGGCTTCTTACTCATGACAGCGCCTGCCACCACCGCGAAGCCTCGTCCACTACTGTCTACGGTCGTTTGCCCAAAATTGGGAAGAGCTCATCGAGTACGAACAACACTACATAACATCCCTACCGACCTCGCTGAAAGAAGCACTATTGAGTTATCTGACATTATACGGGGAGAAGGGAAGCCTGGACTTCAAGTCGCTCAGAATCCTGTTCCAAGATGAAGAGGGCACTGGTACAACAGGATGGGAGGAAGTCCAATTCCTCGATTTCAGCGGATTATTGAGCGAACGCTTCAAGATTAACGATATTGGAAAATGCGTCAAGCGTCATAGTGCTATTACCACTATGGATGTTGCGGCCCTTCGCGTCACTGACGAAATCGCCGAGTCCTGGGAAGAGGAAGTTCAGGAGAGCGTGACAATTCCCTCGGTACCAGCGATGAAGCTCCAAACTCCCTTTTTCAACAACTTGAGCCGACTGTCTCTTGCTCACCCTGGGCAATGGGCGTCATGGCCCGATCTGCTTCGCATCTCGCCGAACCTCAACAAGATCACGCATCTCTCCCTCGCTCATTGGCCCCGTCCCACAATGACACCAAACGCCAACACCACATCGATGGTTTCCCAACAAACAAGTGTTTCACTAGGAGGATCACACTTCTATTCCGATCTCGACGACGACTGGCATGAAGCTACCAATATCTTACGTCGCTTTTCAAAAGATACGTACTCACTACAGTGGCTCGACTTAGAAGGCTGTAACTGGCTTAAAGCCTTGACGTCGCATCCCGGCCGCACAGCTACGGATACAAATGCAAGTACGGAATGGAACACACAAACTGGAATTCCCGGTCCAGATTGGAACGACGCCTGGCGCCGTATAACCTACGTCAATTTCTTCCAAGGCTGGATCCCAAGCGACAGTCAAAGTCTACAAAATATGCCTGCGGGCATTGTACCAGTGCAATTACTCCGCTGGCTAAGGGATAACAAGGACAAGGAAGGTGTTAAATGGCGTCTGAATCCACAGGAAACCGGGCATGCGGTGGCGGAGTGGGTGAATAGAGAAAAAGTCGCTAGACTTGTTGGCATGGACATCCAGGGCATCCGTAAACGAGGCGAGGGCGCCTGGTGTCGCATCGACTTTGGATGGGGAGCTTCTGGCGAGAGGGTGGTCTGAATCGAATGGAACACGTATTCAACCCAATAGTCCCTTGATTCTTCTACATTTCTAGCTGTGATGCAGCGTCCAAAACTAAAAGGGAGTATTCAAAGATATAGAATGACTACCGCCGAGATATATGTGCCGACATATCCGATAGGTATGACATCGAGCAGCAATGCGACTATCCATAACCTTAATCTCCTGAACCCCTTTAATCAACGTCGACACTTTGATGATTGTTGAGAAACTACTCCTCGTATCGACAAGATAGGGCTAATGAAGATCGCATACCCACATTTTGTGCTAGCTGACTCGCTAACGCAGGTGCCTCCCGAGTTAAGCAGTAGATGGGTACGTGCGGTCATACACCGTACAAGCATGGCTGGACATGGTGGGCTCTTTTACGACCATGGAGGAGTGCATTTATTCTTGGTACTTCATGATGCTGAAGCCGACGACGCGCAATTTGAAGTTGAGGAACGCTAACGATATCACCTCTGCACAGCCAACGCTGCTATTCATAGACTGCGCGGGGTTTGGACTGCTGTCCTAGTATCGATGGTCGGTCTGGATTTAGATACTACTTTTTGTAGTCGACGCGGAACTCCCGAGGTAGCACAGCCACATACCGGATGCAGCTATAGCATGAAGAAAGGTGCTGTATTGGTCAATCGCTTGTCTATTAGCTGACATTGCGCAATATACACTGTAACGCATTCTAATTCCGGGTACTGTTAGTTCCAAGACGTTACGTTTTGCTTCTCCCGCTTCAGAAACCGTCAACTCTAAACGGCATGAACGGCAGCGATGCGCGCGGTTGTTTGCTTTTCGAACCCAAGACTTGACTGCGGGTAGGCCCAGCCGAGGAACGGAGCGTTTCGGTAAAAGACTGTTCCCAGCGGGTATCTGAAACCGTGACACATGAGGCTGTAACGTTTTGTGCTGACAAGAATTGGAGGTCAAGAAGCTGACGCGTACGTTACGGGTAAGCAAGTGACCGAAGACTGGAGTTTTGGTATGGGCAAAAGGCAATCAGATCCGGGTGGACATCTTGAAAGGGTAATTTGACAAAGTGGGTATTGATACTGTCGCAAAGCCACAATTGTTGCGCTGTTGCTTTTGCACGGCCGTTGTTCTAGGATGTCTGTAGAATCACTTTGGTAAGCAGACGTCGTCATGTCCTTATACAAGCGTCTGCGCTTGAGAGTGATGCGTAGAGCCGGCGGACCATTGTCCATAAGAGGGAGGCGTCTTAGTTCGTGAGATGGACGATAGCAAGCCACCCGCGTAGTGTAGACGTTACAAGGGTGCTATAGCCTCAACAACGGATTTGCCGGAGTCGCTATTCGCGGAAGGTGTTGGCATTGCTGCCTCGTATTCACTGTGGCCTTATCTCTCAACCGGGGGCATGCCCTGTTCACTACATCAAAGGGCAACAATTCTTGTTCTGCTCCTGAGAGCGAGTTTAAGGATTTGTAGGTGTAGTACTCTGATCCGAGAGGCGGGGCGATTCTACCAAGCCGCGCGGGTGGGGAGGGCGGAACCGAGATAAAGTGTTAATGACGTGGTGATGGTCGATAAAACTCGCGGCTTCATCATCGCGATAAGACGCAGGTCGAGACTCCCACCAGTAAGCGTGCGAAGTGCAGAAGCGTGCCGTAGTCATGAGCTTAGCCAGATAGGTCCCACAGCAACCAAGCGTGAGTTGATGCAGCTACACATGTCTATAGAGAAGAGTGCAGCCCGGTGCAGGTCGTCAGCCAACGAAGTTTAAGCGGCAGTAGATGGCGCGGGAGGGCTATGCTGCAAGAGGTAGGACGCGGCGTTTCACCTAGTTCCTTCCGAGTCTGCAGTCAACGCGCGTCTGGACAACGTAGAATCAAGGCGGCCCAGATTCAAGCTTCGAAGCAACAACGGGTGTAACAATCGTAGTGCCACCACGGCATCTAGAACCGGCTGCGTTAAAGCATCACAAATCCTAGGAGGAAGGACGGTTGTATTCTCAGATGTTCCTGCGATGTGAAGGTGGCGTTCGTCACCGTTGCCATGCATTGCCCCATGTCGCCGCCCAGCTAGGGCGTGAGTGGACGGGATTACTCAGGTAGTGATGAGGTGAGAAGAGGTATACTTGTCATGAGCAGGCTCTCCACTCGGCATACACGAGAGGCGTGGAAAGCGTGAAAGATCGCCCCAGCGTCGTAATGAAACCAGGATTGCTGAGGGGCGTGTAGAAAGACGAGGCTCGGTGCGCCAACTGATTTGGAACAAGCTTTGCCGCGATGTTGAGTCGGCCATGGAACATTCGTCGACGACAGGCACGCTAGACGGCTAGCGTGCCTGCGAACGTGAAACTCGGAGCACCCCTGCTTGGCTTTGGCCCTTTGGGGGTTCTCTTTCAAAAAGCCCGTGGTTATCGCCGCCGCCCATGCCTCTCATAGCCTCTGCAGCCTCCCTTGTCCTCGATGTCGTTCGTTCTTCCCTCGTGTCCGTGAATTGCGCGTTCCACCTCTCATTTCTTTCTCACTACTACCACCACTAGCCCTTTCTCGCCGATAAGGTCAACCCTTCCCCGAGCCAGAGCGTCGAATACCACCTTGTACCTCAAAACTCCGACAAGGGCGTCCGCTCTGAGACTATATCTTCCCACCTAGGCCCTATCGAGTTCCACCTGTGGTCACCCTTCACTCACCGAGGACCCGTCCCCTCCCCATCATTCGCCGGGCTCTTCAACCGCGCCGGCCACCATGCTTACCTTCAAGAAAGCCCTTGTGCTTTCCCTGGCTTGTTTGACGCTATTCTTCATCTTCAAGTCGCAGCACCACGGTAGCACAGCCCCCAACTTCCGCAATGCGAAGGAAATGCCCAGGCCGACCGCCTGGGTGAACCCATCCGACAGGGAGCGCGCGAAGCTCAAGGAGAAGGAGTCGAAAGAGGCGCAGAAGGCCGCAGAGAAGACCGCAGAGAAGGCGGAAAAGACCTTCGATACGCCCGATGCGCCAGCGCCCAAAAAGCCGAAAACCCAAATCAGCATGGACGAGCTGAGGAAGCGCCCACTCAAGGAACAGCTCGAATACCAGTTCCCCTACGATGTCGACGCGAAGACGCCCGCATACATTTGGCAGACATGGAAGTACACACCGGCACAGGGCGAGTTTGAGGAGATGTTCCGCGAGCCAGAGGCCAGCTGGAGCATCCACCACCCGTCTTTCGTCCATGAGGTCATCACCGATAATGTCGCAGTACACCTGATCAGACATCTATATTCTTCTGTTCCAGAGGTCATTGAAGCCTACAACGCTCTCCCTGTCCCTGTGCTGAAAGCTGATTTTTTCCGCTACCTTATCCTCCTTGCCCGTGGCGGCATCTACTCGGATATCGACACTTCGGCATTGAAGCCTGCGTCGGATTGGATACCCTCTGACGTACCCGCGAACACCTACGGAATGGTCATCGGCATCGAGGCTGATCCAGATCGCCCGGACTGGGCCCAGTGGTACTCCCGCCGCGTCCAGTTCTGCCAGTGGACTATTCAGTCGAAGCCTGGCCATCCCGTGCTTGTTGATGTTGTTACAAACATCACCCAGGAGACACTTAACCGCAAGCACGCGGGCAAGCTCAGCAAAGACTACAAAGGCATCATCGAGTTTACCGGGCCCGCTGTCTGGACCGATACCATCTTCGACTACTTCAACAACCCCGACTACTTCGATATGAGCACAAGCAAGGGTAACATTACATGGGAAAACTTTACCGGCATGAAGGCGCCCAAGAAAGTTGGTGATGTCATTGTCTTGCCCATCACAAGCTTCAGCCCCGGCATTAAGACCATGGGTGCTGGCGAGGATGACGACCCAATGGCCTATGTGAAGCACAACTTTGAAGGTATGTAGTTTTTTCTTCTTTTATCGAGCATCCGAGCGTACCGTCGTATCACGCTCCACCGTGCTACGCAGTACAAGCCACCGAGATGCAACCGTCCTTCGATTACACCCGCCTCAAGTCCCTGGTTGCCTCAATACTGACTAGCAATAGGTACCTGGAAGCCTGAGAGCGAGCGCCACATCGGCAAGACATACAACTGAACGAACAATCCCTGCGAATCGTCCGACCGAGCTCACCACATCACACCACATCACACAACCGTATTCACATATAGTGTACACCGCATTGAGCTGCAAAGGAAATGGGCAACAGGGAGTTGCGCGGCGGGCATCAGATAATGCCGATTCGAGTCGCGTGTGAGGAAATACAGCTTCCGGGGGTACAGGCTAGTGGGTTGCGTACACGCGTAGTTGTGAGGCACAGCACTGGCAGCCAGACTATCAACGTCGAATCATTTCTGCTGTTGCCCCGACGCTGGCATGGAGAACAGGAAGCAGCGCGGGCACGGAACATGTGTTGGTACAGCACCAGCATTTTCAAATCGGCTTCAAGCGCTGAAGTACGAAAAGTTTCTGTTTTGAGGTTATATCGGCTGCATTACTACTTGGCGTATGACAGCGTTTCATCTACTTTTTCCTACGAGAGGCGTTTGAAGATATGCCTACGGCGATACCTGTGCATACATTGGCTTTAAATAAGATACGCCATTCCTTCATCACGTTTTCCGTTTCTGAGAATCATGTTTCGTGTCTTAGCTCATTGTGTCATAGTGCCTGACTGGCGATCGGACTATCGTACATATACTCCAAAACGAGAATTTAACAAAGGAAAAAGGAAGAAAAGGTACTATGGGTATCACAGTCGAAAAACCACCAGGGTTTACAAATCACCATTCCATAAAATCCATCACCAATCTCATCGCCTGTTCCCCCCAAATAAGTCGCCGATCTTTCCCATCGTGCTCAATAGACTGCCTCCGAGCGTCGGTCTTCTCTCCAGCTCCCTGTCTTTCGCATACCTCCTCTCATACTCCCTTTCCGTCTCAAAATCCAACTCCCCGTAATGCTGATCGTGATGTCTATGATGTTCGTCCTCGTATTTATCTTCGCCATCCGCATACGCATGTGCATTATGTGCGTGCGTGCTATGATGAGAGTAGTGGCTTTGTTGCGAGGAGGTGCGTGCGTAGACGGGAGCGGCCTGGGGTGCATAGTTGACGGGAGGTGGGTAGGATGTAGAGGCCTGAGGGGCGGGATAGTGGTACATCTGGGGGTTGGACTGACGAATGGCGATGGCAGGGGAGCTGGGTTGGAGATGTGTCGGCCGCTGGCTGTTGTAGGAGGAAGAGGAGGAAGTGCGCTGGTGGGATGGTATGTGAGGTTGTGGCATTGATGTCATTGTGCCGCTGTTGTAGGGGGTGGTTGGTGAGGATGAGTATATGGGTTGTTGTTCAGGGATTGGCGAGAAGTAGTTTGTAGGTTGCTGCGGTAGTGGCACCCCAGGCGTGGTGGGGTAAGGCGGCTGTTGTTGTGGATATTGTGGATGTGGTGGATATCCTGATCTGGTGGAGTCGTAGGAAGACATGGTGGTGTTTCGTGGAAAGTGGATTGGCAGATGGCGGGATTTTCCCATGCACGGGTTATGATATCTTTTATGTCTCCAATCGAATGATACTGGTTGTAGCCCTGCGCGGTATGCCCTTGGCCCTGTTTCAAGGTTTGGCGATCGGCAACGTTGGATGTCGTATGCGGCTGGCTGTGGTGCTCCTAATACAGGATTAGGTGTCGATAACGGATAGATTGTTTGTTTCAGAACGATCACAGCTCGAACATGTGGTCCCGATAGTCTTAATATATTTAATATCCTAAAAGGTTGATCGGCTGCCTTGGCTTTTATACTCCATCGCGCGCCTTCATCGGTCCACTTCTCTCACCGAGCCTTATGTGCACATGCACGAACTAAGTCTTTCCGCGGTGAACTAATGCGATCCGGAGGGCCCTCCTCACCAATTAGTGCTCATCCAAGATCCGTTCCGGCTGCCAAGGAATATCCGTCCTGTGCAATCGAAGGCGAAAACATGAGGGGCAACGTGGACTGCATGCTATGATGTCACGCTCTTAGCCGAAGCTTCACCGGCAGCCTGGGTTTAACGTCGGGGTGCCTGGCGTTAGCGATCTAAGATGGTGTGCAGTAATCCGATGTTGTTGGTGGAGAGACGAAAGGGTTGCCGATCGTTTTCTCGAAGCCGCGACGTGACATAAGCTTGGCACAACCGTGCGCCAGCGTGACGGCTAATGGAGCGCATCGTGACCTTGTGAAGCGACCCTGCGGAAAGCGCTTACATATCATCGTATCTTCAGTCACTCTGAAGAGGATATGATAACATTTACCAACAACTACGCCGCAGCGCTTTGCTCAGAGTCCGTCAGGGGTATCCACAAGGGGCTATCGCACGATCATAACGATGCAGATATGAACAGATGCGTGAAATGCATGTCTTGCACACGCTATTCTTTGTGCAAGGGTGGCATCTGACGCCGTAGTGACTTTGCGAAGCACATGGCGCGTAGATTGCCTTTGCAGCATAAGTCTGTTCTTATGAAATATGGCTGAGCCACAAGCTTATCAATGGTGTATGTGGCTTCATTACAGTGCGATCCCAACTTCGACTGAATTGATTCGCCCATTGTTGCACTTCAGAGGCTGTGTTGCGGCGACATGTCTTTTTTCCTTCCTTATTAGCGTGCATCGCCACGAGCAACGACTCCGCTAACATGGAGCTAACGTCAGTTGGGCATCCGACAATGGCCGCCTTACCAACCACACGGCAGGTGTTCGCATTCCAGCGACTAAGTTCAATGGCTGGTGAACGCCAAGGAGATTGTTCGTCATATGAGCCAAACTAGTTCTTGACATTACCCCACCACTGGCAGGGCTGAGCGGTAAACTCAGCCACTGTGACTTCTGGCGCAACCATTCTTTAGGGAGCAGGCAGTAATCTCCCCCCCTCTCTTTTCCAAATCACTTGCCTTGTCCGGGTCGCACATCGATCTTACCTACTCTCAGTGCTTACTCCTGCAACACCTTGCCGGAATCACAGCTGAAAATGTCCTACAACTACAACCAACCAGGCGGTTATCAGCAGCCGTATCCGGGCCGTAAGTCGTCAGGCCCTCACCTCACAGCCCGACGATCGTTGCATCCTTCATGGCTTGCGAGACTTGGCGCTGATTCCTGACCCTGTACTAATATCTTACAGAAGCCCCGCCGCCCCAAGGGTACGGTCAGCATCAACAATATCAACAACCTCCACAGCAAGGCTATCATCAACCGCCACCAATGCAAAATCAACAGTACGGTGGCTACCAGCCACAGCAAGGCTACGGCCAGCAACCACCGCAAGGTCAATATGGTGCGCCGCCACCGAACCAGTATGGCGGCCCGCCTCAAGGACAGTATGGAGCTCCCCCACCGCAGCAAGGATACGGCGCTCCTGGACAGTATCAACAGCCACCGCCAGGCCAGTATGGTCAACAACCACCCCCGGGACAATACGGACAACCACCACCTCCAGGACAGTACGGCCAGCAGCCACCTCCAGGACAATATCAACCTCCGCCTGGTCCACCACCAGGCCAGTATGGTGCGCCCCCGCCACAGGGTCACTTTGGAGCTCCACCACCTCAAGGACAGTACGGAGCACCACCTCCTCAAGGACAGTTCGGCGCGCCCGGCGGTTTTGGCGGGCCACCAACGCAGCCTTCTCTCGGCTATGGTCCCCAGCAGGTAGCCAACATTGACGTCAGCAGAGACGTCGAAGCCGTTCGTAAAGCGATGAAGGGATTTGGAACAGACGAGAAAGCGCTTATCGCAACACTAGCGAAGAAGGATCCTATGCAAATCAACACTATCCGGACACAGTACGACCAGCGCCTGATGCGAAACATGGTCCAGGATCTAGAGAAAGAGACCAGTGGTTACTTCGCAAAGGGATTAGTTGAAATCGCACGAGGACCTCTAGTATCTGATTGCTACAACCTGATGGAGGCTATGAAAGGCATGGGCACGAAAGAAGTCATCCTAGACGATATTCTCATCGGAAGAAGTAACGCCGACATAAATGCCATCAAGCAGAAGTACCAGGAGTTATTCAAAAGGCCGCTCCAGAAAGATCTCCAAGGCGACCTCAGTGCCGGAACTGAGCAAATGTACGACATGATTGTTGCCGCCCGCCGCGCAGAAGATTCTTACCCTGTCAATCCGCAAGAAATCGAGCAAGCCGTCACCGACCTTCAGGCCGGCATGGGTGGCTTTGCTAGCAAGAACGTTCCTCAAGTTTGCCAGATCCTTACCAGCAAGAATGACGCTCAGCTCAAGGCCATGGCGAACTCCTACCAGCAACGATTCCACAAGTCGCTCGACAGTGTGCTAAAGTCTGCGTTCTCTGGACACATGGAAGACGCACTACGTCTGCTTGTGCACCGTGCTACCAACCGACCCGAAGCTGAAGCTGTCCGCCTGGAGGAGTCGATGGCTGGTTTGGGCACCAAGGACGAGATACTCGTACAACGTGTCGTTCGCTGCCACTGGGATCGAAATTTCATGAACGCTGTTAGCAACGCGTACAAGCAGGTCTACAAAAAGGACCTGGTCAAGCGGATAGAAGGGGAGACTCGAGGTGATTATGAGAAGCTTATGGTTGCTTGTGTGAAGCCTTGAAGTACAGTAGAGGAATGATGAGAGTTGGGTTGGATCGTATGATATCACTTTTTCCTTTCTTGGTTCTTCGGCCTGACGGTGGAAACCTCGGGCGTAGAGACGATAGTAATCTCAATACGTCACTATTGACTTCCATTCCTAAGCCCTAGATTCCCATTCCCCCTCAATTTAAGTTTCCGAGTTTCACGCTTCCACTGCATCCATTGACGCTCATGTTACTTCTTGTCCCCGCTTTCCTTCTGTTCGCCTCCATGTGTTCGTCTTCGCTCATCTGCCAAACGAGCTGCTTCATACATGCCCCACGTCCAACCACACATAGAGCATTTGCTCGCCCCGGCGACGAGCCATACTCCTACATTCATGCCGCATGGACAGGTGTATAGACCGGGATTTGCAGGCATTGTCGCTTTTGGATGTCAGGTGTCGAAGAGAAGAAGATGATGGAACGAATTGATTCTAGTGATGGGCTGCAAGACTTGACTATCAAGTATGTGGGTTTCAAGCTAAAGTTAGTGTGGTCGTTGCTGTAACTGGGAGACCAAGGAAATGTTTTCAAGCGGCTTTGTTGTGGATGTGAGGAGATGGTCTGTCTACTCTCTGGTTTTACGTTGCCTAGTACGTGTTGGCCGTCGATGAAAGAACAAATCACGATTATCCATTCACATTTACAGTCAGGATAAATAGTACATTGTGGTATAAGCTATGTGATTCACATATTGCCACGATGTTTGTATAGACTATCTCTGATACGGCGGTGGTTGGTCTGCTGCAAATCCGTTTGAACCGACGTCACGCATCATCAGCTCCAACTCAAAGCTCTCCTCCGAGCCGCTCGCCGGCGGAAGCTCTTCTGGTGGTCCAAGATGCCCACCAGGTCTTGTCATAGGCTCGATAGCCACATTGTCCACGTCAACCTCATGTTTGGATTCCTTACCCACACATTCGAGCAGGAAATCATATTTGACATCATAGTGGAGTGCTACACCGTACGTGCTGAACGTCGGGGGCACAATATTGTTGATCTCGAAACCTTCCAAAATGGTGTCCGAAGTGATTTCTATTCCAGGTTTACTGTATCGTTGGTTGAAGAGGTCGAACTTTTCGATGCTCTGCTTCCGTACCTCTCCTTCGGGTGCCGATGCTAGTGGGACGCGGAAATTGATGTGCGCTATTGCTTGCGCGCGAATCCCGCGGAGGTACACGGGTGCTGGTTGTGTATCGCCGTCACTCAATGTTGCTTGAAGCGAGAGCTTAAGCTTGCTAGAAGCACCGACACGGTACTTCGAGGGTGAACTGAGCACTAACAAAGAGGTTGAAGAAGCCTCTTCTTCTTTGCTTCCGCCACGCAAGCCTGTCTTCAGCCGTTCTAGCGGGGCACGTCGCTCCTTGTATGGTTCTGGGGTTGATGATCGCGACTTGCGCTCGAACCGTACTGGTTGTGCCGGCACAAGTGCAGTGACGGGCAGCAGACCCTGTTCCGGTACTGAGGGACTGAATCGTAGCTGGTGCACGACGACAGGATTGAGCGTGAACGAGGCATTTTCCGTGACGTACTCTGCTCGCAGGAAGTACTCGTTACAGATAGTACTCTCGTTCCACCAAAGCGACGGCGGAAGCGGATGACACCTATCGTACTCGAAAAGAACATCCTTTTTGAACGGCGCGTTGTTTTGAAGCTTCGCATCATTTTCGACTGCTTCCGGAAACCGAAACTCGAACGGGTACTCTATCCGTGAAGGTGGACAGGTCGCGCTGGGCGTTTGTCTCTGCGATAACGTTTGCTCGCGGCAAAACAGCTCCACCTCAGAAACATGTTGAATTGCAGGATTGCGTTCGTTAGAGATGCGACATGTTGTCTTGCCTATAAAGCTTATGGTGACGTATTTGATCTTGATACGTGCTTTGACGTGAACAACTCCCTTCACCAGGTCGTTGTTGGTATGGATGCTGCGACGACTCGACCTTGTGAATGCAATGGAGATAGGCCCATCTGGAGTGTTTTGACGATCTGGATGATGGTGATCGCTATAGAATTGTGGTTGAGCGATGTAACTATAGAGGAGGCGAGGCTGTGGTGCTTGACTCGCTAGTGAGTTTGCCATAGGCTATAGAGTCAACTCGACAAGATGTTTGCTGGCAACCAAGATGCTAGCAATATGTATACGGATGATAGCTCTGAGGTTTCTGGCGCTTGGCAGATGCAGATGTCAGGTAGGGCGTAGGAACTTCCTCGAAATGACATTATTACCAAGCAGAGTGGTAAGATACCCCGCTTCTGCATTACTCAGGCCAAATAAGTGACGGAAGCCAATGCACCTCTTATCCACGATGTCTCGGACCACGTCCGCCGTCACTTGAGTGCTAAGAGCGAGGTTGACTAGTTGCGGCCTCATTATTCGTCTTTGCAGAGCCCGAGCCTTCTCTCTAGTTGAGCCGAAGAAGAGACATCTCCTATACCACCGGGCGGTTTCAGCTCGTCAAAACTCCAATTTCGCAATGACTATATGAATAGCGACATTGCCGAGGTGAGGCATTGGGTAAGCACGGGTAGATAGCGAAGGGCACTGTATGTAGTTTGTTCCGTGTTGGCTGGTTTCCCTACCTAGACTTGATACGGATAGCTTCGTATTCTCGATGCCGAAGTCGCCTTGCTATCGCGGGTGATCAGAACGCAGATGTCAGCAATGATAAAACTATAGCTATTGACTCAAGAAGCTAACCGACCTTCACCAAACTCATTCTGCCGCAAAGAAGCGGGAGGATATACTTTGTGCGGGAAGGAGCGAAAATACCTGCTGAATTGGCAGGGCAATCTCCATCCGCTCAACGCGTATCACTTCTGCGCTCATAATTACTCGTCTCCAATTTCTGACGTTCTAGGTCCATTCGGCAAACTCATATCTCGCTACTACAACTTATGGTTATCCAGCCAAGAGGGGCTATGGCAAGCCCACGTGATACGACCCCACCTAGGCAGCCGCCGAAGACTCAGGCTGAGGCAGACAATGTGCCATGCAAACCACCACTGCAACGCCCTATGGTGTGCGCAATATCGTCGGGCATTATAATCCTGCATCCTTCTTACTCTCCATGTGTAGCGAGTACCGCGTTGTAAAGCAGAGCCGCACAAAAGCTACAGGGGTTGGCAAGGGCGTGCAGGGCTTTATCTCGACCTCACTCATCCTCAGACCAAAGTCTGTAGCTGACATGAGCTCCATACCAAGGCGTACAGCGGACATTTCGCGAAGGCAGACTTCTGCTTAGTGAAGAAGGGCATTACTGCGATCTTTGCGGTATTTCTCTCGATGTCGTTGCCTATAATGTGAGGCGTGTCGCGCACGCCGAGCGTCGACGACTAAGCAAGTGTGCCCTTCCTCGTCCTCCATACTGCGCATTCGAGAAACTCTAGAGCACACGAACAAGACCGAAAAAGAGTTGCTGTCATACGAAGATTGGGCTTAGACGTCAATTTAAAGTTCGCAATTGTGAAGGCTTTTACGCCTTCTTACGCCCCAAAGTCGCATAAGGGGGCCACGACAACCGACCCTGGCCCCATTCAGGGGCGCTGACCGTTTTGCGAACCACAAGCTACAGGGCAATTGTGGCAAAGGTACGAGGATGATGCGTAGCCGGCCCAATAGTGCCTCGCCCGGCCGTTAGACGCCACAACCCATCAAATTCGCCTTGGGCGTCATCATATGTCACGGCCAAAATTCCTTCGACCGGTCATCAGATTTGTTTTCTTAGGCTTCCATGTCGAAACAAGTCCAGCAGCATAGGCCATGAACGCGATCCACTGGGTGCCGATATGTGAAGCCGGAAGAAGATGACGAAGGTGTTTTATGGTATGGAGATGGTATTTGAATACGCTGACTAGTGATGCAGGGAAAGCTGATGAAAAAATGATGTCGAAAGACGCTCTACTATCATATGCCACGCTTGAACGCACAAGAAGACCGCCGCTACATGCGGAAGACGTAACATACTCTGCACCGAGAAGCTGTCGTACTCGGACAAGACCAGCGAACAGAAGAAGAAGAAAACGATCTTTCTAGAGAAAATTACAATAACACCGATTGCCCAGAAGAAGGAGAAGGAAGAGGGAAGACCAGTCTACCACAAACTCCAGCCAACACCAAATCACAGCACACTGAGCACCATATAACCATCTCGACGCATCATCACAACATGAATACCTATGTCTGTTAGTGAGGACATCATGAAAGTGGCGTAAAAAACTTACAATGTATCGTACATCTCGGGCCAATCATACAGCTCATTCTTGTGACTTATCGACGTTGAGTATTTGCGTCGTAAACGTAGCAGCAACTACTTCGCCAGTGGTTGCAGCAATTCGCGCAACCTTGGTCAGTCTTATAGCTGTTGTCGCTGCCGCATTTGCAACACTGCCAACGGTATACCGGTGGGCGCTCCGGTCGTTGGCTATAAGGGGCACTATAGGGAGTGTTGCCAGCGGGAAAAGTGATGGATGTACCAGCAGAAGACGGCTGTGTTGTGCGCCCAAAGAGATAGGTAGCAGTATCTGATGAGTATCTGTTGTTCGCACGGGTGCTTATAGTGTGAGAAGTGCGTGGATCTGGGTGGGCATTGAGTGGGTACAAGTTGTCGTGATAGTCGTGCGAGTTGCACTGCGACGTATTGTTCTGGAGAATGTAACAGTTGGGGCAATGCGGGTTGAGTGAGGCATTGTGCGGGCCGTCGCCACAGCTCTTGCAGTAGTAATAATACGACATGGTCTTTGTTGACGGTGGTAGTAGTTCTGGTAAGAAAGAGCTAAAAGCCAATCAAGGTCAAGGGAGAACAAAGTTGGAAGTGAGCTTGTTATGCTTGCCAGAGTGCGAAGGTATCTTGATAAAGATTCTCTCGAAGAGGAGATCAATCAGAAGTGTTATACTCAAGCAAGTGGTCCCTTGTGTCCTCTGGCCCGGCGTCAACACCGCCCCGCCACGAGAGAGAGTCCCTTGCCCTAGGGCAAAATGTGTATTGTGACCGCTGATGCCATTGTAGCTTCACTTCCGCCTATGAGCCCCACTCACTACCATGACGTCCTTCGTTCTAAGGGCCTTCAGCCACACGTAGTAGTAGAGAGGGACGATGGCTGAGTGCTAGAAGCATTACGCGTTTTCCGGCAACATCTACGACGATGAGTATGATGAGGGGTTTTAGTTGGATGACTGAGGATAGTGTCAAAAACCTGAGGAAGTTCGGAGCTTGAGCGACCGGAAATCTCAATGGCACGTGAGACTGCTAAGCCACATCCCGTACATCGGCTGAATCTTCGGAGAAATTCAAGTAGGCAAAAGAAGGCAAAAAAACCTGAGGACCTCATTCTAGCCTTGCAGGCCTTGTCGCCTGGTTCCATAGACCAGACCGGCATCTCCTGATGGGAACTTCTTTTACCGCCAACCTAATCGGACACAGGACACCGCCTCCTCAAGATGATACGATCAGTCAATTGGTCCCAAACATCATGATCGATGCAAAGTATGGTTTAACGCAATATTATGCCTTCGTTTGCTGGCAGAATTCTCCGTATGCGGACCAATCGCTAGGAGAGCCTTCCCAATCAGTCTCTAAGTGTCTTAAAAGAGCGTGTTTGGATTGTTTCAAAGGCCGTGTACCTGCTTTTGTATGCGAGATGGTCGCAATTTTGCTTACCGTGCGGTTCCCCTTTACAGTGGTGGAGGCATGGGACCCCAATGTGATTTCAGGACATTGTGCATAACCAAGTGGGAAAGTGGCAAGGATGCTGACAGGATGAAGTAAGCAATGACTGGGGTATTTCTATAGTGTGATAAATTGCGAACTGAACTCCAAATTCAACCGATTCCAACGAGAGAGGGCTCTTCAAAGAGGCGGCCTGCGCCAGGAAAACCGAAGCGCCGACTTCACAAACAACATTGGTGACAATAAAACCACGCGCTAAGCAGGTGCTGGAAAGGTCCGCCAAATGCTGCAGTGACGGTGCGATAGTGGAAACAGCGAGTGAAATCAAGGACCTTTAGCCCAGAATGTTACAAAACCAAAAACAGAATCGCCGACAGACAACCTGGACGGCACCGTGCAGAAGAAAAGAGAGCCGATTTATGAGACATTCGAAGAGAAGGATGCGCTCATGATGAAGTGCCGTTTAGCGAGTGCGGTGGACGTCGCATGGATCGATAATGGTAGGCGATGTACGACTGTGTCTATTTGGCTGCTTCCACTGTGCAGCCACCGCATCTTACATGGGAGCAAACGGCGCAACAGTTCTGCCATGAACCTTTAGGTCCATCACCGCAGTTCGAGCAATACCACACCACGGCACCGCCGTCCGTGGGTGCTGACGTGTAACCATGGCTCTTGGAAAGACTCAGATGGGTTTGGTCGTAGTCATCGTTGCCAAAGAGAGGGCCAATGGGGAGAGCAATGCCATGAGCGTGTAGCATCGAAGTACTCTGAGTGTTTCCTGTAAAGTGCGCTCCTGAATGCATTGAGACCGAAAGGATGTTTGCTGAAGAATCTTCGAGGCAGACAGGTACATCCTGGTCGTAATGGAGGGTTGAGTGGATGGCCATGTTGAGTGATGGTTTGGCCCTGGAAGCAACAGAGAGTAGTAGTTGAAGGAAGACTAATAGATATGGTGGTGAATTGTTTGATTGAGTTCGTGTTATATTGTGATGGAGTGGAATGTCGAAGTTCTTAAATCATACCTCTGAACCTGATCCTCCGTGATAGATGCACCGCCTTTTTCCTCTTCCAGTGCTGTGCACCGCACAGACAGTCCTCTGGTGAGACTCTCGAGGGGTGCTAGAGCCCAGATAGGGTGGCGGCCGTTGTGAGGCATACAGGCCCTAATGGGCGCAACGAAGCAAAGCCAGTGGTGAGGCGAGGAAGAACGAAGGACCTGCTGGGGTATGAGGAATCATCCACTCTGAATGGTGGTATGTTGTGAGAAACTAATGCTCGTGACGTTCATTGCGTAGCCATCACTATCCTAAGGTTCAAAGCTGTGTTCTGCAAACGCCATTGGCAGTTGACGTTGGCCTAGGGATATATGGGCAACAACAGCTGAGCGGAGCAGGTAGGTTCAAGCTACCAATCGTCCCGACTGCCCTCCTGATTACAGGTATCAGAATTGGTTCCGTTTGGATAGGACCGTCCACAACAGTTCACATGACTACCACCCAGTACCCGGGTTCATGGGCCTAGTGGCGCGAGTGGGCGTAGGGCTGCAGTACTCACAGTCGGTGTATCGCACCAAATGCCTGGTATGCCTCTCCAAGTAAGGCAGGGCTGATTTGTTGGAGCCGGCAAGTGGAGGCCTGGAACCACTTCTAGTTGAATCTCATCTTGAGCAGATGAACCATTGTGGATACCACGAAACACCAGTCTGAACCATTGCCACTACTGCGCAACTGATCTGAGAAGGCCGAAAACCGAAGGAACGACGAATCTAGGAGAAGGCCATCAACAGCTCGTTCCACCAGACGCACGCCAACGCCATCTGTTCTATTCAGAGAGATGGCGTGGACGCCAAATGTGTTGGTGGGGGTGTTCGATGAATGTACGTACAAATCACATGTGAAATCGACCAAAGACGCTTGATTGGTGCCAGGATCGTGGATCTAGACATGGAGCATGACTGTGATATTTGACTCGGCATACGTGATCCTGCCTGAACGAACATCGCCGTGGTCGGACTACATTGGGCTGCGTCGAGCTGTCGATACCCAAAGCATAGATAGGTCGGATAGAGTCGTTGTGTGCCTCAGCTGTAGGCGCAGCGATTTTGGCCAGGCAAAATCCGCTTTTTCGCTCGATTCGGCAATCAAATCCCTGAGACCATGGCTTTATTCACCTGCGTAGAGTTGGGCTTCACACGAACCGTGTGTTGCTTACGAGCCTTTGGGAGATCGAAGGATTCCCCCACAACACAGCCGTCACAAGTGTCGGCGCAGGCCATATCTGGTTGAGGTAGACGTTCGCCGGGATCCGGTGCCCGTGCTCTCAGACCAGGTATGCGACCTGTGCTCTATGGCCACTAATGGCGAGTGTGGCTGATAGCTAGCAGATATTCCCATAATGGCGCCTTGAAGGCTGCGAAGGCACCTGATGCACCGGTGTCCATCGGAGGTCTTTCTCGAGCGCTAAGGAGGGCAGTGCCAGACAGTCTGCTAGGTCTACTGCTTGCGGCGACAGGGTCCTCACCGACGGTCGTGCACGTTCCTGTTGTGGCCTACGGTCATATCTTATGACAGGTGAAGTAAGGCGGTGTTGAATTCACAACGTGAATGCGGCTAAATACAACGGTCGTTTTCCAATTAGTAGATTTTTGGACAACGATGCGGACTCACTTACAGCAGCTAGGTCCCAGCGTTTGCCAATTGCGGCCTCAACCACAAGGCTTTCTGCAAAATCTGCCTGACAAACATAAGGCTAGCCATATGGTCAGTAATGGCTGCTAGGGTTACATTGCTACCATCGGGGGGCTGCAAAAGAGTCGGATAGTCTGCTCATCATCTCATGCACGGCGCAGCGTATATAACCTAGACAAAATTGGAGCCGCATCAGTAAGAGCCGCATGGATACAAGCGCCGTGTTCTGTCTCCTGCCGTCTTCTAGTCCTGATATTTACGCATGATAGGATCATATCCCGCCGGAAACAGAAAACGGTCGTCTTTTCGGGGCCAAAAGGCGGCAGCCAGCGTGTCAAACAGCGAGGGAAGCGCGATTAAATGAGGCTCTACAAGGCTGTGTGATAGCCTCGTCAGGTCGGTCAGTGCCAATGGGTTAGCTTCTTCGGAATCCTGGGCCGGTGATACAAGTACACCGGTGGTCAGTGGTGAGATAGACGCTACAGGCCCAATACGATCAATTATGATCCTGCTCTTGCCCATTGAACACTGTAGAAGCAGGCATGTAGACGCGAATGTCAGGGAAGGCTGAGAAACGTTGTGCGGGGTGTTATCATGGGTCATGCAAGTCGATGCACGTTGGCTACTAGTGAGTAAGCAGCCTTTGCTTGGCTTGTTGTTGCTGAGAAAAGCAAAACTCATCACTCAAAGCTGATAGTTTTTCGGTCGCCAGATGGGAAAAGCATTGCGGTATCGTGAAGAACTCAATTCGGGTTGTGACGAGAGACGTTCGTGGTGTTGCGCCGATCTGTTGCTTTGTATGACGTCGGCAACTGCCGGGGTCCAGCCGATTGGGCGAAAGACACGCTACGCGTCGCTGTCGTTCATCAAAGAGGTCATTGAGATGGAGCTACACCAGACACGAAACCACAGGAGGTGGTTGTGTTAACATGTTGCTCTGTCTGCCAATTTGCAGATGACGATGACGTTCCCTGTATGCTAACCGGTTGTGAGTAGATTAGCGCCCCAACCACGTGCAATCCTGGCTGCGCGGCGTCACGGTTGCTGCTGTGCAACACCCGGGAAACGTCAGGCCTTCTCGAGGGCTTCGTCGACCACGCGTGCGACCACCGCCATACGACTACGACAATATTGCTCTATCCCTCTTCTTTTAGTCGCGCACGAGTCTGCTACGATCCCACGCGATGGCGCCCCCAGCAGTCATCGGCTCGCAGAAGCCTGGCGCGACCGATACCACAGCCATGGAACAGAAGATCGGCCAGGCCACCTCTGTTATCCTACCCCTTCTAGAACTCGGCGCGCTGGGCTATGAGACATATGTTGTTGTCTATTTGATATGCGTCCAGTATCTCATAGATCCCTCGGAAGACATCCAGCGAGATTTCGATATCCGGCCCCGGCGCTCCACGGGAATCGCACTCATTGTCGTATACGCCATCCTCCTTCTGTTCCTCATAATAGCATGGGCGCGCCTACTACAATTGATCTGGTCAAAACCGGATCTTATACCCCTCGGCGACCCGTCGCTAGAGAAGACGGATGCGAACACCAAGGGCTTCGGGTTCGATCAATACGATGCGTACATCTGCGATTATCAAGGACTGCCGTTGTGGTGTGAGAAATGTCACAACTGGAAGCCGGATAGGGCACATCACTGCAAGGAACTGGGGCGATGTGTGAAGAAAATGGATCATTATTGTCCTTGGGCGGGTGGAATCATAGCAGAAACTACGCACAAGTTCTTTATGCAGTTCGTGGCGTATGCTTCGCTGTACACAACGTTCACTTGGATCGTGGTAGCTATCTTCTTTGCAGAGAGGAATTCCAAGGTACGTGGAGAGGCAGACTGGTGTATGTTTAGCAGGCTGACATATCACAGATGGGGTCACGGCCAGGAACCTGGGTCGGCGCCCTTGCGACGGCGGTTTTGTTTAGCATCTTCACCTTCACAATGACCTGTATGACAGGCTGGAATTTGATGATAAACTTCACCTCGGTCGAAGGCATCCAACGCGGTGGCATCCACAACATTGCCTTTCTCATGTCTCGTTCCTCCACAAATCCCGATACATCTCATTCCTCAGCGAGCCCCAACACCACAAATGCACTACCTACGACCCCAACAACATCCTCCTCCAGTAAACACCACAATAAGAAATCTAGCAGAGACATGGCTGAAGAAAGAGAGCACGAGAAGGAGGATTGGCCCATCCTTACCAGCTTTACACGCCCATCGAACCGCTCGTACGTCGTAATACAAACCAAACCCATGGAACACCCGTGGTATACCACCCTCATGCAAGGTTGGAAAGATACTATGGGCGAAAACATAATCGACTGGCTACTGCCCTTCCGACAGTCTCCGTGTAAACAGAAAAGCCACAGGGGTGAGTTTGAGTGGGGCGAGGTGGTCTACGATATGGCGAAGATGTACGAAGAAAAATATCCTGGAACCAGTCTTGCCATCCTTGATAAGAGCGGGAGGTCGAGGAGGTGACGTTGATGAGCGGTAAATGCCAGCGTTGTTTTTTCCCGTTAAGCGACTTGGGCGTTCTTCGTACATTTTTTCTTTTAGGATTTGATACCCACGTATGTTGTTGGTCGCAAACTGTACATAGTAATTCGATGGAAGGAATGGAATAGATATCTGCATCATCGCTGCATGCTCTACTGAGGGAGGACGACTCCAGTCTTGCTAGATCACTGTTACCGCCACTCGATTCGGGTTCCGCATGGATGCTGAACGTCATAGGTCTACGGATTGCTCGAGACATTGTCTTCATTTACTAAAAACAAACAGCCCTGACGTTACTCTCGCGTCGTACAAAGATCACTTGCACAAGCGCGTCTCCACGTCTGCACGTGGCCAAGCTCTAGAGTCAACCCCTCTTGCGTATTCAACCAACCAAACGTATCTCTCCCATGATAGGCCCGTAAAGAATTTGGTACACGACCGCACCACCACTTAGCCGATCCTCGCATGTATCATGCAAGCACAAGTCCGATGCGGGTAATCGAAGTTCGTGACCCAAACCAAACTCCAGGCCACTTGCCCGACATCGCTAAGTACTTCATGGTACTTGTTTGCTACTGTATCTGGTACCTTAGAGGGTGTGCTGCTGGAGCCATGAATTTACCAGGGCCCCTTTGATGCGGATATGGACGTGGATGTGTAGATGCTGTTAATATATTCTAGACCTCCAACGGTACTTTCCTGAACGGGTAGGGAAATGTTTGTTTCAACGCGGGGACGTGGGCTGATCTGCTTGGTGTTGCGTAAGTTCAGATTGGCAAGATCATGATTCTGTACGAGCCTAGCATAATTTACCATGGTATGGCTCGGGGAATGACCGGAGCATCAGTATTGCCGGAGTCAGGTAGCGATGATCATCATCTTGTTCGTCACAGTCAACCCCGGAAAACTATCCTGGGCGTCAAAGTAGGATCTGCGCGAGGATGTGGTGATCGCCGTCTATCTTCTTCTAGTCTGAGACCGCATTCATCCATCGAACATCGTCTGGAAAGCGAGATTCTTACACGCCTTTAGCCGTTGAAACATTGACAGCTTTCGTGCCTATCCTGGAGCTGTGCGCTGTCTGCAAGGCTGCCGCTTTCCGGATAACCGTTGATCGTCATTTCGTTCAGGGACGTTTCATGCTACCATGGTACTATTAATGGAGAAAGCCTCCCGCAGGGTATGCGTCTGGAAAGGCGAGAGCATGGGCCGGGACCTTCCGGGTTCGATCATGTACGTGCGTTAGGCCGCCCGGTCCATAATGAGAGGTTTACAAGTTGGGTAGTTCACGCGAGAAGCTGCAAGGGTCAAGAGTCAGCTGGGTTCCTAACTATTTTTTTTACTCGCCCAGGACGTGTGAACGTTAGTCTCAGCGAAATGCGCAACAGGTGCTCTTGTGTCACACCTTCCAACGTCCATCAAGGGCGACAGGTGTAATCCCTTACAGGCCGGGCCGCTCCATGGCATCCTTGCTGGGAATGAGTTTAGAACATGGTCCTTGGTTTTCGGGAGAGTTAGTGTGGCGAGTTCCGCAGGCGAACCCTGGCTCTGATCCCCCAATGATGTGCAGTGTTTCCCGTCAAGCTGTGAGGGGTCAATCCTAGAAGAAGATCATAGCAAGGGTCTAATGCAACTTCTGACCGGACAGTGGAGCCTTCCAACAATAAAAGCCGGTTATCAATACCAAAAGCTAAGTGGAGCAGAGAAAGCGTTAGTGATAGTGGCGTCCCAGCTGTTTGACCTTGCAAGTTTGGCGAGACCAACTGATTGAGGTCGGTGGAGAACTGCTGTGTTGAGATTCGATATCACGAAACATGTCATGGCTCAACTTGTTCAGACATGTTGCCGGGGCCGTCACTTACCGAGAGCACGAACCTCGACCAAACGGCTACTGTAGCCTCTCAAGCAACACCGTTGTGTGTCATGTTTTAACTCTGGGGTTTGAAACACCGGAGCTGTCGATGGCGTTTCGAGCATGGACACTAGGTTGGGGTTCATGGAGACCAGGGGGATGTACGAACAAATTTCCGCATTTGGCCTTGCGTGCGTTATGAGACCGAATCTGGCCGTTTACTACGAGCGCAGCATTGGAGAGCGCGCTAAACATTCGATAGTTTGGTGGGCTGGATCATGATTACAGATATAGCGCCACTCACCAGTGGTGGGTTTCACCATGATTGTGACCTGGAAAGTCTCTTTCTGTGATTGCGTATCTTTAGTAAACTTTGTGCAGACAACAGGATAACGGTGAAAGATTTCATCATGGATGATATGAGAAGATCGCAATGTGATTAGACTATGTCGTAAACAATCTTGGAGGCCAAAGCCTATCGAGAAACGCAGTTGCAGTTCCCAAATGCTGCAGTCTTAGCGCAATGAATCCCCAAACTCCATTTTCCCAAAACGCTGATGTATGCTCCGTTTTGGGTCCCAGGGTATTCGACTGAAGGAAAAGTACGAGGTCGCTCGTGCGACCAGTGGATATTATGGCATCCGAAGATGCCCGCAAAACGTCAAGACTAAGCCAGCCAATCAAAGAATGAAAGTACCCAAAGGACTGCGGCCCCACCAGAACGCCGATGGCGGAAAGGGTAGCAGTTAATGTGCATGATCAATCTCGTCATCACGACGTCCGAATGGAACATTCCGGTGGGCTTGTGAAGGTAGCACTTTTGGACGATCCCCGTTACACTGAGGGACACTATGTTTCGGGACCATTGGCCTCGCGTTCCCGTTGTTCCTTTTGTGGAGCACGACGACGAGCGTTGATAAACCAGTTGGATACCTATTGTGGGTCAGCACGCTGTGGTCTAAGAGTGACACTGAAGGACAGGAGTGGCAGATGTAGTGAGGGTGTCAAAATGACCGTTCTTGCTAAGACGCATCACGTACCTGGTTGAGACTCAGCCCAGTTCTGTTGCAGAGTTCCATCTTCTGGTCTTCTGTGGGATATGGTGATGTTCGGTTGGCGGCAAACCAGTCTTTCAGGAGGTTCGTGGCCTCTTTCGGCAGGTTGCCTCGGCGCTTCCTGTTGAATGCGTTGTGATCAAGGCCAACATGCTGTTGGAAGCGAATGTCACTGTAAGATGTGTCATAGCCTTGATATCCGGCCCGAGTGAAGTAAGAATCGTTAGGTCGGTCGTATCCGCCATAGACAGCTGCTGGAGACTCATGGTAGTAGCTATGACGTGGCTCGTACATGGAGCCTTGCTGAACCATGGATTGCTGGAAAGGACTTTGTCCGATAGGTTGCGCGTAGGAAATGTGGCCTTGGGGAGCTGAGGGTGACTGGTGTCGCATGTGTGGGTTCGAAGGCATCGACTGCTGTTGTGGTGGCACATACGAGTGACTTTGGCGGTGATGCATGCCGGATCCTACAGGCTGCACTGGATGCTGCTGAAGGATGTGGGGCGAGTAGCCAGCAAGGGCTGGATCAATAGCACTGCTCGTGCGACGGACCTGCACTACAGGTGGCTCGTAGATGTCGCCGAGTGTATCGACGCGTCTTCGCTTGCTCTCAGACCAAGCTACATCGTCAAACTGGGGTTGCACATGGGGAGAGCTTTCAACCGAGTCATTCCGACGCTGGGGAGTCCGTGGTGGTGTGGTAGTCCGTGTAGTGTGGAGGAACTGGAAAAGTCAATCAAGCGATACAGAGACAATAAGCTGCAAGCCAACATACCTCGGAGAAGGAAGGGAGTTTGCCAGGAAAGTTTTGCTCGCCTGGTTGGATAGGTGGAGAGCTGCGCATGTGGTGGTTCTGTGATTCTGTCAGAGTTGTGCTCGAGGTTACAGAAGGTCGTAGTTCGTCGCGGTTGTCGACTGCATCGGCTGGAGTGATCATGCGCAAGCCGAAGTCAGGTAGCATCGCCGGACCTCGGGAAAGCGATCGGCGACGAGTGGGTAAAGAATATGAGCGTGGGGGATTTGGTGAACGGGGGTGATCGACGAATCCGCCCGCTGATATGAACGGGGGGTGGGTAGGGGGGTGATGGGAAGATGCATAAGCCGAGGGCTCGGACGCTCTTGCCCTCAAGGGTACGTTCTGTGCATCTCTGCGGAAGGGATCACAGAGTGCAGGCTCGAGGAAACTTGGAGGGGAAGGAGCGGATGTTACAAAAGAGGAAGGAGATTCTTGTTCTTGACTTACCGCAGCGACCATGTTAGCCAGCGGCCGTTCGGCAGAATGCGAGGAGTTCATCTTGCGCGAGTGCAGCGGTTCACAGTGGCGGTGCGGAATATCTTGGAGAGTAAGATATTCCATGTGTTCAACGGCAACACTGCTTAAATACTCTGCAGAAGGGACGCGTTAGCGAATAATCACTCTAGTATCAGCGTCGCCATGGTGAGTGGATGGGCTGCTTCGCTCGCCCATAGTTACTGACAGCTTGGTACCAGTCTTTGGCTGGCACCGTCGAATGCCATCGACACGAGCGGGGTCCCATAGGATGTTGGCTCAGTTGTGTGGTATTACTCACCCAGGTATTATGGTAGTGATGTAAAAATTAACTCGAAAAGGCAACCCAAGGGTCCGATGCAGGACCACTGAACCAAGAATTATATATCGCAGATATATGAGTGGTGAGGCGATGGGGGGTATTAGTTTTGGGGAGGGAGTCGGGGACAAGTGGTGACGATTGAGCCGGCGCAAGCACTCAGCGATTCGCAAGAAGGTAGTTGGGGTCGTGATGACGGGTCCGAGGTGTTTAAGAAGCAGAAGCACCGTGAGCGAAGGAGGCGTTTCTAGACTAGGAGGGACTGCAACGGGCCGTACATCAAGCATGCCCTGCGATCTTGCAGCAGTAGAAAGCGCGTCAGGGGTGATGCTGGTAGGGTCCAATGAAGGACAGACAGGCGTGTTTAGCACCACGTCTGTGTTAACTTGACAGGTGAGAGTTAAAGTTTGGTCTATATTCTCCGAGCGTGACTATGCAGGCTCTGGCCGGACGTAGGCCGAGCGTAGGAAACAAGAGACGCTCAAGCTACGCCGCAGGTTTCGAGGCACAAGCCGGTGCTGGAGTCGCGCCATCTGCTGCAGACGCCATCGAGCGTCGCCGGTGTCCCCACTACTCGCATCGTCGCAGATCTCGCTGTTTCTGACTCGGCGCAGGTAGGCGCAGGGGTGCCGAATGCCTTTCGCCCATTTTGTCGCACCCTGCCTGTCGATTACCTCATCTGCGCTCCCACACACTGGATGCCGCAGCAACCTCACAACGTTCCATTACGGCGGCGGCAGCAGGCGACGCTCACGCATTGGCCGACGTACAAGTCATGGTCTGGCGCCTCGCTGATTGCCCGCAACCACAAGTAGTAGTTCATCGACACCAGCCTCGCTATAGGTTGCTACCACTTTCCCCAGTATCAAGCCTTGCGCCCACGAGCAAAATAGGATGGTGGTAATTGCTTCGAGGCTAGCACCTTGCGCAGTCTACTAACTCTACTAACTCTACTTGCTGCTGGCCCTGACTTGAACTCTACCGGGAGCCGGTGGCACGGTACCCTTATGTTTGTTTTTGCCGGAGATATCTGAATCGACAGAACCAGCACAGCATCCATGAGCGTCGCTGCGAGGTAAGTGGGGCAGGTGCAGCAGCATTGAGGTCATGAACGCGGGTTGCACGTCTGTCGAGAGCGGAGTGTAATCCGACGTTAAGAGGTCTGTCGTGCACACCAGAGCCACGCTGACGGCGTGTATGTCACCCAGCACAAGGTACGATACCCGGCAGACAGCTGCCGCAGGACAGAACCAGGCTGGTGGCTGGCTTGGGTGGGCACTTGTGCCACGGAGTTTTTCCAGCATCCAGGAGCGGGAGGCCTTGGTGTCGTGACGGGGCACAGAAGCAGCTAGTGCTGCAGCGATGAGCTTTAGGAAGGGAGAGGGAGGCGTTCGTCTGGTGGGACAGGAATAGCAGCTAGAGCGACGACGTAGGAGAGCGGGAGATGATGCACGGCGTTCAATGCTCGGCCAGGTGCCAGGCACGACTAATTGGGGAGCCGTAGTCTGCAGACCCTGAATCAGTTGGCGAGTAGCGCATCGACAGTGCTAACGAAACATTTGATGCGTGCTGGCAAGGCAATATGCTTCTAGAGCCGTCAGTGACCATCGGCTTCAGACGAAAAGGCAGATCGAGATGACAGTCCCTGGCAATGGCAGTAGGCTGTCACGGTGGAGAGCCCCTTGGAGCGCGGGCGGATGACAGATGTCAGGCTCATGCAGACGACTGATGGTGGCATCTACGGAAGAGGTGCGACCTGGCCTGCGCCGCCATGATTGGCACAGGGATAGCTGGCACCTTCCCGCTCTCGGGGTCGCGCCTGCCCGATTTGCTGATCGCTTCCCGCTAGCCGGTGATCAGACCTCGCCCTCGCTCGACTTTCAACACCCGCCGTCTCGCGTGCCGGAACGCTGCCGTCGAAACTGAGACCTTCTCCACGCTGCCATTGTTTGGCCCTCATTGTCCTGCAACTGGACGCGACACTATGGCAAACTCTGCGCCGCCCTAACCTGCGTCTATCGAAATCTACGAAACCTTGTCGCGCGCCGCTATGGCAACCATTGCCCGTCGTGTTTCGCGCTTCCAAATTGACCTCGACGCCATCAAGTCTTTAATTTCGACTTTTGTGCCTCGACATCTCCTCCGGTACGCGCATGCCGAAAGACGGCCAAATTGCAGCGTTGCTCTTATGCTTCGGCGCCACACCGAGAAAGCACCATCCGTGTAAGCTGTTTGCATAGATGCGTCGTTTGTCTTGACCGCTAGTCGGCTCGTGTCCCCGCTCCCACCACCTTGGCTGCTGTCCAAAATCATCATCCCGGTTGAGCTCAAGGGTGAACCTCTGGCTCGGGTTTGCAGTCGTTATCGACCCCCTAGAATGGCAACCACGAGCCCAGCATTTGTTCCAGGAACACTCACACAAGCCCCGCTACCACAGCGGGCGTCCATCGCCGTAGCCCATGGCTACACAGCAGCAGTTGACCGCCTGACAGTCCGTCAACTCTGCTCCAGACGGCCGCCCTTCGTTGTCGTGTCGCCCACCGATTGTGTCATGATCCAAGGGGCTGTCAAACTGCTGCAGTGTACCACCACTCCAACACTAACAGCTAGTACAGGACGCCTTTCGATCCGAGTCAACAGTCTCTTCAAACATGCCCTACATTGACTTCCATGTCTGCATTTTATGTGGAGATGGCGCCGCAATTCCTTGCCGGCGATCATTCGTACCCAGGGAGCCCTTGCGTTGCAATGCACGGCTTGGTGTCCTTGAAATGCAGTTGAGTTCGATGGCGTCGTTGTACGAGACGGAAGCCACGAGCGCCATTCGCTGCAAGAACAGACCTCCAACCCGGTTTCCAAATACCAAACGTACACTGAACCTCGATCTTTGCATCTTTCGCGCCACAATTCACGATCAGAGCAGGCTATAATATAACATCGTTCTAGTGGTTGTCTGGAGCTTCATGTATGAGGTTATGGCTGACACTTCTGGGTTCTGGAAGCCATAAGACCTACTCCATATTTGGAGAGATGTGTCTCAATCCCTAAAGAAGATGCCTCGTTCGACATCATGTGCTCGTTATCTTGTTGGTCTACTACACCGCCTGTCTCGATGCGTACCGCACGATTGGCGGTTGACATGTATCTGGGCTGATCTGGTTCGAACGACCCCGACGGAAGAAAGAGATTAGAGCACAGTAACATAACGATAACTAACAAGCGGGCGGGTAGTGTTCGTGACACATGCACAGGGCTCGCCCCCCATCATGGAGCTGGTCTTGTGTCCAGAACTACGGATGCTCCATTGCCATACCAGCAAATACTGTACATGAAGGCCATGTATCAACCGCCCGTATGGTTATGCAAAAGACCTGATTCAGAAAGAGGGGTCTGCATGTACAATTGCACAACACATGGTGGCGTACAGGCGTCCCATGCCCCACTATTTCTTCCGGTATACTAGTTTTCTGCCCAGCAGACTGATCGTTCACCTTGAACAAACACTGCATGTTCATTTACCCGGTATCTGGGATTCTCCCATCAGAGCTGCATAGGTGCAGTGGCATGGGAAGCCGCCTTCAAGCAAACGTTGTGGCATGTCCATTGATTACAGTCGTTGGCCAATATTTTACGTCTCATACATAGCTGCACCTGCTTAAGGACTAGAAACTAGAAGGACATCCGACCCAAGAATCACTCTATTGGCTCTGCTAGAACAGGCGCTGATTCTTTTCCAGGAGGCGAGCATGCTTCCCGTAAATCATTAAGGGTTCGAAGGTTTTACTATCACACCTCCCGCATTTCTGCAGCCATGCCCTATGGTCAGATCGACGCTAACTGTACGAGAGAACGATTCAGAGAGCAAGCGCTCTAGAGTGAGCTGAAAGTCATGCGGAAGCTAGAAGCCTTAAGGTTGCTGATCGTCGATTTGAGAAGTCTTATAGATGCAATCTAAGATGGTGTACTCAAGCCGTCATGGCACATAGCTACTATGCTACCAGAAGACAAGCGCGCGATTCCGCCAGCCTGCATCTCTTGGAGCATTGACCTATGGCAAACTGCTGTGACTTCCATCATCACAATATACTTTCCACGCCTCAGCGAATCGGTATTGCTCCGCCAGTTCGGAGGGAGCATAGCGCTCATTCGCTCGTGGCCTACAGGTGTGGTGCTAACCGGGGATGGCTACGGCTAGGGCGCGTCATTGAGATCCCATATGCGCGACCCACTAGTATCAGATACTATCGGAAACCCACAGACCTGGACGAGAGATCTGGTAGATCGAGCCCTATAATCTCGCTCCAACGTGCACTAGGTATACCACCAGAGCCAATATCAGTATCTACATGCGACTGACGACTCATCGTCAACCAAACCACACACTCTGCACTAAGAATTTTGCGTGTGAGCAAATACAGAAGTGTTTTCATGCAAACGAAGGCCTAAATTTTTGTTGGGCAGGATGTCACACCGGCTTGCGTCCGCACTCCATCTGTAACCACTAAATCTCTTACCCACTCGCTGTGAATTTGTCACTTCACGCATATTGAGTCGCCAGTGTCGTAGAGCATTTGAAAAACTTTCGATTGCACGTTGACGTCTGAGCGCGATGTCATTTTCAGTTTGTCATTTCTCGGCAGCTGACACCTGCTAGTTGACATTGGTTCCTGCATATGACTAAGCAGCAGGAGCCGAAGATCGTCCGCTCAGCCACCATCGACCCTTTCCTGCCATTTATGATCCGCACTCCAGCCGCAGCCAATATTCGAAATTACAGGGGTCTGTGATCAGTCGCTACGACTTGCCTCAGCTGCAAAGCTAGCGCAGAATTCTTTCACGGTCTTTGGCATGCGACGCAGGACTGATCGAAGACTTCATCACGAGAATGACATATTACGGACATCCGTCCAGATGGGTCTTCTACTTCCCGCCTGCTAATGCTGCCAAGCGAAATGGACTCGGAGAACATCGCTCGAGGGCATCTCCACGGATGTGCATACGAAAGAGAAACCGGAACTGCTAAGATCTCTTGGCGCGGGAACAAGAACATAACGCCGATCTAGTCGTCGGTTACCCTCAGCCGCAGCCAGTTTTGTTGATCACGATCGTCTGCCTCCACAAAGAGCGACCCACAGAAGTCGTTGTTGACAACTCGGCAGGCTCAGCCACACAGTCGCTAATACAACTGCGGCATCTGTTGCGCGGTACCTTGACGGCTTGACCAAGGATCAAGGACCGGGCGAGATTTCGCTGCAGGCATTGGCAGACTGGTTTCGCGAGAGAAGCCAACCAGAGTGACAAGTCAAACGAGCCAACAATAATAGTCAGCTGCGCGCGACCATCGTGACAGCACACCTGCATCTGTCGTCTGTCTCCACTGTCACCGTCCGGTGAACAGCACGCTTGCAATCATTCAAGTGCAAGCTCCAGGGGCATGTCATGTCACTAATATCCCTTACACTCCAGGCCTGGCCAGCCTCAAGGCCCCGGCTCGGCAGGGATGATCGGTACCGCCCCGTCTCGTAGCCAGATTACATGCAGTGGCTTGAACGCTTGCACGTGGCTGGTTCGGAAGACCTTCACGGGCTCGGAATGATGGGATGGCGGGAGATGGTGTACTGTACTTAGCACAGGGTTCCGACCGACTCCGTTTCGGGGCATTTTCACATCATGGTACGTCAGATGTGTCGAAACAAATCACTAGGTGCTCTAACGCCAACCTTAATGGTAGCCAGGCCCTACCTCTTTTGGTCACAAGGTAGCTTCCCAGCTACCCTCAAACATCTCGAACAACGACAATCGCTGCAGAGGACTGAAGTTATCGTCGGTTCTTAATTACAGTACACAGTTGACAACGCACCCTGGTCATCCAGGATTGAAAATAAAGTCAATCAACAGTGACGAGCATACACACTATCTAGAACCATATGACGTCAAACCTTGGATACGAGAACGAAACCATGACCTTCATCTAGAGGAAGATCCCATCCAGCGCAACGTCCCCCGCTGTCACTGTCAACGGGTCCCGGAGTTGTCGCCTACCGTGATTCGATCGGTATCAGTAATCCCATCGTGCGCCTCTCGCATGCCGGAGAAAACGCGTAAAACACCGGGCTGTGCAAAAGGCGCTCGACGCTCCGGCGCACGTCATTCGTGCCCCTCACCCACCGGATCCCACCAACCCACATTGCCACTATTCGGCCAACAGCGTTACTTACAGCCTGCCAGAGCGGAGTTGCGCGACATACGACAAGGTTCCGAGATGCGACTTCTTTTGCTGTTCTTTTCTTTTCCCGTCCCGTTTGCAGTGCAGATCAAAGTCTGTAACTTCATTCTTCTGGGTTAGGTAAAGTCTGCCAAGTTCTGCGGAGACATCTCCGTGTCACCCTTATAAGGAAACGACTACTCTTTCTGCTTTGGTATACGGATGCAAGTGGTATATATGCGTCTTGGCGAGTATGGCCGGGGGAGGGTGTGTTGGTCTGACTGTCAAGTCGAGACGCCCCTTATTTCCTTCCTTTTTCCAACGTTATGTGACAATCTCTGGGGAGGCTTCTCCGGGGTTGTGGGAATGGAGGACGTTGGCTCGATCTAGATCATATAGACCTTGGTTGTCACTAGTTTTGGTGATGAGAAGAATGTTTGTGGAATAAGGCTCAACCTTATAGGCGGGTACCGCGTCCGCGTACCTGCCACCAGGACGACGGCGTGGTGAAAGATGTAGCTTAGCGCACTGCATGTGATATAGAGATGCTATATCGATTCCTTGGTAATTAACCCGCTAGAAGGGGATGGCACTCAGTGACTACGGGCCTTCTTTCGTGGCTGAGGCTCGATGTCCCATTTTGGACATCTCTTTCAGTAGCGTCATGTTGCTTTTCGTTAGCTACCATGAGGATCACGATTGCTGCATCACTTACGCGAGCATTTGGCCATATGAGTTGTGCCAAAGTTTCGATCTCGCACTCGTCACCGCAAAGGCAATCGTATGAATTGCCCTAGCCACGAGCTTTGGCTCGATTGGTAGGATGTATGAACTCCCTCGATAGGCATCTGCTTTAAGCGAAATATGATCATGCTTCCAGTGTAGCATGGAGGGGCTTGTGTGAAGACACGGAGCCCTGGATCACCGCGTGGTTGTGGATGTATGTGCGAAATGCTATGGAAATGTGTGTGAAGGGATGTTGTACAGGAACTCAGTGGTGTCAATGACTGCTACCTCACTGCGTTTAGTATTCAATGGTAGTTCCTCGACACTCTCTTCAACCTCTTTCTCGTGGATCTCTTTTCATACTATACACTCTTCAACACTACGTAGCCAATAACACTCTCCGGTTCAGCATCCGCAATCTGCATCTTTATATTTCTTGAGTAGCAGGTCCGCTTCGAGTTATCTGGAGTACTACCACCCCCATGACCTTTGACGTAAGTGCTTTCGCGGGTTGATGCAAAGACGTATGTGAAGCACTCCGACGCTCATGTCGTCAATGATATGACTATTCTGATAACACCCATCAAGAGCCGCATCTCTAGATTAAAGAGCAGTGTGTTGAGCCAGAGTGTATTCTGTTAATAGGCCGAAAATTTGCCGGAGAAAGTTGCGCCTACTGTGTTTCTCCAAAATCAATAATCGGAACTAAATTACTAATCGAGAGTACCATGAACACTTCATTATATAACCTGAACTGGCCAAAATCCGGCTTGCTACCAAAATTCCAATCAACGGCTGAGTGATCTTGGATCAGATTGTCTTGGCTGTCTTTTTCCCTTTCGACTGGTTTCTACAACACAGAATGAAATGATTCAGGCGTTTTTCTCACGGGGTCCGTGAAGATCCTCAAACGTTCAGTGTTGCTTACAAGGCAGTGAAGATTTTATCGGGTACCAGACCCTGTGTATTGATACCAATAGAGAACATCTCAAGTGTTGATACCTCTTCATATTATTGACGGATGTCTGGACGAACGTCATCTCGAGATCTCTACCAATGGATGAAATTGAAACAGAACTAAGAGACAGTCTCCGGCCTAGAGTAGGAATGAAACGTTGTTCAGTCACTGTGGAAATCATGGCTGGTCTTGCTCGAGAGCCTACTCATCCACAATCACTTCTCCAAAACTTCAAACCTGGCATAGCTGGATCTCTGCACGACTATTTTCGCTCTGATTTCGGCTCCAGAAGGATGAGGGTAGCCTCTCACATCATCATATTCTTTCGAAAGAGGAAGGAATATAAGGGGGTGACATTTGACAGACTTGTTACATCGGGTTTGTGCAACATTGGCAATACGGCACAATGACTTACTACGCTCGAATCAAACCTCTAATTCCCTCTTTCAGTGAACAACAACCAATATAATGGTTATGAATATGACTAGCGCTTGTCATAGTCGAAACCGAAAAACCTTGGAAGAATGGCTATGTATTACGACAATCCTGATTGAGCCTTTTCCGCAACATAATAACCAAGTGATGCTTCATTATAGTAGAACCATTTGCTTGAGAATTCCTAGCTAGCAATCACTTTGCTCACCGATCCCAAAGAATGCTTCGACATCATTTCAAGGTGTCAATCACTACGTCTATTCATGGCGTAGTCTGGCTGAAAACTCACTATGCACGCCAATTTGTGTGATGGAAGATAGGTCCGGAAAGAAACGACAGCGGTATGTATGGCGTGATACATCGCTGGGATATATTGGGCCGATATCGGTAGGGGTTGAGTCCAAAATACACCTATCATCCGCTTTCCAGGATCTGCAATCCATCGACTGATGTCCAGATATCCGCGTTGCAGAGAGTAGATTGTGGATAATTGCTTGAAGAGGTCATCAGCGAAGCTGTGTATCAATGGCTCCCTGAGTAAATAGGCTCAAGAGTTCTTTTCACTTTGCTTAATTGCACTCAGCTCCTACGATCCAAAAGTCACGTTCGGCAGCAAAGGCTAAATTCGATTTCTTTACATTTCTTCAACTCGACGTGACGAGGGGTATTTTCCAGTCTAAGCGTCAGTTCCCTTGTACATATCGCCAACACTGGTCTCCGTCTTTACAGCGTCTTCATGGTAATGCGCACCCGCGCTCGTGACAGTCGTGTCCAACTCTTCCAGGCGCCTCAGATCCATGGGTGCGGCCAACAAAGGAATCACGTACGGGTCGAAAGTCTTCCAGTATGGGTTGTTCAGGTGGTATTGTTGAGACTGCAAAGACTATTAGTAAGTTCCACTGTCCTTTGCCATTTCTTCAATAGCATATCTGAGGTCTAGTGATTCCCAGAATCAAAGTGCACGCGAAACCCCTCTCTTGCAGTCTCGTAGCGGCACCAGTCATCAGTCGCAACCAGTCTCCAATGAGCTCAAAACTAAGGAGATGATATAACTCACAGATTCCTTCAGATACCGCTCAACGATAGTGAACTTCCTCTTATCGACAGTGTCCTGCATAACAAACCAGCTCAATGTCTCCTTGTCCTTGCTGTACACCTGGCTAGCCTCGACAAGCTTAGCGCTCAGCTTGTTAATGCTTTCTTGGTCTTCCTTGGCGAGCAGGTGAACGACGATTGTGTAAACCATTTTGATTGCTTTATTTCTGTCTCTTTTGTCTCGAGTTTTATTGGTGTGTTGACGATTGATCAAGCTTCTTCGGCTCGTTTAGCAGAGGAAGTTCGCGTATGTATAGTAAAGCGTGGGATAGTATGATGGGGATGAGGGAAGAGAAAGAGAAGAACTGATGCCTCTCAATCCACATCAAAAAATTCTTGGCTTGGATTTTTCTGCTCGGGCTGTTTTTGCGGCCTGGTGACGTATCCTCGCGGCGGAACCCCGCAGCTGAAAGTGGAGTCGGCGATCCGCATGCTCCCACGCTATAACAACACAAGGACGGAAGGAGCCCGTAGCCGTAAAAAAAGCAAGCAAAGAACATAGTGGGTGATCTCTAGTCATACGAATGTGACTATGATAACGAAGCGAAGTCATATAGGACGTGGGATGAGAAAAGCACTAGCACAAACGTACGAAGGCAAGATTTTTGAACTTGAAGATCAATTACACATCATGAGGAAAAACAGGAAGGGTGCCTCCCAACACCCGCCTGATTCCTCACCAATGCAACTAAACTAATATACTCTGGTAGCAAAAAGGGGAATATACGAAAAACGCAGTCGCACCGTAGCAACGCTAAAGTTACACCACACACATATCGCCATCCCAATTCCTTCCCAGAAAAGTTTGAAACACCCCCAAATGCCATGCCATGCCGTAAGCGAATGAAAACACGCAAACATTGATACGTTTACTAAGCCCTGCTCAACATCTTGATCACCTCCTCCTTCTCGCTGGTAGGCAGTGTGCTGAGCAAGCTCATGACACCCTTGAGTCCACCCTCGCGGTCCTTGCGCATAAGCTGCGCAATCTCGAGCGCAATGCCATCGGTCTTGAGTTGCTCGATCTTGTCGCTGACGAGTGGCCTGTTCTCCTCGTACCAGGTCGCCGCGGCCATGTCGTCTTGCTCCCAGTTGGGGATGTTGGACAAGTGCTTCAACATCTCGAAGCCACGGCTGCGGGTGAGTGAGTTGGCCTGAGGGTTGTCGTGCGTGGGCGAGGCAGCAGCGGCGAACTTCTTGAGGATGTACTCCTCGTTGAGACGGCGGCGAAGACGCCAGTAGAAGAACCGGCGGGCGTTTTGCCATCGGAGAGCTTGTCGAATGACACCCTTGGCTTGCATACGGCCAGCACGGTCGTGCAGATCGGCGAATTGAATGGCGATTTGACCATAGATAGGTAGAAGCTTCTTCTCGCGCTCAGTCATCTGGGCTTTGATGTCCTGGAGCTCGGCCTCTGGTGTTGCCTTGTCATTCAGCTTGCGCTTAAGAGCACCGTAGGTAGGGTCGTTGCGGGCCATTGTGTCCAGTTGGCGTTCCCTGCGGTACTTGATACCGACGATACCTTCGGGCTCCAGTACACCACCACGCGAGTCCTCGTCGGCGTACATCTCCATGAATTGAGGGTTGATGGTGGGGTCAACGACGACCCAAGATCCACCACGGAGTTCGCCGTACGGAGGAATGTAAACGAAGATGGGCTGTTCAAACTTGACGAGTGCGTCGACAATGTAAGAACCGTACTTGAGAACCTCGTTGTACATGTCACGCTGACCACCAGAGAAACCACGCCAGTTGGCAAGGATCATCAGTGGCAATTGCTCACCATTGTTGAAGTCCTTGATAGCCTGAGCAGTCTTGAAGGCAGAGTTGGGGTACCAAACACCACCAGCCTCGGATGTGACTTGTTCGATAGAGTCGGGGTTGGCGGGGTCTGCAGGTGTGACGTTCTCAACTGAACGTGTCTCGACACCGATGACACCGATAGGAATGCCACCGAGACGAGCACGACCGACAACAACAGTCTTAGCCCAGCCACCAAGAGTCTCGACAAACGAACCGCGATCAAAGAGACCAGACTGGAAACCGTCCTCGTCCTCTTTTCCAGCGATCAAATGCCTAATATCGTAGGCAGACTTGCCAGGAGGGTAGTAGGTGATGTCACGATCCCAGTTGTCGGCTGACGGTGAGATAGGGACGGGGCTGCCCTTCTTGTCGGGTACGTAAGACATCCACTGGACAATCTTGGAAACACCCTCAAAGTCATCGTCGGCAGTCGAGTGCGAGACACCGTTCCTGTACATGATCTGAGTACCACCGAGCTGAAGGTTAGAAGTGTAGACTTCACGACCAAGTAGCTTGTTGATAGCCTGTGCACCCGTGAGGATGATTGGCTGTCCTTCGATCTGGATAGCACGCTGACCAAGACGAACAAGGTAAGCACCGATACCTATATGGTTTTAGTATTTGCACAAGTGAGATGGAGTAAGGGTACATACCAACTGAGCGACAAGTCACCAAAGTAATGGTGAAGATGTCCTCGTAAGCTCTTGAAGTCTCACCAGCAATGAGACCAGAACCACGAAGCGACTCAACACCAAGACCGTCCTCAGCACCAATGACAGTAGTGATCTTGAAGCGCTTCTCGCCATCGACCTCAACCGGTTCGCAGATAACGTCATTGCGCTTACCATCAACAAAGTGCTCGTACTTCTCAGGTGTCAGGTAGAGGTAGTCGAAACCAGCCTCGGGCTTGTTGATGTCCTTCCATGCAACAGAGAAGTGAGGAATGAGCTCCTCAGCAAGACCGATACGAGCACCAGAGTTGGCAGAGAGGTAGATTCGCGGAATGCCGAGCTTTCGTGCAAGCTCAGAGCACTTGTGGAAGAAAGCATCCTCCGCTGGACCGAATGAACCAATCTTGAAAGTGATGTCGTTGGCGATGATGATGAAGCGGCGACCACGGGGGTACTCAGGTGTCTTCGCGGTGACCATCCAACCGACCATACCAATGTTGTTGTGGCCAGGATCACGGTTGACCTCAGCCAGGTTGTCAGTGTCATCAAGCACCAACTCGTAGTACTCGAGGCACTCTCCCTTCGCTGGCTGCCTGTCACGGAGGAATGAGTGCTTCTTGATAGCCTCGATCCAGCTGTTCTCGGTAGCCTGGCGGAAGAGCTCAGGGAAGTCGTACACGTACTGAGTACCCATGAGATGAGCCTTGTACCTCTTGGGCTGCAGAGCTCCCTTGGTGGGGTAAGGAGTTGAGACGGGCTGAAGGTGAAGAGCACCGATCTTAGTAGTTCCACCAATGCTGTGGAAGAGCCACTTGCCAGCCTTCTCGGACTTGCGCTCAGCGTACATCTCCACCTGGATAACGTATCCAGAAGTGTTAGTGATGATGACACGGAGAGGGTAAGGGATGCCAGTCGCAGGGTCGGTGACAATGATGCGGATCTCAGCGCCAGTGACACGGAGACGCCAGAGTCGTCGACCAAAGCGCTCCAAGAAACCGCCAATGGCCTCTTCAACCTCAGTAGGGTTCAGAGGGAAGACGTGCGAGAAGTTGATGAAGATGTGGTTCATGTCGGCTTGCGAAGTGCCAACGATTTCCAAAGCATCCAAGATGTCAGTCATCAACCTATCAGTCTCAGACACCATGTACTCCGCTGTAGGAATCTCCTCGCGAAGACGGCCTGATCGGACGACAGCCCTCAAGAAGTAGCGCTTGTCGCTCTCGGCGCCCTTGCCAACAGCCTCATAGATATGGATGTTGCGGTTCTCAGTGAAGACTGGCTTGATGTCAAACTTGGAGAGTCTGCCAAGTTCGAGCTGGAAGGCAAGAGCGGGCTCGACGTGACGGATACTGGCATCTTCCTCATATGTGGGTCCACGGAAGGTGTAGTAGCCAGGGTATGTTCCGTCCTTGTGGCCGCAAATGAAAGAGATTCGGCGGATGCGACGAGACAGAAGCTCCTGCTTGAAGTCATCGACGATAGGCAAGATGCGGTCCAAGATTTCCTTGTCGTCGGTGCCTTCAATGTCGCGGACAGCGATGTTAAGAACACCAGTGAGCTCGTCGCTATGCTTGGGCTCGTTGATACCTGTGGTAGGGGTGCGCTTCATAGTGAGGCCCTCCCTCAGACCAATACCGCCCTTCTTCTCCTTGCCAAGGTTGGGGAAGATGTCGAGCGCCTTACTGATGAGCTCGTCCGCGTCATCAAGGTACTCGACAGGGACGACAACACCCTTCCTGGTAGGCTCGCCTTCGAATCGGTTTTGCCAAGCAGTCATATCGCTCAATGACTGGATGCGAGGAGGACGCTCAAACCCGGGCGTGCTGGGGGTACCAGGTTCAGAGGGCTCAACAGCGAGACCGTACTCGGCCTCACCAACCTTGCGCAGGATGAAGTCCCAAGACAAGAAAGATTGCTGCTCGCCTTCGTTGTGGTAGTTGATGTTTTGCAGCTGGTACGCGCGGTAAGCTCGGCGAGTGTACACCTCAAGCGCAGCAAGAGCGACGTATGGGTCCGAGTGGACGAAAAATTGTGTCAACACGTCGAACACAGTGTACCTAGAGTCGACAACTTCCTTGATTACTTCGAAGTTGGGCTCACGGTGGTCCCATCCGCTCTCGCCATAGCGAGACTCAACGACGGAAGAGCGCAGGATGTGTTCCATCTGCGCAGTGCGTTCTTCAAGCGAAGGCATAGCGCACTGAATGAGAACCTCACGGGCCTTGAGAGAGACCTTGGCAGTCTGTCTGGACTCAAGCTCTGTGAGCTTCTTGAGAGTGTCCTTGAAGTACTTGGCAATGTTTCCGACACCAGGCTTGTTGGGTCGGTAGAGCTCGAGAATAGCAATTACGAGGTTGTTCTTCGCACCAACCTTGGCGTGGGAGAGAACAGTCTGCACGACGCTCATGATGTTATCACGGTTCTCATCACGAAGTTTGAGGATGACTTCCTCGTCACGCGACGTACGAGATGAGAAGAGGGACTCAACAGACCAGTACATCTCCAAGAGCCTGATCATGACGCTGTACTCGTGTGCCTTGAGGCCCTCCGAGTAGCGGGTGATAACATCAGCAAGAGGCTCCAATGCAGCCTTCAGAAGGGCAACGTCACCCTTGGCCACGTTCTCCTCGACGAACTTTTGGAAAGCCTTGTTGAGGGCCTTACCAGGGAACTCGAGGTTACGGCTGTGGGCCTTCTCGACAATCTGGGAGAAGGTGGCATCAAGCTTCTGCGGCATACGCGCGTGGAGAGCGGAGGCCTGAGCGTTCCACTCACCATACGGTAGCTCAGGGTCCCGAAGGACATCGACCAGCTCCTTGAGCGTGCTTTGCATGATGACTTGGTTGTCGAAACCCTGGAAGATATTTTGCAGGATATAGTAAAGGTAAACGAATCGCTGCGGTGGCTTGGCTCCAGGCACTTGAGGAGCACCCAGGTCAGGAAGTTGGCCAGTGAAGTTCTGGGCAGACTTGACCTTGGATGGATCATCCAAAGCAAGGACACCGAGAATGTCACCAGCTTCAAGAACAGCTCCTGGCTGCTTGATGAGGTTGACCATACCGGCCTCTTGAGCAATCAGAGGCATGTACATCTTCATGACCTCAACCTCAGCGAAAGGCTGACCCTGGCCAACGTGGTCTCCGTTCTCGACTAGGAACCTAACAAGCTTACCGGGCGATGGTGTGCGCAGCTGTGTGGGGTCGTTTTCCTGTTCGAGAAGGCAGGTCTTGCCGTCAACGGAGAGGCGGGTGGCGCCAACCTCCTCCTTCCAGTAGACGTTGTGCGACTTTCCGCTAAGCAGAATCAAGAGACCACCATCGGCAAGTGCCCTGACACCGACTGAGCACTTGGTTCCGTTGATGAACAGGGTGAAGCTGTCGACAGTAGACTTGGTGGCAGTGAACTTGTATCGGTAGCCCTCGTAAATGAAGTCCACAGGGAACACTGTCTTCAGTACGTCCTTAGAAGGCACCTGACCCTTCTCCAAGCTGGTCTTGTACTCGTTGACGCACGCTTCGCTTGCGACGTGAGCCTTGGTAACGGCACCGCAAATGACGGCAATCATGGTGTCAGGTCGCTCAGCAGTAAGCTTCTTCGAGATGAGCTCGTCGAGCCAGCCAGTGGTGATGGTGTTGTCCTCGAAAGCAGGAGTCTCGAGTAGCTTGATCAGATATTCAACGGTGGTACGGAAGTCACCGCGAATGCTCAACTCCTTCAGTGCGACAACCATGTGTTTCCGCGAAGCTTGTCGGTTCTCGCCATAGGCGAAGATATGACCGAATTGCGAGTCGGAGAAGCTGTGAATACCACCAGCAGAGCTGACGGAGAAGTAACCCCAAACATTGGAGCTACTCCTGAAGTTGAGGTCGTGGATAGTACCACCGGATGGCTTGAAGCCCTCGTCGGGATCCTCGGAGGTGATACGGCAGGCCGTGCAGTGACCCTTGGGAGTAGGGCGTCGCTGGCTCTTGGCACTGCCTTCGGTGGAGAAGTCAAAGTCAATGACAGAGCTCGCGTGCGGGTCGGCACCGTAAAGGAGTCGAATGTCGCGGACACGGTGCAATGGCAGACCCATGGCAATCTGGAGCTGGGCAGCTGGGAGGTTGACACCCGTCACCATTTCCGTAGTGGGATGCTCGACCTGGAGACGAGGGTTCAGCTCAAGGAAGTAGAACTTGTCGTCGGAGTGCGAGTACAGGTACTCGACGGTACCCGCCGAGACGTATCCGACGAGGCGTCCGAGCGAGACGGCAGCCTTCTCCATCTCCTGGAAGGTCTTAGAGCCAGCAACTGTTACCGGTGCCTCTTCAATGATCTTCTGGTGACGTCGCTGTACCGAACAGTCACGTCCGAACAGGGAGATGTTGTTGCCGTACTGGTCAGCCAACAGCTGGACTTCCAGATGGCGCGCGCTGCCCGCAAGCTTCATGATGAAGATGGGCGATCCGGGGATTTCTGAGGCAGCGGCCTTGTACAGCTGCTCAAAGTCTTCCTCGCGCTCGACCTTTCGGATACCCTTGCCACCACCGCCTTCCGAGGCCTTGACCATGACAGGGAAGCCAATGGCCTTGGCCTTCTCCAGACCCTCCTGCCATGACTTTGTGCAGCCCTTGTCGTAGATGTGGTCCTCGACTGTGACAATTCCGTGTTGGTCGACCTGGACCTCGTCGACACCGGTTCCTGACCACGGGATGCAGGGCACTTTGGCGTGTTGTGCGACGATTGTGGACGAGATCTTGTCACCAAGCGAGCGCATGGCAGATCCGGGAGGACCAATGAAGACGATCTTCTTGGGCGACGCGGCGAGCGATTCGGGCAGCTTGGGGTTCTCCGAGGCGTGTCCCCTGGTAGCAAATTGTTAGCCATTTGCCCATGTTTCCGACGAGTGTTGTCGTATATACGCACCATCCTGCCCACACGGCGTGCACGTTCATGCGCTCGGCCACATCGACAATTAGCTCGACGTTGGCGTAGTTGTTGTTGTTGGTACCGCCGGGTACCTGCATATGCCCCGTTAGCCATCCGGTCGTCGCTCATCGCACGGTCGCCGGGCATGGTACTCACCTCAACATATTGGTCTGCCATGCGGATGTACTCTGCATTGGCCTGGAGATCCTCGGGCGTCGCCATGACGGTGAATTGAATCGCCCGCTCATCGCCAAAAGTCTCGTAGGCCCATTTCCGCACTGAGCGGATTTCCTTGACTGCGGCAATACCGTTGTTCGCAATGAGGACCTGCGGGGAAGATGATGGTCAGCGCGCCGTCTCTCAACACCACCAATTCGCCTGGAAGCGGGGTTTTCTCTCACATTTGTGATGACTGTGTGTCCGTCGTGTGCGGCCACAAAGTCCTTGACCTTGCCCGGCGAGGCTACCTTGAGGTTGTTCCCGCCGATGAAATGCGGAGCAAGATCGTACTTGGCAGCGTAGGAGCTCGGGGCGCCATTAGCATCCCCGTTGACTCCGTTCTGTGCAGCTCCGGCCATGTTGTGTAGAGGCAATCCCATGCACCGAGGGGATTGAGTTTGGGTGGGAGGAAAGAATGGAGGCGAAGTTGGGTTGCGGTTCGGTGAGGGATCGGTCAATTTTCCACTTGTAAGGGCAAGCTGGAGCTCGGCCTCTAGTGTCGAATCGATGTAGATCTGAATATACCCGAATATCGATGCTCTGCAAGCTACGCGTGCGTCTCTAAAGATTCTGGTCGGTGGGAGGACACGATCAGAGTATTAGTAGAGGACAGTCGTAGTGTCGGTGTGTAAGAGAGCCCAAAAGCAATCTTGGATGCCAGTACGTTCTATGCGGTGCCGGGAGGTAAGCACCAACAACGAACGAATCGACTTGGATTCAATGAGGGACTATAGTGTGTACGAGGAGGAGTACAACACTACGGGTGTATGTTATAAGTAACGGAGAAGTGTAGTTGGGAGAGGGAAGCAAGAAGGAGGGGGAACAGTCGCAAGCGTCCGGAGCAGCTTGGGTATGTATTAAATTTTTATGGAGGATAGCGGAACACCCCAATGCACTTTCCGAAGAGCTGTTGAGCTATCGCATCGCCAACGATGCCGAAGACGGCAAGGCCCTGCACCACGTCCCCCATACCGCCCCTGTCCATCCCTAACGAAGCCACGGTAGACGACTCGGAAGCCCTTCGGAACCCGATTTTGTACACAACGGCAGGTCTACGGGACAATTTGACTACTTAGCTATGCTCAATGACTAGTAAAGTTTTTTGTAAAGTCAAGATTGCCAGCCTTTTCCATGATCGATGTGCACGAGGTGTTGGCGGGAGCTGCTCGCCATGGCGATTTCTACAATCGGTCTGTTGGGAGCATTTCCGCATTAGTTGCTTCTTGCGAGCTTGCGAGACCCAACCCGAGCACGAGTACCTGCATGTTGAGCCCTTGCTATCTCTCACCAACAGCTGGTCAAGCACACTCTACTGCCGTTGATCCGCTGACTGTTCCAAAGACTGATGCCTATCAGTACCGACTGCAAGTTTACCCCTCTCAACAGCTACCCATCTCCCAACACCTCGACACCGCTTCCATCTCTTGTCTCCACCACCACGGCCTCCCCACCCCACCTCGCCCTTCACACCGTCATATCGCCATCCCCCAAAATAACCAAACACCTGTCTCACTATCACAAAACCACGCCAAGGTAGCATCAAAGATGATGCTCGGGTCTCCTCCCCCGATATCTCCTACCGGACTCCGGTCGTAGCCACCCAATCAGCACCCAGAGCGGCCGCTGCCGGAACAAACATCAAGCACACACTCAGATTAGTATAATAATAGATGACGCTGGAACAAAAAGCATTGGCTTCTAGATAGTCGTGTCTGATGGTTCGAGAAGCCGGATCGAAGCAGTGAGATGTAACTTCCGTGATGCCTAGCAAACGTCGTCGGGTGCCCTGCGGCGGTACCTGATCGCAAAGTCCCGCAGTGCCCCCGGCCGTAGCGCAGGCTCACCGTCCTGTTTGCCTGGTAGCGGTTCTGCAGAATAAGCAAACACACGCACTCAAGTCCATCAGAAACTAGAGAAAGCGAGCTAGATTCCGACGTGCATTCCGAAGATCCAGGGTCTGGCAAGGCTGGGGTTGCGCACTGCTGCCACTGCGTTCGCGGCGGCCAGTCCCGCAATTTGACATCAGAATCGTACGATTTTTCCACACGCGGCCTTTCACATGTCAACGCCAACAGCCAACAGCCAACGCCAATGCAACATGCATGCGGCTCTACCCCAGATTTTCGTACCAGAACGATCAGCTAGTCGGCGCCGAGTAGTCTGAGCACGTGGAGTTTGTAAGATTTAATTAGTACAAATTGGGGAGGTGCCCAGACGTGTTGTTCTGGCACAGAAGGAACGAAGAAGCCTCGGGATGAATGTAATTCGGGGTATATTGGTTTCAGACAAAGGAAAATAAGTTTAAAGCAATATGTAAATACCCCCAAAGGAGCTTTAGAATCTCTCGGGTTTCTTCTCGAGACGGTTCTTCTTCATCCACCCCATGTGCAACCGATGCTTGACCAAATGGCACCAAACACCCCCATCCCTATCCCACTTTCTACAGTTTACTGCCTGCATCCCGCGTGCCGGACTCCAGAGTGCGTCAGGTATAGTGCCGTAAAACTCGTGTACTAGAAATTCACCCAGACGTACACGCAAAAGGCCCCGCAATTCTGTCGACTTTCGCCAACGCGACATGCCATCCTAGTATGATTCTTCCTCAGCTTGTGTCGACATCTTCCTTGGCCGTGCAGGAGGGGCCATGTCTCCAAGGTCCATGTTGTTGCTTGCCCTTCGTCCTGCACTTTGACGTCTTGGTATTCCGCTTGGTGTAGGGATGCCCGTCTTCTCCAGTGTAAGTCGCCTTCCTACCGGCGTAGAAATGCCGCTTCCTTCGCTGTTAGTGTCGTTGTCACGTTGCGACATGGATAGTGAGTGAGAGTGGCCATGTCCGCTCATTGAGCTCCTTGGCCTTGGCAAACGGGGCTCCGCTCCACTAATCGACGATGACTGGTAGTGACCCAGTGGTGTTCGGTTGCTACTTCTGCTCTGCGGTCTCTGCATTGCTGATGCTGACGACATGGAGGCTCGGCTGCCAGGCCTGCTGCTAGTGGGTTCGCGTGAAGAGGTCGAAACACCAAAGGAGAGCCGATTTACGGCAGAGCCCGACTCGTAAGCGCCGGGCACTGACGACCCCGCTGATGCGTGCGAGTTGCGCTTCCTACCGCTCCTCAATGTGACCGTATTCGGCACGTGGTGACCCATGGCACTGACATTGCGTGGGCTCGCTCGCGGTGGGGTAGTCGTTGGCGCGGGGAGCTTGGAGCGTGCTGAATGAACCCGCTCTTCGAGTTTCTGCATCTTGCCAATCAGGCCCCGGATTTGATATAGTGAACCTGATCTAGGCAAATCCGCTGGCGGCGGCGCCGCACTCCCAAAGCTCGGTCTAGGCGGTCGTGATGTGAGTGTAGTTGGTCGTGTAGAAGGCGTCGCCCGTCCACTGGCACTTGTGCTTGGTCGCGATGCCGATAGACTCGGGTTTCGTGAATGTCTTGGGGCTCGCTGATAGAGGCCGGCGCGAGGGGTCGCACCTGGATCCAGGGGCGCAATCGAGTTCTTGCGCCTGGGCATAGGCGTTGAGGGTACATGTCTTACGGTGATGGGAGCGTCAGACAACGGCGGAGAAGGAGGAGTCGTATCTGGGAGTAGGCCATCTGCTTTCGAGTGTGGTGGTGTCGAAGCAGCTGTGGGCGAAGAAACCGTAGTCGCGGTAGTCGACGCCTCGGAAACGGGCGAGCGTGGTCTCAGAGCATTGCCAGAGAGATGGCTGGACACCTTTCGCTGATGGTGGCCTTCGATAGTCTCTTCTGCGATGCGCAACTTCTCCTGCGTAATCTCCGTCTCTATCCGCAGATCCGACAGTTCATCCCTAAGTCGCTGTGTTTCTATGCGCAGCGCCTCTCGCTCCTGCTCCCCAATCTTGATCTCTTCCTCCAGCATGACACTGCGTTCGATGGCTACGTTGTACTTGGACTCGACGTCCTCGAGTGATGATGTTTGGTTGCGTGCCTGACGCTCGAAATCGTCGCTTTGGACTTCGATGTCCCGGAGTCGCATCTGGAGGGCTCGTTGACTTTCGCGCATGGCGGTAATCTCCTTCTGCAGAGTGTTCTGCGCATTGTTGGCCTCGGTCTTGCTCTGCTTGTACTTTGTCTGTGATGTCTCGTTAGCAATCGTCCGAGCTGGGCAGATATCCGCTCCGCGTGCGGCCGAAGTCACTCACCTTCCACTCCTCGACCTCAAATCCCAGCCGCTCCGCCTTCTCTTGCAGCTTGCGCTCCCGCTTCTCGCTCTCTTCGACATCGCGCTCGAGCTCGGCCTCTAGTTCCTTGCTTGATGCCTGAAACTCCTGCAGTTCCGTCTCGAGCGTCTCGTACTGGGCCTTGTAGTAGGCTAGTTCCTCCTCGAGGCTGCTCCATCTTCCCCGGCTCGGCGAAGAGTGAGCAGCGTTGGTCGTCATGGTGGCTGTGGCGGTGTGGTGGTTGGGCTGCGACAGCGGCAGCGGACAGCTCGTGGAGATCAGGGGAATGAGCTAGGCGGGGTGCGGTGACGAAATGTCAAAAGACAACTACTCGGTCGCGGTTCTATGTCGTCACGGGCGCCTACGACATAGATATGCGCCGCTGGGTGGTGTGCGCGTGGGCTGCTGCTGCCCTCTCAACGTCCGGGATGTTGACGATTCCACTTTTGTCCAATGCCGTGTGTTGTCGCCAGTCATGCGCCGCCGACTGTCCGATGCTACCAGCCAGCTCTCAGCACTCACAATGTCGTCGCAACAATGCTTTCCCTGTTCCTGTGCAGGTTAGTAGTTAGTAGGCCGCTCAACTGCGGCATGCAGTCGAATGTGTCGCCAGCGGTGGTTGTTGATGGAGGCGCTGCGGGCGCGGAGCCAGGTGGTTAGCGCATTGGCCTCCGGGGCAACCACGGGCACCTTGCTGCAACCAGCCACCGGGATGACACATGGGACATACCGTGACCAAGCATCTCCACAATAGCCAGCGCAGCAGAGACAACAAAGCCCCAGCCGCCTGCTGAAAATCCTGTTCGACTCGACCACCCGACTCTATTTCGAGCCTGGCACCAGCCTTTCTTGTGTAGCCCGCACACAGACGGCACATCATTGGAACGCTTTCGAGCTCGGTAGACACATTACTTGCGTGAAGCGTGGCTGTGGATACGGATACCCTGACGTTTCAGATCGCCCAAGGTAGATGGACAGTTCACCCGGAAATTATTTGCTGCTATGCATCATCTACCATAGCTGGGCACGCTTTTTTTTGACGCCGAACTATAGCAAAAGAAATCCACCATTCAAACATTACAAGTATAAATCAATCGGGTATATGTACAGTCTGAAAGCGCTAGGTGAAATCATCCGCCCTCTGCTTCACTCCTTGATGCCCTTGTCGGGACCATTGATGTCCTTGATGTCCGCGTCTAGAACAGCGTCCTTCGCTTGCTGCGATGCGTCGCTTGCTGCCTGCTTGCCCTGTTCAAACGCATCTCCAGTTTGCTGTGTTGCGTTGCTTGCAGCATTCTGGCCTTTGTCTAAGACACTTTTGCCCTGGTCGTAGACACTGCTAGCAGCATTACCAACGGCCTCTCTGCTCTTCTCGTACACCTGCCCAGCTTGCTGCGTCCCGCTATGCACAGCATCCTGAGCGGATGCCGTTGCCGTTTCTGCTGCTTGCGCGCCTTTCGAGTAGGCATCAGCAGCATGTTGTCTACCCTTTTCTACAAGCTCTTGCGCTTCACGTGAGCCCTGCGATACGACCTGTTTTGCAGATTCTGTTGCACTGCCGACGACTTCGGCACCCTTCGCATACGCCTCGCTAGCTTGTTCCTTGCCTTGTTCGTAGGCATTTTGAACACTGTCTGATGCCGACTTTGCGACCTCACTCGGGCTAGGGTATTTCTTCAGCGCATTCTGCACGGTGTAGTACAGACTGATGATGACAGCATGGATACGGTCCTTCATCAGCATCGTGATGCCGTGAGAGAAGAAGCCTTTCAGCACTTCCGCTCCAAGGCCCTGGTACAAGCCCCATATCCCTTCCGTCTGGGCGATGCGCAAGATAGTACTGAATACGGTCCGCTGCCTGGCTTGTAAGGCTCTAGATCCAAGCGCGTCGTTAGACTTCTCTTTGTCCGAAGTCTCACCGGTTCCGGAAGAAGGCTCCTGTGAAGACACTTGGGCGCGTGTCTTTGCAAGCGAGAACGGATAGGTGACGGTGGAGGCGAGGACCTTGCTTATGGCAGCCAGGAGGAAGGTCATACGCGCTCCGGGATTGTCTCGATTTGCCCTGGGTACGACTAGTCGCAGGAGAGCCTTGTGCAGCAGCATGGTGATTGAAGGGTTTAGGGTCAGGATCAGACTAGCGGAGTACCCAGACCAGAAGCCTTGCACACCCTTCTCGCGCCTAATCTCCCATGCGATATCTCTAGTGCTGGAAAGCGGGGGTATGGTGGTCGAAGACTCCTGTTTCATCATTGCTGCCGTTTGCTTCCGGGTAACGATCTGCTGGATGGGTGTGGTGAAGAACTTGGAGAAAGCGCCTGCCAGGACACCAACGCCGATCTCTTCGAGCGCAGGCAAGCTACGCCCACTATCTCGCGCATCGAGCCTCTTCTGTCGCACGTACGAATACGCCAGGAAGAACAGGAAGCTGTCGGCGACGCCCTTGAGAGCTTCGGGCACGACACCAGTATAGAAGGCCCTGGGCCCACCCTCCCTCTCGTATATCTTCTCGATGGCGTCGAGAAAGCCATTGTAGTGCGGGTGCTTGTCGCCGGGATGCAGTTGGCGCTGGACCTGGAGGCGCGTGATGACAACGTCCAGAGGGTATGTTATGAGTTTGGATATAACGGTGCCTAGAGCGCCAGACGTGGCGTGGCCGAGGGCAGGGAGCGCAGTGCCGACAGCGCTATGTTCCTCCCTTTCGTGGGAAATGTGGTAGAGGGTGAAGGCATCCTGGTGATGGTCAGTGTATGCTCGACCTGCACATGCTAGAAGCGCTCACGAGCTGCGAGTTGTAGATGTAGCTCATCTTGTCAGGATTGACGCTTGAGGCCATCGCAACAACTCCGGGGAAATGACGGCTTAAAAAGGATTCAGGAAATAGCACAAAAGCATTGAAAACGCGGGGAAAGCTTTCATGGTTCGCGGAGACGGATCCGCATCGCGCGTCCTGTGTCACCAGCTGCAGACGTCATGGAGGCGTTTGGACAAGGCCAGAGCTCCAGCGGATAGCCGAGCTACAACTGGACAAACTTCGCTTGTGAAATTACCTTTCACCAACAACACTACACGCGTCAACGTCGCGCGCCAAACTATGCAGTCGCGTCCACTGTCACAGGAGACGAGTGAGCCTTTTATTTCAAGTCTCCGTCTATCCGATACTCTGATGGCAGCGCGCGCTTGAAAGGCTGCGGCGGTACCGACGACGACGACGCACCAGACGAAAAGACACCAGTATGCTACATGCGCTGGGAAGAATCACGACACGTACACAAACGTCATAGCGACCGGAGTACTCAAAGGGACTGCGAGAACTCTTCGTGGGTATTGATCGCAGTTCAAAGTATCCTCCAAGAGAAATTACAGCCGGTATTTGATAAGGCATGGAAGCACTCGCTTGCGAGAATGGCCTCCATCGTTTCACACGCTGGCTACATGCGACAATCCTTTGCGGACTTTTTCACAGCTTGATACTGGGCTATGTGCGACATGCATGTTGAATACTGTTGTAATACCGATGTTTCGATCCGCTCGTTGACAGGCGTGACATTCCTAGCCTATCTACTGACAGCTCCACTCCACCCATCTTCGAACAGAAGCCAGGCAGTCAACAAGACATGGAAGGACTCGCTTGCGAGGAAGGTGATGATTACCTCACTGCTGAGTACATGCGAAAGACGGTCAAGTCAAAAGAAGATTTAATCAAAGTCGCTAGATCCGCCGCTATTGGGTTCACGTCTACGATATGGGATGGAATCAGGACCATAGTCAACCGGAGAAGCACCATGAAAACTATGGCTTCGTCAACCACGCCACGGCCAATACATTCACAATGTATTGTTGTCAATCCAGCATCGCCATAATCACCCCCAGAACAATTCGGTGGCCACATCAGTGACAGACTTGGTATACATTGCTTCGGTCAAAACGGTGCTTTTATTCAGGATTTCGAATACGACCAGCGTACCACGATAAGCGCTGCCAAACGGTTTCCGCCTTCCAAGATGCACGCTGGAAAAAGCCACGAACAAGGAGCCGTGATGACAGCGTTGGGATATGCTTTCCAGCCAAACGGGATCTCAGATATCTGTTGCGGTTGACTCAAGATATGCCGAACAATGCTTTGGCAACTCGAGGTCGAAATCAGGCTCTCTTGAGAGGACCGCCTTCAGCCAAACTGTTTGTCGGAAATCATTCGCAGACTTAAGTACTGTGTACTTGATTATCTCTTTAGCTACACAAAAGAGCTAGGTACATCCTTTTCATTGTATATACGCTGTGTTAATCTATCACTACAGTGTTGTGAATCTGTGTAGGCATTGACTCCAGTTTTTCACAACGACTGCCATGTTTCCTTATATATGAGGTCTATATGACGACTCTGGTATATACCACTACAAGATCGACTCAACCCTCTATAGTACATTAGATACACTCACTCCGAACCACAACTTCTACAACCGTTCTCATCTTCGTCATGAGGTTGAGTATCCGCCCTGGAGTTACCCATGTTGGGAACGTAAAATTACACGAAATGTCCTTTGTTTCTGAGCTCGACGCGGAGGGTCAGGACACCTCAGGAGATGGCACAGAAAACATCTCGATAGATCAGAAGAACGTCGTCATCCCCCGAAACTCAATTGAGGAAGTTGAACGCAACCTCGCCATTGTGATTCCTTGCATGAACGAAGATGAACACGTTCTTCGAGCGCTTCTGCGTGGCGTTCCACACCGGTGTCTCGTTATCTTTATATCCAACAGCGACCAGCTGAACTTTGAGGCGGAGCGCAAACTCCTACTCAACTTCGGGAATATGGCCGATCGTCACGTAATCGTGGAACACCAAGGTTCGCCGACTTTCGCTCGCGCTTTCCAGGAAGCAGGTGTGACGGACATGTTACAGCCACGTGTAGAACAAGGAGATCCTCTGCGCATCAACAACGGAAAAGGAGAAGCCATGATGCTTGGTGTGATCATCGCGAAACATATGAACCGTAAGTTCGTAGGTTTTATCGACGCCGATAACCGCGTCCCAGGATCTGTTCTCGAATATTGTAAGGTATATGCCGCTGGATTACATTACGCCTTACGACAAGCTGATGATACTGGAAAAGAACAACATACGATGGTGCGCATCAAGTGGAACTCGAAGCCCAAGGTCAAGGATGGCCAACTTGTATTTAACGAGCTTGGGCGCTCCTCGCGCGTCGTCAACGAATGGATGAACCGCCTTCTGAAAGCCCTTGGGGGTGGCACTACACCAGATACAATGATCGGAACTGGTAACGCCGGCGAACATGCCATGAGTGTTGATCTTGCCCTCAAACTCCGATTTGCAACCGGCTATGCAGTTGAACCGTTCCAATTGATCGATATATGGGAACGATTCGCCTTTTCACAACAGCCATTATCAGTGCGGATCCTACAGATCGAAACCTGCAACCCCCACATTCATAACGCGGGGCATGGTGATTATCACATCGAGCGCATGCAGACCCAGGGACTCAGCACGATATATCATTCGAACCTTCCGACTTCTGGACTCAAAGACGATCTTCGCTGTTACATGCAAAAGAATTTGGCCGGGTTCATAGGCGACAACGGAGAACCTAGGAAACCACGCATATATGATCCACTTGATTCCCTGGACTGGACGATCTTTGAAAAGGCTCTCCTGAAGATGAAATTTTGCTAGGTACAAGGTAGGGGAATCGGTAGCAGTCTAGATGCAGGTGGGACAGACACAGCCCAAATCAATCATAGTATTACTTCACACTGATGTTCGTCTTAGAAAATTGTGTCTTTGGCAGTTTCGATACATGCAGCCTTACCTCGTGCGGTCGCGTGGTTGAAACGCGTGACGTGGAATGCCCAGACGCATAGAACCTCCAGGCTATCTACTGACAGGCGCGACGTTTCTAGTGTCGCCGCCAACAGATGCACACAATATAGCTGTCACAGCCGCCAAGACTAACATCCTAGGCATGAAACCAAACGCATCGCTCGCGTAGATTGTCAGATGCCGGACCATCGGTTTCGAGAACTGGACGCGCAAACCAAACACGGCGTTCTTCCCGGGACGCTAGACTAGTCCTCGTTTATGTGTTTTCTGGATTCATAGCCCCACGAGTGTTCGGACCTACTCTGGCGTTGCATTGATCGCATCCCACCCGCAGTTCAAGCGACGGTAGGTGACCTGCACTTGGTAGTTTGGAGTTCAGGGTGTGTGGAAACATCGTCCTACACCATGGACATGGGACATGAGTAGATGAGGAGTAATCACTGCAGACAGGATGACTATAAAGGCGTCTACAGCCAGCGCATTACAAAATCCTCATCCTCATCAGGACCAACGATCTCTTCCTTGCCTCCTACACTTTCACTCTCTTCTTTGTCTTCTACAGCTTTGTGCCGGTCACCCTTCTTTTCTTGACTGTGTCATCTTTGCTGGACAATACCTTCATTCTTCAACTTTCTGTACAACACTCACTTCCAAAACCTTTTCGAAAACCTATAAAACATGCGTTTCTCTCTCTCCACTGTCGCTACCGCAGCTTTGATCGTCTCCGTCTCTGCGGCTCCTGCCCCTGCTCCTACCCGCGCTCACGGTCATCGTGGTGGTCATCGTGGTGGTCACCACAACGGTACAGAGACCAATGGCCTCAACCATGGCGCAAAGTACCCCGGCAATGGCATGGAGAACGGTGCGGGACGGGGTGGCCAACAATATGGCGGTGCTTCTGGTATTTTCCCTACTGATGGCAGTGCTCCCACAGGGAGCTTCCCGGGCTCTGGTGGTCAGCCATCCAATCCTAAAATGACTGCGATTCCCACTTATCTGCCTGGAAACGAGAACGAAAACGAAAACAAGCGAAGATCTCTCGTCTCTGATCCTGCTTTCACTAAACGCCAACTCTTCGACTGGGTCTGGAAAGCCAAGTCCGAAGGAAGTGACAAAGCCTCTGATTCGTCCGACGACAAGGAGACCTCTGGAGAAAGTAAAGACGATAAGAAGTCTAGTTCCAGCGATGACAAAGAGGACTCTACAGACTCTACAGACTCTACGGACTCTTCAGACGGTTCATCTGACTCCAAGGAAGACTCCACTGACGAATCGAAAGACACTTCAGACTCGTCTGGCTCTAGCGACGAGTCTTCTGACGACGCGAGCGACAGCACTGGAGGTAGCTCCGACGATAGCACATCCGATGACAAAGAGTCCAGTGACTCTGGCTCGAGCTCTGGTGGGGATGAAGAGGCAGATTCTCCAACTGAGGGTGGCGATTCGAGCTCGGAGTTTGGCTCAGACACTGAGAGCGGCAGCGGCAGCGATTCCTCGTCTGGCGACGACTCTTCTTCGGGTGGAGATTCGTCCTCTGGCTCAGGCGGCGACTCTTCTTCTGGTGATGAGTCTTCCTCGGGTAGCGACTCGTCTTCAGGGGGAGAGTCTTCTTCTGGCTCAGGTGGGGATTCTTCTACTGGCTCAGGCGGTAGCTCTGCACCGAGTTCTGGATCGGGTAACTCCACGGTACCTGCCTCTGGTGGTACTGCAGCAAGCGGCACCATGCCAGCGGCAGCCGGCGAGTCAACCCTTACCAAGACCATGATGGTAACAGGCGAGTTCGATGGTGGCATGAAACGTTTCGGTCGTGGCGTATCCTGCACAGGACAATCAGAAGGAGGAGACAGCGATGCAGTGTTCTCTCTTGCAGCTGGCGCCACTCTCCGTAACGTCATCATCGGTGCCGATCAAATCGAGGGTGTACACTGCCAAGGTCCTTGCACTATCGAGAATGTCTGGTGGGAAGATGTTTGCGAGGACGCTCTCACCTTCAAGAAGGACGGCGATGGCACAGTCACTGGTGGTGGAGCTATGGGCGCATCCGACAAAGTCATCCAACACAACGGTGCCGGAACAATTACAGTCAGCGGCTTCACTGTCTCTGACTTCGGCAAGCTATACCGGTCATGCGGTAACTGCAAGACGATGGGTGAGCGCCATGTAAAGATCGACGGTGTGAAGGCTACGGGTGGAAAAGCTACTTTCGTTGGCATAAACACCAACTATGGAGATACTGCGACAATCACCAACTCTTGTATCACGGATACAAAGGCTATCTGCGAAGAGTTTGAGGGCAACGATACTGGTGCTGAGCCTAAGCAGATCAGCGAGGGTCCTAGCTCCGCTTGTATCTACACTCCTGCTGATATCGCCGCTTGTTAGATGGGCTACATGGAATAATTGGTAAGTCGGAAATGGGATATCTTAGAAGAGCATATGGTTGCTTGGAATCTCGAGATCGGCGATGATGTATCCACTCATTTACTCTACACCTCTTTGTGTATATACTCTCTTTTTCAAAGAATTCAATACAGAGATCACCTCTCACCCTCAATTACACTCTCTTGCAGATCTGCCCTCGAAATCACTCCATGGCATGTTTCTCTACTTCCAAAAACAAGGCATCAACCCCATCCAAGAAGTTCGTCTTTGTGCCCGATCGCTTCATCGCCTGTGCCTCCAGGATATCGAAAAAGATCGTCCGCTACGCGAGAAAATGCTGTTCATGATCTCCGAGTGGATGACCTTTGGAACCACGGTCAAATTCTTCTTGCATCGCCTTGGTGTTGACGTTGACCGAGATTGCTTCCAGAACTTTGTTGAGAAAGATTTGGTACGTGCGATCAAAGGGCTCCAGGAGCACGACGTCGAGTTGTCAGAAATTCTTGGTGAGGAGAGCTGCGTTTTTGGTCCGAATGCTGCGCCTGCGGATGCTGTTGGCACTTCTTCTGTAGATAGTTACGATCTTGTAGATGAGATAATTTAAAAGATCATTATAAGTTTCTTTACGGTGTCGGATGGCGATTTCGAACGAAGTTTCGTGTGCAGAAGACTTTGACTAACAGTATCTAGCTTTGCGTTCGTCACACCCGCTATGAAATCTGAAGTACTAAGGTACAGAAAATGATGTGTACAAAGGTCAGACGCAGTCGTCTTGTTACTGTAGATCGAACAGCAAAAACCTATCTTCATGCCTTTTCCGTTGGCGATTTCTACATTGTTTCATTATGGCGGTCCTTTGCCTTTTGGAATGTGGTAGTATTGACTCTTTGCTTGCCATGTGGTTGCCTTCGTGAGTTTGCGCAAAGAATAGACGGCCTTTCTGTGATCGCAGAGGCGATGGGTGGTAAGCTACCTTTTTCGCAGGATTTTCGCCGCATCGCTGGCACTTAGATGTATAGATCGACATACTCCAGGTTGTGGCTGTAATCTCGCGCAATTTCGATGAGAATCTCCAATGCCAAAGTTGAGGGGGATCAATGGTACATAGTCAGCGCGCGGACCGAAAAGGTCGGAAGCGGAATGATGCTCCACTCCGCTGCCCCGCAGGCGAAAATGCGTACCAGTAACATGGAAATGTTCCAGCTTGTAAATTTCTCGTTCTACGAAGTGTTGAGAAGGCCCGACTGAGCTACTTGGGATATTTGGGAGATTGATGTCACTGTTTCGACGATGGAACGCGTTCGAGCTTGATGTAGCGTACCTTCGCAAATCGCAAAGTCCTAGTTTTTGTTACATGACGCCTTCCACGAGTGACGCTCGCTCCATCGGACGAAGCACGTACCACAAAATGATTGATCATCACCCATACGCTGCTTGGAAGGGGCGTATGGGTTTGCCCTCTATATCAATTACTGAGTCCTGCGATACCGACCTGCAATTCATCAGATCCATCTACGCAGCCATCCAAGACAATCTCACCAGACCTGCTTGCAGCCATGTCTTACCCATCTACCTACACAGCCTACCGTCGCAGCGCAGGCAAAGACAGTGCCTCGCGTCAAAACCCTCTCACTCTTGAGAAAAGCCAGGAAACGCTCCCTCAAGAGAAGGACCTCGGGCCCAACGATGTGGTCATCAAGATCCACGCCGTATCGCTCAACTACCGTGACGTCGCTATGCTGGTTAAGGAGTACCCTGTCCCCATGACTGAACAAGGCATCCCATGCTCCGACTGTGCCGCCGAGGTCGTTGGGCTCGGGTCTGCAGTCAAGGACTTCCATATAGGAGATGCCGTTGCTCCGATTTGCAACCAAGGCGACTTTCACCCAACCGATGATGGCGTTTCAGTGGCTATCGGTGCGAACGGTCCAGGCACACTGAGGCAGTACGGTATCTACCAAGCAAAGCACCTAGTACACTTGCCAAAGAACTTGTCGTGGGAGGAGGTGAGTGATTGAGAGAGTATACACAAAAACATCAGACTAAACAGCCACAGGGCTCGATGCTCCCATGCGCAGGCGTCACTGCTTGGAACTCATTGGACTCATTGAAAACTGTGCAGGAGCACGCTAGTGCCCTTCTCCAAGGTACGAGCAAAAACTCCAGATTTTCAAACCATCCTACTCACCGTCTGTAGGAACCGGCGGTGTTTCTATGTTCTCCCTGCTACTTTGTCTCGCCGGAAACATCACACCAATCATCACGTCTTCCTCGAACGACAAGATCAAAGCTATTCAAGAGAAGATCAGTGATAAGGTTCGCGGTCTGAACTACAAAACCGATGATCAAGCCGCCAAGATCAAGGAAATCACGAATGGTCGTGGTGTTGACTTCGTCGTCAATAACACCGGCGTTGGCTCTCTTATCGATGAAATCGGCTATCTATGCCCCCGTGGCGGGACTATTTCTCTCGTTGGCTTCCTTGCTGGCTGGGAGGCTGACTGGAAGCCATCTGATCTCATCGCCTTGATGGGCAAGGGCGCAAAGTTGAAGGGTATCGCTGTTGGATCGAAGAAGGATTTCGAAGACATGAATGCGTTTATCGAGGAAAAGAATGTGAAGTTCGATGTCATGCTGGGCAGGACTTTCGGGTTTGAGGACGCGAAGAAAGCATTCGATCTGCAACTATCGGGTAACTTTTCCGGTAAGATCGTTATCAAGGTCGCGGAGTGAGGGGGTTGTCAGAACTTGGTTGCGATGCTTCGGTTTCCTCATATTCGAGACTGCCTTTTGTTTGGATAACGAAAAATATCATGATCTACATAAGGATTGCCGGAAGGCGTTAAGTGTATGGCCAAGCGAAGGGTAAAGCCTAGCGTATTGGTATCGCAGTGCCGTCATTGCTTACATGGGCATCTCGCAACAAGATTGCAGTGCTTATCCGCAACCAACCCCAAAACAGCCAATACAATGTATACGATGACCGGACGATGGTGGCTCGCCAGCTTACGCAGCCTCACCGTCCTATCCGAAGGCATCGCTCTTATTGGCTACAATTCGAAAGCACAGCCTCCACAGCCTGCCATAACACCCTATCATCTCGTCAGGCGTCCAGTCTCACAACCAGCCTTGAAGCTCCCCAAAATCGGGCAGAAGCAGGCTGAAAGGCATATAGTAGTACCGTCGCGCGCTTGATTTCACGACTAATCTTTACACGTTCACACAGTAAACAGTATCTAGGTACCACTGAATCACGAAATATCTGAGATGGGTATCCCTACTACTCCGCAAGAAGCAGCACCCGCATACGAAGAAGTATTCAACGACCATCCTGTGAACCGATGTGCGCCCTCGGGATCAGCTTCAGCTGTAAGCCAACCTAGTCAACCATGTTTGAAGCTGCAAATTTTCTAATATGTTGAACTGCTATCCAGTACGCAACTCTTCCCCAAACCGATGACCACGATATTGAACTTCATGCTCAATCTCACAACCATACAAGTTCCTCGATCGCAGCACCCGCCATCTCTTCTTCTCCAGAGACATTGGCACAGACAATCACCAACTTTCTACGACCTAATCCCGAGCCACACACGCATTGCGAGGTATGTGACAACCAAGTTCAAATCGAGGCGAGGCGGAGGCGGGAGGGTGAGAAGTACTGTTGTACCATGGTCGCAGCGACTTTCATGACATTATTTGTATGTGGCATGTTGTTGGGAGTGTCAATCGTTGCCATGGCGGCGAAGAGAAAGACGTCTGAGGACTAAGAGAATATGGCCTAATCGTGCGACTGAGTACTTAGGTATATAGTATTCTCGATAATCTAAACTTCCGGAACTTAATACGATCTAAGTCAAAGAACTCTACAGTAGGCCTACAATCTCATCCCTTGAACGCTCGACCAAAAGCATCTCTCTTTGCACCCATTTTCGCGATCTTGAAGTCAACGCAAGATTCGTAGGTTTGCCTCGCAGCATTTCCATACCACCACCACTGCAACACCTATACTCTAGTTAGCAGTCTATATGCATCATTGCGCTAAAACCGGTGCGCTCATGGTACTTACACAGTCACCAGCCACGGCACATTTCTCTTCTAATCCCTCGGGAATCGTCACACTAAACTCCCTCTGTCCAATGGGAACGTCGCTCTCACTCTTTCCTGGCGCATACCCTTCTTCCCACACCTTCAACATATCCCCCACAATTTCGTTTCGCTTCGTATCCACGATACTCACGTTCGCCGACCCTTCGTGCGGAATTCGAATCCATACTTTGAGCGGGACCGCCTGGCCAGCTGACCATACCTGTGTGTTGTTGGCAGGATTGTCGGAGAATTGCAGGCCTTTGCAGAGCCAGAGGTTGCAGGTGGAGGCGCTGTAGGGGGCGGCTAGGAGTTCGGGGAGGCCTTCGACATGCGAGGTGTTGTCATTGTTGATAGTGCGCGTGATGGCAGGACCACAGAGAGAGTTTAGAGTAGGACCAGTGGGACGCGAGGGGGGTGAGGTAATGAGGCCATGGGAAAGAACTCTGGGGATGAGAGTGAGGAATGTCGCTGTGGCTACGGTGGTGAAGTACATCTTGGGCAGCGCGCAAGATGCTTTTACAGAAATAAACCAGAAATAAACCAGAAAGAATGATAGAAACACTCTGCTTTGCACTTATGATTTCTGCGACGGACATGGCATTTTATATACGCACTCTCATCGCCACTAGATATCTCCTCATATCTCCGCCTATACTGTCCCCTTGTCCGTGATTCCAAATCAAAAACCAGCATCATTGAGCGTGTCAATTTATCTGAAGACGATATATCGTTGTTGTGTGGATCCGCTATGGAGTGGATATAGATCGCCAAGGATTAGCGAATGAGACGGGGATATGTATAGTGCCGGCTCGGTAAGGCTGCCTTCTCGCTGCCGGATAGTACAAGACAATATATTCTGGGAAAAGAAGCAAGGTTAATGTGATGGCTTGCCGATGTATAGCCGACCTGAATCATGAGCGATAGGTAATGTTATTCTGCTGTGCTCTAGCGGAGCAAGGTTAATGTTATCCTCGAGGCACAACACAAATTCAATTAAGCAATGGTTTACCATGTCATATGTCATCGTTATTAGCTAGTCGCATTGCAGGTATAGCATGCTTAACCATCTATGCTTCTATTGTACATCGCTTTGGGAGCTGTCAAAGTTCCCCTTTCCACGTGTCTTACTCCAGCAGAGAGGCTTGGTTGGTGTAGAGCACATCGACCACGTTGCTCAGCTTTTCAAGTGTACTGAGTGCCGCGTCATAGCCTTGGTCACGCTCTGACTCGTCGTACACGATCAGACAACCCGCGCCCTGGTCTAAGACTCCAATGATGACCTTGTCAAGGATCATCTGCGAGAGCTTGCGCTCAACTTGTATCGTGTCGAGCCCGACCATCTTGGCGACGTGGTCAATCTCTACTCTGCTGAAGGGCTCGATGACCTTGATCAGGTTCTGCTCCAGCATGTTGTCGTACAGGCGTCGGAGATGGGAGGTGATAAAGCGGTCGCTGCCGAGCTGCTGACGGTAGTCGGTCAAGGCCGTCTCGTACTCTTCAAGACTGCGATTGGTGTGTGCTCGCGCTACGGCCTTCATGGCCTCTAACCGCTTGCCCGCGTACTTGACAGCGTGCTTGGAAGTCATGAGCGAGGTGACGTCGTCTCCAAGGTTGAGCATAATCTTGCACAGCAGCATGTACTGGAGTGCTGAAGTAGCCTTCTGTTCTTCGTCTTGTGAGTGGTACCCCTCCATAGCTTCGATGAAGTAGGAGAACGACGTGTTGAAGTCGCCGTCCTCTGCATGCAGCATACCACTCTGCATATCCAGCCCGGCTTGCAGCAGAGGCGGGGTGTAGACTGAAGCAGCTGAAGTCCGTGCCGATGTGAGGGCAGCGCGACCCTTTGGTATGTTGCCCAATGCATGGTAAACTCTTGATTCGAGGAGCTGAACCTCGACCAAGACCAACTTATCGTCCAAGCGCTTCAACTCCTTCAGTAGGCTGTTGATGAGTGTGAGGGCTTCGTAATAGGATTGCTTCTGCATGTACAGGGACACGAGTCGGGTTTCTAGGTTCTGCCGAAGGAAACCTCTCCGCTCTGACACGGCCCACTCTATGCATGACTTGGTGACGTCGATCTGGATGTCGACAGTGTTGGGGATGGCGGTGAACAGGTCAAGTAGTTGTCGGACTGCGACGATTAGCTGCAAGCGCTTGAATGTGTACCTGGACATATCTTCTTACCCAACTTGGATGTCTTCGCCTTAGCAAAGGACGACATTATGGACCGCGCCTGCTTGACCAGCTCCGCCAGCGCATCCACCCTCTTCTGGTCACGGTACAGCTCACCAAGCCCGATCAAAGCACTCTCATAGTTCTTGATAGCAGTCTCATTCTGGCCTGGATCTTGTGATAGGACGTCTTTGAAGATCTGCTCGGCCTTGGAGGGATCCGACTTGGCCAGCTTCTGCGCCTCCGCTATCCGCGAGCTCGTTTCCGGGACAGCCATGGTGGTTCACTGAGTCCTGGTGGTATACGCGATGATTTGAGGTGATTTGTACGCGCCGGTCGTGAGGTGGAGCGTGCGATGGAGTGGCAGAGATGGAACTGTTTGGTGATGTTGAGCTCACAAGCTCACATGGAGATGCGGCGGATGCAAGGTCGGCGGTACGTAATTCCGACAGTTACGGTAAAGACGCCACACCGCCGCGCCACACATCCAGGGCACATGGCAACCGCAGTTCGGTCAACAACGCGCGACGAGAAAGGGCCATGATATCCGCTAAAAGCGTTCGCCTTAATGTCGGTTTGCTAGATCTATCCAATTTTGTGCAAGCAATTGGCGTATCATCGTAACGGGGCTATCCTCTTCGCGCCATTGCTGCCCCAGCGACGGCTGAGTTGGCAGTCGCGCCTCCATCGTCATCGCCTATTGGCCAGTGCACGTAAACAAACCCCAAGCTATTGATCAACACACCGCCCGCCCTGCATCTCCAGTCCACTTTCCCACACTCCCACCCTCCACGATATCACGAACTATTATATACCCTGCGCTGGATCGCTGATAGCTTTTCACGATCAATACCCTCAGCTGTATACCCCAATTCTACTCACGCGCTCTCAATTCAACTCGCTCCCACTCTCCACCTCACAACTACCATTTTGGGTTGAGCACACACCAGACCACATACCATAATGCCTTCATCAGACAGAGAGGTCTCCCGCGACCGGGAACTCGTCAGACACTCACATTCGTTCTCACAAGACAGGATGATCCCCATGTTCGTCTTCCTCACCGCCATGTAAACCCATCGCCGTGTGCCACTAACACCGTGCTTCAGGTGGGATAGTGCTGACCCAGACCGCGCACCTCCGCCATTACCTCTCAACCCAGGCTCACCCACTCTCGGCGTTCGTCCAAACACATCTGCGGCCATCATGAAGGCGGCCAAGGCGCTGGAAGAGAAGGCGCGAGAGAGTTTACCAGCGAGCTCATACACTACTAACCCCATGCCACAGAAGTTGCAGACGTCTCCCGAGCGATCTCTGATTAAAGGCACACAGCACAAGCGCATGCAGTCATTACAGCCGGGCAGCGTTCGTGATCTACGCAGCTACCTTGACAACCGCTCACCTGAGCGTGCCTATCTCGATGCCCGGTCGCCCGAGCGGTCGCCCGAACGCGAGCGACCATCGAGTAGGGGAGGACGGCCCATGTCAAGGGACTACGAGAGGGATTACTTTGGAAAGGATGCCGACGTGAGTCCTATCCGACAACTCACTCCTACACCAGCATCACGATTCGAGATCAAAGACACACCTGCCTTACGGCCTAGCCAGAGGGCCATCCTGGGAGAGAACACACCACCCTCTGCCACAATGCAGGCCTTGCAAAGTATGACCATTCCTCAACACATGCTTGACCCGCCGTTATCGAACATCACCAATCGCTCAGCGCATTCTTCACCTGCGGCTACGCCAGCTTCAGCTCCGGCGTCTGCACCAGTCCATGGACCACCGCCGCCGCAGAACTTCGATAACATCTCTAGTCAGCTCATGAGCATCAACAACATCGTCTCGAGCTTGCAGAAAGACATGTCGCAGCTCAGCCGACGGAGCAAGGACAATGCCACTGATCTTATCAGCTTGAAGGAAGCCACCAACACCCGCGACGAAGACATCCGCAAGTCGCTGAAAGATCTTCTTTCCACCATGTCACAAAAGCAGCAAGCTCAAGCTGCAGCGGCCATGAATGGCGACACCTCTCGCTCTAGTAGCCTCAACCTCCAAGATCCTCACATGACCCCAACGAAGCAATTCACTTTCCCTCGTATGGCACCCACCAGCCCATGGACAGACGAGCGCATCGGTAGTCCGAATCCATACTCTGTCGAGGGAGCCGCTAGTGTCGCAATGCTGGAGAAGATCATACGCGAGATGGTAACCAAGGATGGTCAAGAGCGCCTGGTAGCGAGTCTGCAGAAGCTAGTCGACAAGGCCACGGGAGAGACTGCCAAGAAGGTTACTGAGCTGGCCGAGTTCGTCAAGCAAGGCTCAGCCGGTGGCTTTATGAATGCAGCAGCTCCTGGATCGGCATCGTTCCAGCCTTCCCCAGGATCCGGTGCCTTGACGCGGACGATATCCGCTGATAGCAAAGCTTATTCCAGTCCAAAGGCTGCCGATTTTGTGAGCGAGGAGATGCTGAAGTTCCTCCGTAAGATCAAGGATAGTGTCGCCGAGTCAGGGTGTGTCACAATGGCCACCAAGACCCTCATCCAAGATCTCCGCGGTGAGGTACTCGGAATGGGACGGGAACTTGCTCGCAAGGTTGAGGAAGCAGAACAGGCCAGGCAAGTCGAAGCTGGGCCTGATTCGAGCGCATCAAACGAGGACATCAACGCCATCGTTCAAGAGGGCCTTGCCAACCTTAAAGACCATATGGACAAAGTCATGCGTGAGCGAAGACGGCAATCCATGTCATCTGTCGTGACGCGCACCACAGTCGACAATAACGAGGTCTACGACGTCGTCAAGCAAGCACTGGCAGAACGCGGCTTGGATCAACCAACACCCCAAGCTGCAGCTGTCGATAAAGAATCAATCATCAGTGCTGTTCGAGAGGCCTTTGACGGCGTCGAGATAAACCCGAACGTCGAAGTGCAACAGGTCGGCTTAGGGAATGATGAGATTTTGCAATGTCTTCGCGAAGGCCTACAAGACTTCAACGGCTCCGGCGCCGTCACGAAGGAGGAGATTGAGACCATGCTCCAGGACTCATTGCAGAAGATTCAGCTCCCTCCTCCTATTAACGAGGTCCACGAGATCCGCGAGGAAGTTCTTATGGCCGTGCGAGAGTCTTTGGAGGAACTGAAACCTGCACTTGCAGCTCAAAACCCGCCAACGGACGCTCTGTCAAGGGAAATGCTCGAGGAGGTGATTCGTCAAGCGCTTTCTGAGCAACAACCTGCGCCAATGGAAGTTGAGATCCCTCAAGAAAGCATCACAGAGGCTGTACAAAGCGCTTCACAGGCTCACAACGATGCTGTCATGGAACGTCTACAGTCTATGCTAGACGAGGTGAACACCCAATTCCAAGGTTTCTCTTCAGCCAACGGGCGTGAAACCGAGCAAGTTCTCCAAACCCTTCGTGAGGGACTGGACAGTCTCCGTACCGACCTCCAAGGCTCTGTCAACCAGCCCCGAGAGATCACCCAGGACGGCGAAATGATCGACGTCATCAAGGCTGAACTCGACAAGTTGCGCGAAGATGTTCAAGGCTACGTCGCCGAAGGTCCTCGTGGAGACCAAGCTTGGAGCCGTGGTGACATGGTAGAATACATCAAGTCTGAGTTCGAGAACCTCCATGAGAAGCTGAGCTCTCAGTTCCTTCCTTCTTCCAAGAACAACGAAGAGATTCTCGCTGCCATCAATGCTGGGTTCGACGAGATGAAGTCACAGGTTGCACTTCGATCGGAAGATGATGACTCTAACGATGACATCAGTGAGGCCATCAAGCACGAGTTCGATCAGCTGAAGGAAGTTGTTCTTGGCGATACCTCCAGCAACAAGAACGATATCCTTGAGAAGCTTCAAGCCGGTTTTGACGGGCTCCATACTTTGATGGGCGAGAAGCAGACTGCGACTACATCGAACGACGACATGCTAGCATCACTGAAGGAGGAGTTCGAGCACCTTCGGGAGACCTTGGGCGGCTCACTGACGAAATCCGGTGGCGGAGCCGAGAAAGATGACATTGTCGACGCTATTCGGGAACTCATCGACGGTTTGCACACATCCCAAGAGACTACTTCAAAGGACAACATCGCGCTCATTCGTGGCGAACTGGAGGCCTTGAAGGAATCATTTGGCAATGCCCTTGTGCCATCCAGTGACAACGACAAAGCCGAGATGATCATGGTTGTCAAGGCTGCACTAGATGATATCAAGACCAACCTCCAGTCTGCTGGCGTTAACGAAGAACTCCTAGAAGCTTTCCGCGGAGAGCTGGACCTTCTCCGCCAGTCTGACAACGTCACCAGACAACACAACCGGGCTGATACCGAGGAGGTCCTGGAAGCCCTCAAATTGGGTCTCGACGATCTTCAATCGCATCTGGACAAGAAGCTCGACACCCCCGACCGCAACGCGTCTGCTACTAGCGAGATCATGGATGCGATGAACGAGGGTCTCGATGGTCTGAGGGCCGACGTTTCCAAAATGGCGGAGAACACTGTCGACATGAGCGTATCGTACGAGATCTTGGATACGCTCAAGGAAGGGTTGAACGCGTTGCGTGACGACATCGACATGCTCAAAGGTGTAAGGCAGGAAACTTATGTCGAAGAGTATGTTCCTCTTCCTCCTGCTGGAAACGAGATTGCTCTCGCGAACGAAGCAGCAGGTGGAGAGTCAATGTCACGTGAAATTGTTGAGGAAGCTACGCAAGCGGAGCTCCCGCCGTCACCAACCCTGCCTCCTCAGCAATCGGCCGACTTGTCGAGAATGGAGCTTATGCTGGAGCAGATTCAGGATAAGGTCGAAGCCATGGATGCTGCTAGGGCTGAGCCAGTGCCATCATCCGAACCTGCTGCCGTGGCAGCTGGATCCGCTATGAAGGAGGACCTGGTTGCTATCGAAGAACTCCTGAAAGACGTGCAAGCTGCTGTCCTTGTCATGCAGGATCGGGAATCCGCACCACCTGCACTGGAAGGTGTCGCTAGAAAAGAAGACACTGATGCCATCGAGACTCTTCTCGCAAACACCAAAGCCAAGATCGAAGAGCTCGTCCTGCCCGACCCAGCCACTGCTGTCACCAAGGAGAACTTGGAGGATGTTGAGATCGTCGTACGTACCACATCCGAGGCCTTGGAGGCGCTCGCGAAGAAGTTCGAGGATGAAGGCGCGACGAAGGCCGACGTTACAGTCATTCAAGTCATTGCCGACGATATTAAACTTGCTCTTGACGAAATGAAGACAGCCAAGGCTGATGACGAGTCCAACCCACAAGCAACCAAGGCGGACATCGACGCTGTAACCCTGCTCGTGGACGATCTCAAGGTTAAACTCGACGACCTGAAGATCCCGGATCCAGAAGAGCTCCCCTCCAAGGCTGACTTGGAACAGCTCACTGGCTTGATTCACGACTTCCGCGATAGCCACGACAAGATGAAGGACACCTACGAGGAAGACATCATGAAGACCGCCACCAACTTCGACGAACGTCGCGCTGAAGCTGCGCAACTTGTGGAAGATATCACTGGGGTCAAGACTGCCTTGGATGAGATGCGAGAGGAGATCAAGACCAACCTCATTGAAGGCGGTCCTATCGAAGGCCTCCAAGCTTCCTTCAAAACGATGGAGGAGACTATCGGTGCTAACAACGTCACCGCTGATGTCAAGGAACTCATGGAGATTCTTTCGAGAGAGTTCGAGCGCGCTCACGGATCTATCGAGGGCCTCCAGAACGACCAAGCGGAGAAATCGGCACTTCATCTTGAGAAGCACGATGAAGTCAAGGACGCCATTGTTGCAGGCTTCACAGAAAGCCTAGAGGACAAGTTCAACACGCTCATGGCGAAGTACGACGATGCTCAACTCCTGGCCGACGAACTTGCAAAGGTCATGAAGGAGAAGTCAGAAGAACAAGAGAAGATGCTCGAGAGCACCAAGGCAACTGCCGACGAGCTTCGTCTGACCATCGATACTCTTGGCGCTACTATCGCGGGTATGAACGATCGATTCGAAGGTGCCACTTCCCAATTTGAAGGTGCCTCTACCCAGTGGACGACCGACTCCTCAGCCGTCATCAGCAAGGTGGACGAAACTCTTGCGAAGTACGAAGAACAGAAACTCGCATTGATGGAAAAGCTCGATGAGCAGAAGCTTGAAACCATCGCAAAGCTTGAGGAGCAGAAAATCGAGTACATCGCCAAGCTTGAGGAGCAAAAGAACGAGACCATCACCAAGTACGAGGAGCAGAAGCTCGACGACAAGACTGAGCATTCTCACACTCGTGACGAGATCAAGAACGTCGAAAACGTCTTCAACAACATCCAGGATAACATTACTGAGTATCATCCCAAGTTCATGGTTGCCCTGCACGAGATTGAAGCATTGGTCAAGGCTCACTATGAGCACGCGCAGAAGGCTAAGGAAGAGGCAGATGAGAACGCTCGTGCTTGGAACGAAGAAGCTAAGGCTCGTTCCGAAGAATTGCAAACGCACTTTGCCAATCTGCCGAAGCTTCTCCCTGCGCCAGCTCCAGCTATCGAGCTTCCGGACAAGTACGACGATGCACCTGTGCAAGAGAAACTCGACAAGCTGCTTGCGATTGAACCGTCGCCAAATTACGATGACGGCGCGGTGCATGAGAAGCTTGACAAGCTCCTCGGTCATGCTGATGAGGCAGGTAAATCGGCAGGAAACCTTGAGAAGCTAGACGCGATCCACGCCCAAGTCAAGATAACCGCTGCAGAGCTGAGCGAGTTCGTTGCCAAGCAGACGCAGTTTATTACCGACGGCAATGAGTCTAAGGAACGCGAAGCTGAGGAACTTGGTCTGCTCATTGAACGCAGGACGACTCAGAAGGAGCAGCTGGAGATTGACTTGGAAAGCTTGCGAGCCGAGAAGGCGACACAGAAGGAGCAGCTCTTTGCGGACATCCAGGAGATGAAGGCCGAAAAGGAGCGTGTTGTGCAAGAACTGAAGGAAGAGAAGGAACGCGTCATGGCTGAACTGCAAGAAGAGAAAGATCGGACCATGGCAGAGCTCAAGGAGGAGAAAGACTCCCTCCTTGCTGCCGTCGCAAGTCTGCAAGCCGAGCGCGAGAACCTTGCGAACCAAAAGGTGCGCCTCACTGGCGAGGTCTCGTCTCTTCACACTGCGCTCGACATTCGTCGAGAGGAACTGCACTTCATGGACACCAAGGCCGATGCACTGGAGCGTCGCATCTTGAACGGTATCATGGATCACTCCCGTGCTCTGATGATGACCAAGGGTGGGTCGAAGAATGCTTCCAAACTCAAGAAGCGTATGAACGCAGAAGCTGGGAACGAAGACGCCAGGGCTATGCCCCCTCCCAGCACTGCAGCTAATGGACTCTCTCTTGCGCTCAAGCCTCGCCCTGCTATTCGCCGCGGGGCGCCTGCCAACCCAGCACAGCGCCGTATCTTGTCTCTCAGTCAAATCAGCGGCAACGCGCCCAGTGGAGCTCAAGCTTACCCGGCAACTTCGACCCCAGCTAATAGCAAAGCTGGCGGACTGGGCCGCAGTCACTCTGTCAAGACGAGCAATTACTCTCGGAAGGGGTCTTGGGGTGGTCGTCCCAGCGCCACTATCGCCAACAAGGAAAACGGTGTTCTACCTGAGGAAGATGAGCACGAGACGACGCCGATATCTCACGATATCATTGAGGAAGATGCACAGAGTGAGACCGGCACTGAGCGTCGCTACAGTCTCGATAGCCGCGACTATGCTGAAGGCGAGACACCAGGCTACGATGGACGCTCCAGCTTCGGCGGCACAGGGAGCGAGTACACATACGCTTCTGGTTCGTCGTACATGACCGGTAGCGACATTGATCACGACCGCCGTACCTCATACGGTGCGCAGTCGGCTCACTCTGCTGCTCGTGGTGAACAGCCCATCGACGAGGAAGGGTCGGTGTATTCCGATGACGAAGAAGACAATGAGCCCACGGCTACTATCAACCCCTCGGATGTCACTGGCTCGGAGATCTCGACCGCCACCGCTGACCACGACGTCGACCTGCCAACTCAGTCAGAAATTGTTCGTGCTGTTGATGCCGTCCGGGAAGAGATGAAGGAAAACTACTCTCCACCTAGCGACTCCGGGGTTGGCACTGATCTACCTACCGCCGACCTCAGTAACTCCTTAGTCGATGCTGACTATTTCCGACGTCAGGCTGAGGAGGAGGCGAGCACTGTCGGTTAAATCAACACCTACCAAATCTGTTAACGATTACTGAGTTACCTACGCTCTGATGTCTCGCTCCGTGTCTTTTGGTTTGAAGCTTCGACTCGCCCTCCTAGGGTTTCAGAGTTGGCATCGCCGATTGATATGTCGAGCTTGATAGTGGCGTGTTCTCCAGAATCGCGATGCACGATTGATGGCTTATGTGTATATGCCCCGGCACGATGGAGTTTGGTTGGCTTTGGTTCCTGTTGATCTGATGAGGGTTCACGAGGAATGATGGATTCGACCAACGTTTAGGAGTGTTGAGTTTTCCACTCGGAGTTCTTTACTTGAGGTTACATAGGCGCTAGGGGAAGCTATCGGCGGATATGCATTTGGGTTTATCGGCCTGGAGTTTGTTTGGTTACCTCACTTGAGTAACATTGCTGATTACATACATGTTCTTGTTTATAACTTTAGTCGATACGTAGGCTCTTCTATGAGCGTAATGAAACGATCGCCTTCGTTCTTTGTTCCCATTGCCGTGGTCATGTGTCTTTCGACTTGTCCGAACTACTGTTGCATGACCATATTTATAGTCGTGTGTGAACAATAGTGCAGCAGTGCGCCCGGAGAATGTTTGACTATTACTCCTCATCATCATCATCATCCTCGTCTTCTTCTTTCTTCGCAGTCTTCTCATCGTCTCTCTCTTCATTTTCTTCCTCTTCCTTTTCGTGCTCCCCAATCTTTGCACCCAGATCAGCCTCATAATCCGGTCTTACGACCTGTATGTCCTTCTTCGCAAGCGCAGATTCGATAAGAGGTGCTGAAGCGAGCAAAGCGTTGTATTGATCGATTGTAAGTGAGATGCCCTGTGTACAGTGACCGTCAGTAAATCTATCATCATCTAAACACGTAGAGGGGAAGACAGGATCGAAACATCTTAAGTCATCAGCACATACCTTCTTGCCCGGTTTCGTCTCTCCAGAATCGGTAACATAGTACTCTCGTATACTAACTAGTGTGCTCTTGTTGAAGTCGCTTACAGTCACGCGTCGTTTTCCGCTGGTATTTAGCTAGGATTACCTTAGCACTATCCTCTCCGTTCTTCTCTTTGTTCCCCTTTCCTTGTGCAACTTACGCTGACATATGCATCGCCATTGTCGTCTGTCTTGAGCTCGGGTACCACTGGTACAGAGTCGTCGTCGTTGTCGTCTCCGGCCTTGGTCTTCTTGCTCGCGCGCGCCGCGTTATCGTCATCAGCGTCGGGCGAGGAACGTTTCTTTGGGAAAGTTTTCTTGAATGCGCTGCCCCCTCGGGCACCACCACGCTTGAAACCGGCCATCTTGTTTTGGGACGTGTAGATTGGGATGTGGAAAGTGGATGGTTGCGGTTTCACGCGCCGCGCTGCTCCTGGCGATGACGCAGGGCATGCATTTCGCGCTAATGTGTCGCGCTAGAGACACGGTCATGTGATTAGGCGTTGCTCCAAGTATGCTCTATCACAACAATCTTCTGTCTTTCGATCATTCTTCTTGTACTATCAAAACGAGTGTCAAGCTATCTAAGGGTCAAGGGTTTGATCAGATCTACATGGCATGTATCACTCCGTCCGCATTCTGTACTGCATGTGCTTCACTCCATGGCCGTGAAGGTCGCATTTGCTGCACTTTGGATGGCTTCTCCAAACTTAGTGGCCCAGATATCTCCTTTTCGAACTCATACGAGATCCTGCCCTCTTGACTGAGAACTGAGTCTGCACGCCCCATCTCAATATCCTTGCCTACTGACGCTCGCCCATGCGCATTTTGCTCAAACAAAGTCGATGGTATACGCGGGTCGTACATGGTTGGGACGCGACTACGTGAAGGAGGTGGGACGACAGCGGCATATCCATGCCCCATGCCGAGTGCCGATGCCGTGGGTTCAAATGAGCAGCTCTCCTTCTCTCGAGCGCGACGGCATGCGTCAATCGTCGCCGTAATGAATGTGACCAAGAAGAGGAACCATCCTGCGCCGGCTGCGATAGTGTAACCTCGGCTGAGGTCAACCAGCATCGCGAACTTTGTGAGATCTGGGGAGGTAGCGGTGTCGAGGCGTGTTTTGCTGAAAGTCTCGAGACTCATGTTGAAGCTGAGAGACACGCCGAGGGCTGCGGCCATGGCACACATACAGAGACTTTCGATAGGAATGATGACCGATGAGGCTATGCGCATACGTTGGAGTATATTCGTTAAGACGATGATAATTCCGGCGAGTGAAGCAAAGGCGGCCTGAGTTGTTAGCACGGTCTGATAAACTGATGGTTGATTTACGCACACAGGCGATCGATATCCAGATCTTGATGGCGCCCGCTAGAACCGCAATGAAGTAATCCTTCCAAAGCTGCGCCTGCTGCGGTTCTGGCTGGACCATCTCGAGTATGCCAGTACCACGGCGATTGATATCGCGAATGATGAATTGTGCTAATTAAATTGTTTAGGAACATTCATTGATAAATTCAGTTGAGGATTTTGAATGCTTACACCAAGCACCTAATCCTAGCGACCCCAACGCTATGATGAGGGCCAGGACCCTCGATGACAGTAGGATGGATTTGCCATATCCCATTCTTGTACACGAAGCCAACGAAGCAAGTAGCGTGAAATGAGTGTATAGTATAAGCACAGTCCAGCTGGCAGCTGCTCACAGAGCGCTAGATGAAAGTAGGTGGTGTCTAAACGAGTGAGTGGTAGACGCGGATAGAAATCCCTTGCTCAGGAGCGGACGAAGCATAGCTATTGAGCAAACGTCATATCGTACACAGAATCGGAGTCTCAGGAGCCGAGTGCCTTGTTGTGATGCCTTGCGCAGCTGGAGGGGGGTGGAAACAACCTAGGTGGCTGGTTGTGCCTGAGCATGCAGGCACACCTGATTCAGAACCTTCGATATTGACGCGTCACAGCATATCCCACGCGGGACTCTGCTCACCGACGCGTACCGGGACATAAGGTAGAAGATTCTGCTGAGGCACTGGTCTCTATCTGTACCCTTGCCTCTAGCCTCGCAGCTCATTGTTCAAGCATTCGAGCCGTTGCGGCATGGTGATTGGCTAGCAACCCCGAGGATTCTCCACGGAATGTTGCGATCCGCTATACAAAAGATGCATCCTCGCGCATTGATGGTGCTGACGTCCCGATAATTAGGAACGGTTGGGGTTATGCTTGTCTCTCCACGTGTTGACGGTGTTGAGACAGAACCTGAGGCACCAAGGCGTCGCCGTTGTCAGGCTGAAACAGGCGTCAGACCCAGGAACTGAACCAAGGCTTTCCGGATCGTTCCGTCATCATATCGCTAGGCTGCTCTATAATAGGTGAAATTGACTTCGACGTTCTGTGAAGCTTTCAAGCACGACATCATGTCGGATACACTAAATCATTTCGGAGTTCGGGCAATTGATACCCGGAGCGGTCCCACGCGCCAGCCCCCGATAGCGCAGAGCAAAGGGGAGACGACTGAGTCGTGTACATACGTACTAGATGAAGGCATGGTACTCAGGCCATGCATCACGATGCTACGACCGCTACGGTAGTTTGTATCTGTCCTGCCCCCGAGTTGGAAAGTTCAGATGAAAGACGGGTCTCCGGGCACTTCACTGCCCTTTGCATCTAAATTTGCTTTGCGCCTCTGGAATACTTTCAGGATCGAAGCAGCATGCTCATCACGAATGGAAATGTTGTGCATTCAAGAAATGCAGAGCGGGGCGATGCGACGAAGAAATCGCCGCCGAAGCTAGCCTCTCGGCAACGATGCAGTCGGGTCGGCCATCCTCCATACAGCAGCCATCGACACTTGTATCCGCTCTCCCCTCTCCGCCAAGACGAAATGCGGAGAACGGTTGGAGAGAACGGTAACATTGCGGAGGACTCGTTACGAGGTCGTGATGGAAGCCCATTGTTTTCCCGAATGACGCAGGTCAATTGCGAAAGCATGTAAAATTTTCGAGAGTATTTAGCTTCGCGTGATTCTGAGAGCTGCAAACATCTTGTCGAAGACGAGGGATTTGCAAGATGAGGTACTCCAGTGCCGTCGCAGCGAGCTTTGCTCTATTGCCAAATCTAGTAGTCTCGCAAGGATACACCAATGAGTCCGAAGTACCGCTATACGGACTCAGCCCACCAGTATATCCCAGCCGTAAGTGTTTTGCTCATGTCGAGGAATCAACAAACTGACCGTACGTAGCTGTCGGTAATGGGACAACTTCGTCGGGTTGGGCGTCAGCGTATGCTCGTGCGAAAGACCTCGTGGCTCAATTAACACTGGAAGAGAAGTCGAATCTCACACATGGCGTCTCCGGGCCTTGTGTAGGCCAAACGGGCGCTGTTCCCCGTCTCCAGATTCCAGAGTTATGCTTTGCGGATGCTCCTGCAGGTGTGCGAGGACAGGAGTTCGTGTCATCATTTCCTGCTGGCATTCATCTTGGAGCAACCTTCGACAGGGACCTGATGCTCAGGTACGGTCATGCTCTTGGTAGAGAATATAGAGGCAAAGGGATTCATGTTGCTCTTGGCCCATTCATAGGCCCTATTGGAAGAGTCGTGCGCGGTGGCAGGAATTGGGAAGGTCTTGGTGCTGGTAAGTGTCCATATACGAACTGCATGTGACACGGATACTAAGTTCGTACGCCTACATCTAGACCCGTACCTTGCCGGTATTGGCGGTGCGCTTATTACCAGAGGTACACAAAAAGAGGGCGTGATTGCTACACCAAAGGTATGCGATTTCATTGTATTCATACGAATCAGAAGCTGACAGCACCAACAGCATTGGCTTGCGCAAGAGCAAGAGTATAGGCGGCGCCCCGGTGACGAGGGCGAGGCAGTCTCCTCAAATGTAGACGACCGTACACTACACGAGCTCTATGCGTGGCCGTTCATGGACGCCCTACGCGAAGGAGCAGGCTCGTTGATGTGTTCATACCAGCGTGTGAACAACTCATACGGATGTCAGAACAGCAAGCTTCTCAATGGCATCCTGAAGGAAGAGTTAGGATTTGAGGGCTTTGTCGTATGTACTATACCGACTGTTACCAAGACGTCACTAATAACCTATAGGTATCTGATTGGGACGCACAACATGCTGGTGTTGCTTCAGCGAATGCAGGCCTTGACGTAGTGATGCCAGTCGCTAAATTCTGGGGCGGAAATCTTACTGACGCTGTCAACAATGGATCCGTAACAACAGAGAGACTGGATGACATGAATACACGACTTCTTGCAGCGTGGTTCTATCTCAACCAGAACGAAGGGTTCCCAGAAAACGCTGTATATCCATACAACGTAGAACACGAGATTGTGGATGTACGCGAAGACCATGGGTCACTCATCAGAGAAATTGGAGCTGCCGGAACCGTGCTGGTCAAGAACTTCAACAACACTCTACCGCTTCGCAATCCTCGTTTTCTGAACATCTATGGCTATGACGCTGAAGTGAAAGCTCAGCCTTGGAACAACCCTTCCCGCTTCGGTGGCGGCTACGAAGAGAATTTCGGTTGGAATACACTCAACGGCACTCTGATCACAGCAGGTGGTTCGGGCTCCAGCACTCCGCCATACGTGATCAGTCCCTTCAAGGCTATCCAAGACCGTATCATTGCAGATCGCGGAACACTACGATGGGACTTCTTCGGTGTAAACCCAACTGTATACGCCAACGCCGATGCATGTCTCGTCTTCATCAACGCCTACGCATCAGAAAGCTTCGATCGCACTTCCCTCACAGACGAGTTTAGTGATCAGCTCGTCAACAACGTTGCTACCAACTGTTCAAACACGATCGTTGTGATTCACAATGCTGGTATCCGCACCGTAGACGCCTGGATCGACCATCCAAACATCACCGCTGTTCTCTTCGCCGGCGTCCCCGGCCAGGAGAGTGGCAACGCCATCGCCGATGTCTTGTATGGCGATGTGAACCCTTCTGGTCGCCTGCCATATACTGTCGCTCGGAAAGAGTCTGATTACGGCCACTTGCTGAACGGAACTGTCGATCTCTCCATCCCGGCTTTCTTGCAATCGAACTTTACCGAGGGTCTGTATATCGATTACCGCGCTTTCGATGCGCAGAACATCACACCACAGTATGAGTTCGGTTACGGCCTTTCGTACACGACATTTGGTTATTCAAACATGACAGTTGAACGCGTGGCGAACGCGAGTCTTTCTGCTTTCCCGTCATCGTCTGTGCCGATTGTACAAGGAGGTCATCCATGGCTATGGCAAGTGTTGTACCGCGCCACAGTCACTATTACCAACACTGGCAAGGTCGCTGGTCATGAGGTGGCGCAGCTGTACTTGGGAGTACCCAATGCGCCGCAAAGGCAGCTGAGAGGTTTCGAACGCGTAGGTTTATTGCAGCCTGGCGAAAGTCGAGAGGTTGAATTTGCATTGGACAGGCGCGATCTGAGTGTCTGGAATGTTACCGCGCAGTCATGGGAGCTTCAGCGAGGCAGGTATGCAGTTTGGGTGGGAGCAAGCAGTCGTGACATAAGGCAAGAGGGTGAGATTGTAGTAGAATAGGTTGGTAGAACGAGTTAACAGTATTCAACATCGTTTTATGTCATCCTCGAGGCTTTTGCGTTTGCGACATTTTGATTCGAGAGCCTCTTTTACATGTGGAGAATATGGATTTCAGGATTTGTGAGTGGCTAGTCGTCGGTTCGGGTTATCGCAATACCATGGCTGAAATGGATAGCAACCATGGTATTGCAATTGCGCGCACATCCGTCATCCTCGAAATTTCTTATAAAGTCTGTAAATTGTTGTTTCTGATTATGCACATGTTAGCATCTATACAAGCTGTCCAACGAGCTTGATGTAAACAAACTTACAAGGTAAATCTTACATTATACTCGAACTCCCTTTCACTCTTCCGAGAATTACATATTTCTAGTGCCTGAGCCGTAGCAGGCAAGAGTGCACAGACGTACATACTGTTCCGTGAGGATCAACAGCTTGCACTCGCTGCTGTTGGGCCCCCCTTTTCCAGGCACCCTCTTCTTGGCTTTATATCAATCCCAGCTTTATAGTAGTATTACTCTTCTTCAGGTCCAGTAAACTCAACCTGAAGGTCTACAATTCTCTCAACCCAATATATCAAATCTACCAATGGTCAAGAGCATTAACTACCCTTTATCAGTAAGTCTGTTCCAGTCTTCTCCTCTAGTATGGTTGCTGATGAATCCTAGGAGGATATCCAGAAAACCTACATAGATGTTGTACAAACGATCGAGGAAAAGTCCGCTTCCAAGGACCAGTTCGAGAACATATCCCTGCTTTTAGACTTCCAGGAGCTTGGGAAGATCGCGGAAGGTTACATCGAGTACGCCAACGAATACGGTTATGTGGAAGACTGGGTAGAAACTCGCTTCAACGATGACGATGTCTTCCAATGTCTAAGTCATGCATGCATAGGTTATATCGAGTATGAGCATCAGAAGACGTCGGCTGACGGCGAGTTCTTCAAGATGATGCGAGCTGGGTTGAAGTCAATAGCACATACCTACAACCCTCCCTCCGCCAAAGGAGAATTCTTCGACATGGTTAGAGCTGGTATGAGGACTATGAAGTACGCCTACAATCCTACGCCAATGGATCTGCTTTCCTACCCGCCCTTGCCAGACGCACTGCAAAGAGTATATCGCCATATGGGATACACACCATTCGAAGACATAATCTTTCTGGATATGGTAGCTTCATTCGAGAATGCTTACTTCTGGTGTGCTTGGGGTCATGTCTGGACCGAACGCTGGGATGACGAATGTTTCTGCGACCGTAGGCAGAACCAATACTGGTGGACACCCAATATACTCGACTACCGCGATGTCCCGACAGCCGTCACATATATGTACGAAACTACCAATGGCCTCGGTCGCGTTGAAGATGTTGTCTTTCGAGATCTGGTTGAGACGATTGAACAGTACATGGAGTATGCCAACGACTTCGATAACTGGAACGACCCAAAGATTGCCGCTTTCCGCGAATTCTCGGTAGTGGTGGACTGCGTCTCGTATGTTTGCCCAGACTACCAGTGGTTCCAGCGATTTCTCAGCCTGCCTGGGGAGCTCCGGGAGAATATCACGCACGTGTACCTCTTGCTCGAGAGTGATGCTGGTCGCCTGAGTAAGCACCAGCACTACGATCAGTTCAGTAACCCATGCTGCACATGGAAGTATCCCTGGGAGCTTATTGCTTGCGACAATCAAGAGGCGAAAGCATTCCCAGAGGCTAGTACAGGTCGATGTCCCATGGGTTGGTTGCCAAACCTTGCATTTGTAAGCCATCAAATGCACGAGGAAGTCCTCGTTATGATGCTGCGACGGACCGAGCAGTTCAATCTGAAGTATATGTTTCGCAACACGGATTTCAAAATTGCGACTTGGTTTAGCAAGTTCCTCAAGGCGATTCCGGGTAACGGAGGTGAAGAGGCGGTGAGACATCTCAACTTTCCACACATGCACTGGTTCAATCATGGACGCAATTCGCCAGCTCTGACCAACCCGAGCTTAGACTTGGCCATCGTTTGCAAAAAGCTGCGCAAACTCGACATGACCTTCCATGTCGACAAGGTAAGCATATGTAACGAATCCACAAGTTATGAGCGCAAATCGCTTCCCCTTCCTGAGGTTATTAATCGCTTCAAACTGGAGACAATTTTCGGCTGTAGTAGCCTAGAGGAAGTGTATATTGACGGTATATACGTCCGACCAACGCAAGGAGGCGTCGTGACAGATTTGGACGTGCTAGAGGACCTTGGCAAGTGGATGATGATGGGCTTCCTCGTTCGGCGAAACTTGGAGCACGGTATCCAAGTCGAATTGGCGCGCCGATGGGGTGCTTGGAGAGGACGTGCTGGTGGGGTCCTGGTTACCCTAAATAACACCGACATGGCACACGTCATGACGCGCATCGGGTTCAGAAACGCGTATACAAAGACTCTGGCTATGGCTGGGCCTGCTCCGATCATATAGATGAAGGCTGTAAGTACTTTAGACAGAGGTTTGTTGGTCCGAGTATACCAAGTCTCTGAACTCAGCTCGATAGATAAAGCTCGAGTAGAATAATCGCGTGTCGTCCTCTAGCGCAATTACCGCTGTCGCGTGGTGATCCTAGTATCTATTGAGCTTGTAAGATGGCTGTATGTGGTTCGTCGTCTATATGCTTCTCCGTCCTTCATGACCTGGGTACATTCTTGCGATTCCGGGTTGTTTGGTTGGATGGTGCCTCCGCAAGTGACTTACAGGATCACGCTGGAAGGTTAGCTGTCCGTAGAAGCTTCAGAAGGCGCGCGTTGTGGGGCATCGAGTCAACGCGTTATCCAATCAGCAGTGAGGTGAAGCAGCTGACAAAGGCGCTAGTGGCATGACCCCTGCGAATCTGGGGTAGCTTCGAGGCGGCCGTGCAAGCCGCAGTAAGAGTCTGGCGCTTGCTAACAAGTCCATATTGATTGTTGATACCCCTCTTCACTTCTTCTCGAGCCACAACTTTTGCCATCCGACTTTGTAATCAACAACAACAGCAGTTTATCAACATGTCTTGCCCCGTGATTGGAACCACCAATGATGTCCTCCCACCAAACCATCCTTCTATCGATCTCGCAAAGGATGGCCAGGTTGTACGTACTCGAAAGTACCTTCCTTGTGTTCGAACCAGACTGACATGACGATAGTGCCCTGTAGTAGGAGCCACAACCGACCACCACCACAACCTACACTCGCACCCTCCCGTCCCCACCCAAGGCAACGAGGCTACATCATGCCCCGCTCTCAAGAACACTGTCAAGGAGACCAAGGCCCAGGAGATGGATGATGCCCTCTGCCCTGTTGTAGGCACTGCTACCACTGTTCTTCCTCCCGACCACCCAGACATGCTTAAGGCGAGTGAGGGCGACGTATGCCCTGTCACCAAGGCAACAGTTGGACACCATAAGAACAAGGTGGTTACACACCCAAGCGTAGACGGAGCAGCAGACGGTGCTGTATGCCCAGTCACTGGCCAAAAGCAACTTGCATAAGGGTGATATTGATTGAAGGATGGGTGGCGTGCGTATATATACCCAAACGAATATAGTGGGTCAACAACCCGACATTGGATCGGATATGGGCCTCTATGCATGTCTTAACAGCTTTTCTCTTTGTAACAGCGTAACCATGTTACAGCAGTTATGCCTCGGAGATGCAGTGCAACATTGAAAATTTGGGGGTCATAATAGCATAGTTGGTATCTGCTATATGCTACGGACGTCTCCTTCTTTCATTTCTCGTCAACGGCATCATCATGTGTCTCCGTATTCTGTTTCTTGTACTCTATTTGATCCGTCTGTCCCGGACAGGCAACATCTGTTACTATCCCAATGGCGACACAAACACAGACGTTCCGTGCGACCCTGACGCGCCCATCACACCATGTTGCGAATCACGTTCTGCCTGCCTTACAAGTGGACTTTGCGCTTTAGAAACAAGTAGGAACTGTGAAGTCATGTCAAACTCCAACTCAAAATACCAACCATCTGTCGCATCCCTCTTGTGACTAGAGAGTAGCCAGATATGCGTACGCCCCTGATAACAGTGCTTTTACAAATCGACGGCTTAAGATATATGCCTATAATCTTATGTTGTAATCTAGAGGTTCATGAAGATGGAAGTAAGTAACTGGACGGGATGAAGAGAACATCAGAGGCTAATACGTGTGGGATTATAACGACCAGGTCCGCCTATTTTCGCAACCTAATTTTAGGATTGGATAATCGCTGCAGAATAAAGCTTTGCGAAGGGGAGTTAGTACTGAGACCAAAGGACGAGATGGCGCAAGATTTGCATGTCGAGCCACTCAACCGGCTAGACGGCTTGAGGAAGTTGAAAATTGGCTTATCTATGCCGAGCTACTTAGTAAATAAGGTCTCTCGGCTTGGAGAACTCAAATGTTCGTAAGAAATGGTCACAGAGGGCTAGGGGCGGCTCGGAAAGGCGGGGCTGTAAGACTGAGCCTTGAAATGATAGCCAGGGAATATTGGTGAATTGTACTACGGGAAAGGGCCAGATTCTTCTTTCCATAGCTGTAGACACACTGATTGTCTAAATATTAAGGAGAACGAGCTCGATACGGCAACGGTGAGCGCGACGGTTTCCTCCGAGATCGCCCTGTGTCATCGCCTTCAGAATCTGAACCTCTTCGCTCGCGCCTTCGATGTCGATCGCGCCTGTCTCTAGAATCCTCGCTTCGATCTCGAGTTCGTTCCGATCGATGGCGACGCTCTCTGTCTTCCGAGTTGTCCCGTGGCTTTGACTTGCGATGTCGACGGTCGTCATGCGGGCTTTTGTCGCGACTTCTACTCCTTCGCCGTGACCGCTTGTCACGCTCATCGTCTTCCCCTGCATCCTTGATCCGTCTCCTGTCCTTGTCATGGTCCCGATCTCTCGACCTGTCTCTCCGGCTATGCCTGTCCTTGCGCTTTGCCCTCTCCTTTTCTTTACGCTTTTGCTTCTTCAGCTTCTTGAGTGCATCGTCTACTTTCTCTTGCTGGCGCTTGATCATAGAGTCACGCATAGGGTCGTCTTCGTCCAGCTTCTCCAACAGACGCCCTAATTCGATCTCTTCCGGTAGCAGTGGTCGGTCGTCGTCCGAGTCGCTTTCGCTCTCTGTCTTTCTCCGCTTCCTTCTGCCACCATCAGACTCATGACCAGGGTCGAGGTCGAGCTCTCCCATAGTGTTGTCCCTCATGTCTTCGTCATCCTTGGGTTTGTATCGCGCATGATCTACCCTGATGATGCGATCCATGATACTCGCTCCACCTAGATTGTCCACGGCCAAGTCGCAACTCCTCTGGTCTTCGTACTTGATCCATGCGAAACCTCGTGACTTTCCTGTCTCCTTGTCGCGCGCCAGCTTAATCCATACTGGTTCGCCGTACTGGGAGAATATGGTGATGATGTCACCTTCTGAAAGTTCAAACGGTAGGCCGCCGATGTAGACAAAGGCCGTGTCCCGGTAGTCGGTATGCCATGAACCTTCGGGATTGATGCCTGCCTCGAGTTCGCGCTTATTGAGCTGCTGGATGGCGCGCACCGAGTTCATAGTGGGCGTAGTGTAGACGGAGCGGTGATGTGGGAGAGGTGAGGAAGGCGCGTTCGGAGGGTGGGTTTAGGGTAGGGTTGTAGTGCACTAGCGTTGAGTAGGCGGATCAGATGTGCATTGCGGGTGCTAGAAGAGGTTTCTCATGCGGCTGAAATGCTGAACATGGCGCTGAGCATGTATTGGAAACTTGTTTTGGTGTGCGCGGAGGTAGCAGGAAGGTCCGCTGGAACTTTTGAAGCTCGGGCTTGGCCAGCAGCAGCATCCCTGCAGAAAAGGTACCAGCGAACAATGCGGCCAAACAAGCACACCGCAACCCCACTAGACATTCACTCGGGTGCCGCACTAGCCTTTCCGCCTCCGTCGCATATCTTGTATACAGCATCCACACATCATCGCTTAGTCGACAAAGCCTCGTGTCACCGGCGACGAAGCTCCGCACCACCTCCGCAATGGCGAGCGCGCGTCGGACCTCCAACTTCCCCACACGCGTCCCCGGAAGCCACGACCGCCCGGGGAGCAGAGACACGGACAAGGAGGAGATATGGAAGCCTATGCTGGATAACATTTCGAGTGGGAAGCGACTGCCAGAAAAGAGTCTACTCGTGCTGGGTGAGGGCCACAATAGGCAGAATAGGGGACACAGCTAATGCTCAACCCCAGGCGGAACTCCAGAAACACAGCGAGAGTTCCTCGAGTCGGTGTCCACAGACTCTGCAAACAACCGAAGACCGCCAGACCGAGGCAGGAAGCCGCCAATTGCGAACCAATTCGCCCTGGGCTACACGTACCAGGATGTGCTGGATACGGATCACGAGGGTATGTAGCGTCGCTGGCTGTAGAATCATGGTTTGCTAACAAAGCCAGATACACTTGCTCGTCTTTCGCTCTACCTGCTTGCTAACCCCTCGCCCTCATTCACCCCCCTTATCAAGCCCTACCTCAACCCACGAACCCTCCCGCACATGCTTATCGTCATACTCCTAGACTGGAATCACCCATGGCTGTGGATACGGCAACTTCGCGACTGGATCAGAGTGCTGCGATCACTCATCGTCTCCCTCGACGATAACTCAAAGGTCGTCTTGGAAGAGAACATCCAAACACTGCAAGACAAGGGACGCAATTTGCCAGCTGAAGGCAGCAGCATGGAGAACGTAAAGATACCACTTGGGCCCGGAGAATGGGATGAGCCACTCGGCATACCGTTATGCGTAGTATGTCAAAATGCTGACAAGATCGAGACTCTTGAAAAGGAGAGGGGCTGGAAAGAGGAGGAGTTCGACTTCATACTACAGTACATGCGCACTATCCTTCTCAAGCACGGCTCAAGCTTGATTTACACCATGCCTACGGCACCGGGGTCGTTGCAAACACTTATCCACTCCACCCTGGGCATCAAGTCTCTGCTCAAACAAGAGCAGCTCAGGCACAACGTAACGGACCGTGACCGAGTATTGGTCCCACCCAACTGGGATTCATGGGCCAAGATTCGTATTCTACGAGAAGGGTTTGATGTTGAAGGCATCAGCGAGAAATGGAGTGTTGACATTGATATACCTCAGCACATGCGCCCAACCAACGGCCAGGTATCTACACCTATCGAAGGAGAAGCACAGCCCAACGGCGAAGACACACAGGTTGCGGAAGAAGAGGAGGAGGGCCCCTCAGCGACATCAATTTATGAGGAAACGATCCGCAACCCAGAGTCAGATTACGCACTTTCCAGCTTATCGAAACAAGCGGACGGGCTCGAGGTGTCTAGCAAGGATCCACAGGCCTTCCTTGCTGACCAAGTCAACGTCCTTGAACATCTACGGCGGGAAGATGAAAACGAAGCTGCCATCAAAGCTGCGCGCAAGGAACAAGACCCCTCGGCTTCTAGAGCGTGGACCGAAGATGCATCAGGAGTTGTCGAAGAGCATATCGGACCTGTACAGTTCAACATGGGTGGTATTCAAGTCAATGCCGATGAGATGGTGAAGAGACTACAGGTACGTGGAGAATTCATGCGTACTGTCCGAAGATTTGCTGACTTCAATCCAGGACCGGCAAGCCAACCGATTAGATGAGCCCGAGACACCACCCCCAAAGACACAGGATACCAACATCAACGACAACGAGAAGCTGAGGTCCTTCTTCTCAAGTTTGGTCAACAAGGCGCCTTCAAACAGTCCGAGAGGATCATAGAATAGATCTACTTTCAAATGAGCGCTTTCCAACTATTCTGCTACATGTACTACACACATGTTTATTCGACTTTCCGATAACAGAGGCTTTCTTACTGGTTCACGGTCGTCATTAGCATGGCTCTATACCCACAGTGTATTTCCGTACCCAATACAAGCTTTTCATTCAATGTCTTCGCTTTAAGACTATGCACTACACAGGTATTGTCACTGAGTTTGTCGCCGTCAGTTTCGTCATGCCGTGATAGTGAATGTTGTACAGCGTATGACACATTAGCTCGACAACTCGATGTCTTCATGGCTGAAGACACGCACGAGATACTTCAAACCTCGATTACATGCCTACATCTACTCGTTCCTCATCTTCATGTCTTCCTACTTTGTCTCTCTCTTCAGCATCCTACTTGCACCACTCTCACCATACAGCGAATACAACTTGACTAACGAACCGATTGCCTTGTCGAACTTAACCCCATCTTTGCTCATCAAATCCCCCATCATGACAGGGAGACGGATCCGCTGGGCTGATTACCGCCGCCCTGATCGCATTACAGAGAACAATCTAGCTCAAGTACCCGAGGGGCACTTCAACTGGGGACAGTGGAGGCATATGGCTAATCCACAAGGAATGCAAGGATATTGGAACGAGAGGAGAGGGCAATGGGGCTGGAGGAATGGGTATCAGTGGGGCGATGCCAGGAGAGACTGGCGGTATCGCTGAGTGGAGGTTATAAGTCATGGAGTAGGCAAGTAATCGCGATATGTGGATACTAGCATGCTGTAATGTTGAATGATAAGATTCAAAATCCCTTCTATTTCTCCAACAACCACTTTACACCATTCAACGTATCCTTGACAAACTTCTCGCTCTCCTCCAGCTCCGGATAGTTTGTCCAGAACATATGTCCATACCCAGCGTACAACTCAAATCTCGTCAGTATTCCATTCTCTCTCAGGATTCTATCGTAAAGCACCGCTTCGTCCCTCAACGGATCCAAGCCACCGACCTGGAAGAAGGCTTTTGCCACACCTTCATGCCCATCTGGGTGGTTGAATGGATCCCATAGAGGAGATTTAGGGTCAGGAGCATAAATCTCCTCAATCATACCCGGTGGAATACCTTTCAAAACTGGGTCGTTGGTACTTTGCGTCCGAGATAGGTAGAGTGGGACCAGGTTAGGCGGGACGTTTGTATCAGGGAGCAGTGCGGGGACGCATAGATACTGGCCGGTGATGGGTGGACTGAGCTTTTCGTCTCGAGCAAGGAGAGCGAGGACGGCGGCGATGTTACCTCCTGCTGATGCGCCGCCGACAAGGAGACCACGGGAGGGTGTTGCGTTAAGTGTGGCGCTGTTCTTCAGACTCCATAGTAGGGCGTCATAGCAGTCATGCACTCCAGTGGGAAACTTGTGCTCGGGTGCTAGACTAGAGTGAATGGGTAAGCATGTACTCTTCTTGTTGAAAAAGCAACGATAAGAGAAAGTAGAACAATCAAGAAGGGGCGTATATGTATCCTTACCGATACTCAACGTTCACACAAACAGCCCTCAGGTCTCTGGCAAACATCCTGCAATTCAGATCTTCGTCTGTCAAGTCACCCATACTCCAGCCTCCTTCATGGTACATCATGATGAGCGGACTACCATCTTCCGGCGGACCGGCAACGGATTGGTAGACTTTAACGCGGATGGATGCCCCATCTCGAGTAGGTACATCATGTAAACTTTCTTGGACAAGATCTGGGATGGGGCCGGGGATCGGGTAGAGATGGCGTAGGCGCAAGAGGTGGTCTGCACGAGACGCGCGGTGGGCGAAAAAGTCGTCGCCAGTGATGTCTACAGGGCGAGACTCGAAAGCCTGGGAATCTGATGAGATGACGAATAATGCTTGTTGTTTCTGTTTTGGAAGAAAGTCGTTGGAGACGGCGACAAACTATCTCAGGCAAGAAGTAGAACTAAACTACCTTTCTGTATACCTCGGATACCTCACCTGACTTGAGGACTTCATCGCGTGTAAGATGCGCCATGTTTGCTGCGGGATCCTATGAAGCTTGAACACAGCGAGATGGGAAGTGACAAATGCTCCGAAAGTATCGTGCTTGCTCTGTGAGGATGTTGACGGATGCACAACCCATAAGCTTACGTCATTCGAAAACAGCTCATTTCAGCTCACGGTACGGTATGAGGCACTCATTCATCACACCAACTGTACTGTGAGGATCAACCTCCTACACATTGCTGTCGAGTAGTGAGATCATCCATGGATACATGAGTGAAGCTCAAGATTATGTTACAAGTCAAAAGAGGTATCAACATCTGGTATCTACAAGGCTACTTCGGAAGAACTGTAAATTACTCTCGTCACCATAAATTACTTGACTCGCCATGCCCGATCCTACTCAGCATCAACAAGCACAGTACTATCCTCAACCCTCTTCTCATTCTCTCCTCCTGCCAAACTAGGCTGTACGACCTGCCTGCCTTTCCAACCCTTCATAAGCTTGCCCAGCCTCTTCCTCAGGCCATATTGCATCCACAACGGCCAGCCCCTTATCCTTGGCAGCATGAACCAGGCAGTCTCGGGCAGAACAATATGCTGACTCTTGCCACTCAACACGGCCTTGACAATACTCTCGGCAACCGTCTCGGGATACAAGACGCCCCTGGAATCGAAGCCTTCGAACAGAGCGGTGCGTGTATAGTTTTGGGCCATGAGTACAGTCCTTATCTTAGGTGCGTTGTAGCGAGCAGTAAGTTCGGCGGAGAGACCTTCGTGGAAGGACAGTGCAGCGGCCTTGGACGCGGCGTAGTCGACCATGGAGGGGGCAGCGAGGTAGCCGGCGACAGAGGCGACGGTGACGATCATGCCGTGGCTGTTGGCAATCATGCTAGGAAGGAACTGCTGGGCGAGGTAGTAGTGGCTGAAAGTGTTGACCTTGAAGGTCAGGTTGATGTCCTTTTCGGTCGACTCGAGGATGGTCTTGCCGCGTGCGACACCTGCATTGTTGATGAGGACCGTGGGGTTTCCCAGTGTGGAGCGGATTGAGGAAGCTGCGTCGGCGATGGCGTCGGGGGAGCTGAGGTCGCATTTGAAGAAGCGGACGGACGGTGGTGCTGGCGGGTGTGAGCATCTCTTTGATGTGTCTAGCAGCCTCAAGAAGCAGAAACATACCTTCATACGTCAAGTCCTGAACGTCGAGGACTGCAACCTTGATTCCCTTCTCGGCCAGTAACTGTACTACGATCTTGCCAATACCATCACTGCCTCCCGTCACAACGACAACCTCACGACTCCACACATATTCGTCTTTGGTCCAGTTGTTGGTCACTCCGCTGTTTAGCCACGCGTTGACGGTACTGAGCGCACCCAGGCCAAGCAGTGTCTTCAAGCCCTTGAACACTGAGGCATGGTCTTGAGCGAGGAGGTTGCCTTGCTGTGTGTAGCGCGCGAGGAGGACGAGGGGAAGCGTGAGGGCGGGATTGAAGGCCGTGTATCTGATGAGGCGACTGATGGTATCGCCCGTCACGCCTATGTATCGCGTCAGTAGAGCGCGCCCATTGACAAAGCTTTGTGCTGTGACCCTTGAGAATGAGCGGCACCGGCTATAGGCACTTACCTTCACGCGCAAGGGTCCAATCGCTTCGAATGGGCATGGCGACAACAACAAAGATTGTTTGGTGCCTGGAGTAGTAGTGACGGTAGCGCGTGTAAACTGCGACTAGCAGACAGATACACTTCACATGTCGCGCGCCGGCTCCCTTTAAACGGTCCGTCTACGATGCTCCTTCTCCGTCTTGGTGCTGTGCCACCCGCCAGGTGGAGCGGGGTCAGCCAAAACTAGGCTAAAGCGTTCCTGATGGCGCGAACAGCCGAGGAACTGGCCCTGCATATCGTGATACCGGTGTCGCAAGGCCCAAGTGATCATCGCAAAAGGGATAAGGACACATGTGTGCAATAACCATTATTATTTGCAGCCTCTTAGCTGTCGTGACTAAATATACAATCGTAATATATACGTTCCAAGTAATACTGTATCCAAATCACTGTCGCTGCCCAAACATAGGAAACATCGTCAAGTAGCTAAATGATCAACTCTCCCATCCTGAACGCCAAATACAAAATCCTCCCACGCTACACGAACAATACAAAAAACAAAAACGTGGACAGTTCAATCACTCCTTCATCTAGAACATGTTCTTTCCACCTTGCTCGTAGTCCATGATGGTACTCTCAGGAGGCGCGACGCTCGTTACCCGGCTGATGCGACTTGATCGTGAGTCGGGACGATTGATCGACATGGCTCCACTCATGACCCTGACTACCTTTTTACTCCTAGTTCCTGTCACTAGCACTTGCGCTGGACAAACCACAATCTCGTCCTCGCCCTCGCCGAAATCGTCGCCCTTCTTGACAACTAGTGGGAATAGTACGACCTTGACTACTGCACCACGGGCTTCGAGCTCGTCGTTGGACGTTGTTTCGCCTGACCGTTCGTTCATGAGAGAGGCGTTGAATGTGACCTTGGCCACAAGGTCGCCCTTGGTATCGTACTCAGGCTGTAGCGGCGGCAGCATGATGTATTCCGCGCGTTGGGTCCGCATTTCGATTGATAGTTCGACTGCCAAGCGCATGACGTTGCGCAGTGATTCCTGAATCTGCTTCTGCAGATGCGATGGTGGCGGAAGCAGTGTCGAAAGCGTGCTGTAGATTTCGTGTACCACGGCTTCTGTGTCTTGGGCGCGCTGCTGCATGAAAGGCTCTCTCCTTGCAAGAAGGGTAAGTGTGATAGCTCGCCATTGTGCCACGGCGCGAGGTGGGCCGACTTCCGACAACGTCTTCTCCAACGCCTTGAGTTTCTGGCGCTGTTCCCTGTCCATACCGAAAAGGTACCTAGTAAAGACGTACTCCCAAATCATAGTCATGACCACTGACATGAAGACATCTCGACGCCTGACGCGGTCCGCCAGAAGTGCGTCGACATCTGAGCCATCGAGAATGGCATTGTCCAGCCTAGTGTCAATCTTTTGGCGCGTTGAAGCGTCCAGTCGAGTATCGGCTGCGATCTCGGACGAAAGGCGACACGCACGAGTATCCGAGAACTTGGAGAATCGGAGTACCCATTGCTGGACATGTTGACAGAGTTGTTGGCAGGCGCTGTCAAAGTAGTCCTCATCGCGGACAGTGAGGAAGCTTTCGCTTGGCTTCTTGGAAGCTAGGATCTGCTTCTGGAGGTTCTTGATCTGTTCGCGCGCGGTTGCGAGTTCTCCAGTTAAGCGGTCAATCTCGGCGTTGCGTTCATCCAGTGCTTCGCCAACTTCGTCACGAACGGCATCTGCCAAACCTCGCTGCATCTGGGTATGCTGGCGGCGAAGTTCTTCCAAATCTCGTTGCGATGTTTGCCATTGTTGTTGCATGGCCTGGCCTTCTGACTGAAGTTGTGCGTACTGACTGCGAAGGCTCTCCAGCTCTCGCTGCGATGATTGCCATTGCTCATGCACCATTTGTCCCTCGGACTGAAGTTGCCCATACCGTTCATTCGCATCGTTAGTCAGGTTGCGATTGGCATCTGTTAGTGCATTGTTGAGTTGATTCAGGCGTGCAATCTCTTCTTGTAGCCGCTGAAGTGTATCCTTGAGTTGCGCGATGTCAATATCCCTTTGGTGAATCTGGCGGTCACGTGCTTCTACTTCCTCGGCTACAAGCTGTTCGTCAATCTGTCGCTGACTTTGCGCAGCCTGTAAGGCCTCTTCAGCCTTGGCCTTAGCATCCTCGACAGCTTGGTTTTGCGCGGCTAATTGGTCGAGTTGGGTCTGCAGATCCATGATTTGCATGCTTTGACGTTTGCGCACGCTTGGTGGTCGTGAGGGCGAGCTAGGGGACCTTTGGGCTTCACCCCATGCTTCCTGTAAATTACAGTCAGTAACAGGAAACGAGCTTTACAACAACATCAAACTACTTACAAAGGTTTCAGCCATACTGGTCCGGCGACCTCTACCTGTACCCCGGACTGGGTCGTAAACCGGTGGGGCGGCGATACCTGCGATGGCTGCTGCTCCTGCCGCGAGCGCCGTGCTTGAGAGATTAGGTTGCACGCTCTTAGCGTCTTGCGCACTGGCCGCGCCAAGCCTCGAGGCTGATCTCAGGTCACCTGACGTTTGCCGGTCCACTCTTCGCAACGAACGCTCCGAATGGTTGCTCAAAGAGCTCATAGGCCGCTCTTGGTCGGGAGACCTCAGTCTTGCGATATTACTCAGAGAGCGTTGACTTTGAACACTAGGTGACCGCTGCTCACCAATGTGCTGCTTCAACGGGTCTGCGCTTGGGGATGATCGTGGCATACGGCGCGCGGGACTGAGGGCCATGGTTCGATCGATGCCTTCGTTGACTTGTTGCCATGGCGAGTCTCTTCCGCCTACATTTTCGACTGTGGATTGCACACTCCGGCGACCTGTAGGTGTTGGTGTGCTAGGCGGAGGTGATCTTAGACGATCAGAAAGTTGCCTGAGACTCTCAGTGCGACGAGCTGACTTCAGTCCTCGATCAGATACACCCACATCGGCTGCTGACCGTGACTTCTTTTTGGTGGTAGTGTCATCTGGACTGACTTCTGTAATAGATTCAAGCTGCTTGGTGCCTGGAGTGCTAGTACGTTCGGGCTTTGCGATAGTCGATGAAAGGGTCTCGCTCTTCTTCTCATTCGGATCTCCAAACAAGGACTGGTATGGCTCCTTCTGTGTGAGTTCCTTAGTAGGCGATGCCCGGCCTTGGTGCGATTCGACGCGCGGTTTCTTGCCTGCCCGCGACGATCCACTGACATCTTTTGACGGAGTTTCAACGACCATGTGGGTATCATGAGCAGGCGTTTGCGGTGCTGCCGCTGGTGAAGTGCCATATGCGCGCGTAGATGGCGAAGAATCGAAAAGATGGGAGGATCGCTCCTTCGTGGCGTACTCGTCGCTTGTGGTGGGCGTGCCTAGAGTCATTGGGTGCGTTGGCAAAGCCGGGCTGTCCGTATCATGATCAGTTGCGATTGAACGTTTTGGTGCGCTCAGAGGAGTTTTCGGTTCCTTCGAACGCCTCAGTTTACGTGGTGCCGTTTCGATAGGCTGCTCCGGCTGAGCCTTGGTGGTGGCTTGGTCGACCTTGTCTTGAACTCCGGCAAAGGACCACGATGGCTCATCGGCTGGTCCTACACCACGGGTTGACGATTGGGCGTTGCCTGTACTAGACACACGCTCATTGGAGTGCTTTTCAAGATGTGCGAGCTCTGGCACGACAAAGCGCGACGGTGATGCTGACCTCTCACTGGTAAATTGAGGCTCTTGAGTGGACTTCAATGTGTGTAGGCGCTTTTCCTCGGGTCGCTCGTCGTCGAAAGATACAGGATGTGTTCTGCGTTTGTGAACTTCACGATCGGCAGTTCGTGCCTCAGCTGGTAGTGCGTCTTTCATCCTGGTCGTAGACTCCTCATCAACCTTTTCTTCAACATTCCTGCTCTTTTTGCCCTTCTTTTTTGGCGATGGGGCCCATGCGTTCATATCCCTCTCTTTCTCCAACTCCTGCTTGTGTGTTTCCTCCTTCGACTGCTTCAAGATTTCCTGTGACACCACCTGGGGAAATGGGTACTCCCTCGGCTCTTCGGCGGTCAGCGAGCGGGGCTCCTGATCGAATGTCACAGGTAGGATCGGGCTGTCCTCCTTGCCTGCAGGTTGCTCTTCTGTGACTGTCTTCTTCGATTTCGCCCTCTTATCTCGCCTACTTGAGTGTACCTCGTCGAATTCAGTAGGTGTGGCTGATACGTTTGTTGCTTGTGTTGGTACGTCCGGAAGGACAGCAGTATTGGTCGACGCGTGAGGCATGGACCGGGCAGGCTCAACCTCGCGGACCGTGGAGTCAACTGGAGTCTCTACAGCAAGAGGCACATTTGGAAGAGCCTCAATCGCCGGAGTCTCTGCAGCTGCATACTCAACACCGTCTTGCTGACGTGGAGCTTGTTCCTTGTCCTTCTTTGACTTCTTGCCTTGTTTAGTCTGTGCGACCCCAGTGTCCTGTGTGCTCATCTTCTCGACATCTACTGGTGTCTCTGGTAGAGGATGACGTCTCTTCTTACCCTTGGTTCTTCTGAGACTTGAAGACCCGGCCAACTCATCAGGATCAGCCTCCTCAAGAACACCGGGAGGTGACTTTCGCGCTGCAAAAGCAGGGTCATTGAGCACGTCTAGGGGATCGAATGATACGGTGTCCGTAGGTGCCATTGCCACTTCGATAGGTGGTAAGACATCAGGCCCAGTAGGCTGCGTCGGTCGCAGTTTTGGAGAGCCAGAGACCGATGAAGAACGGCTTAAGCTTCCGAGCCGAGATCTACTGGCTCTCTCTTTTGCGGCGGTAATGTCGTCATCTGGTGTGATATCGCGAGCTCCTGAGATAGAGTTCGAGCGATGGAATGACTTGTCGTTGATGACATATCCAGGATCAAAACCAGACTCTTGCAAACTGGCGGCCACGGTGGCTGCGAAGTCTATCTCTCTTGCTGGCGACTTCGAATCCGATCGAACTGGCGACGCCAAGCCAAGTTGACTACGGGACGCAACTCTAGCTACATGGCGTTTCTCAGGCGATGGAGGTAGGACGGGCGTCACAGATCGAGATAGATAACGCTTCTCAGGAGATGGGGGTAGAACGGGTGTGACAGATCGAGACTGACTCTCGTATCGTTC